GAATCGCTTCGATGTTTTTAATTTTTCATTGCTTCAGTCGAGATTCGTTTTCCCGGATTTTCCGAATTTTCTTTTTTTCAGATGGAGCATCTGCGTTCTCCAGGTGCTCCGCTCGCATCGAGTACGCCAGCGATCGGGACCGAAAAAAAGGCAAGTTTCTTTCAAGAAACTATTTAATGCACCGTTAAAACAGCAAAATATTAGAAGTTTAGATGTTCAGCGAGTTTCCGCTAATATCGCCACTCAAAACGATGCACGCCGAGCCGACGACTCCAAAACGCATGGTTTTCCATCTGAAGAAGAACATGGTCCTTGGAACGACGCGCCGTCCGGTCTTCACTCCATCTCGACCTTTCTCGGCGCCTCCGTTTGGAAGCCGTCTAGTGGCTCCTTCGACTCTTGCGACGACTCCGCGGTGTGCCAGACCAACGAAATCATGGATTGCGCGCACGCAGGTTCATTCACTTTATTTTGATCCCTGAAACTCATTTTTTTTAGGGAAATGAGAAATTTTCGCTGCCCAAAAAGTTGAAGACTCCACAGACGATAAAAAAGAATTCACAATTGGCAGGAGAGACGTTATCTGTGTGGGAAAGATTGTTCTTGTCGCACCGACCTGCAAAGTCCCCTCCGTCGACAAAGTAAAGCCACTCAAATATCAATTTTCATACACTAACCTTTAATGTGAAAACATAGACTCACTATTCGCTCGTTCAGAATTGTATTGTACACAATTTGTGTTTATTCGCTATTAACTTTACTTTTCTGTGATTTCAAAAAGTTGGACGTAAGGTGACATTGCCCTACTAAATTTCTAACTTTTTCATAAGAAAGTGTTATAAACTTTCTAAAGATGAGCTCAACGGTGCTCTCCGTGGCAAAACTGGACTTTTCAGAACTGGAGACAGTCTATCTGCAGGTATTTATGAAATATTTAAAGATAAGTGAAGCTTTTAATTTTCAGGTCGATATGGAATACGATAATCGGAAAAACGCTGCGTTTGCCGTGCTCAGTAAACTTTCCAGGTTTTTATTTTTCTGCCCGAGTGTGATAATCAGAATTGGTACGCAGAGATATCCTCCACACGTGTCTATCGCTCGGTGGCTGTCTGGCGAATCCCGAAAGAAATCTCTGCTCGATTATGATGATTATCAATTCGGAGCAGCTCAAAAACGAGGAGTTAGTGGAATTCTTCAAAGCTCAGCGCATTTTTGTAAGTCACGAAAGTTTTTTGGAACCCTCTGAAATTATGTGTCTGTCCTTAGGAAATTTTCGGCAAGGGTGCGGCAAACAATGAGCAAGGTGCCGCCGAAAGCGGCAAGTTGCTCATTGTCGCCTCATTTGGGATCATGGGGTGGGCACGTATCCGACAAGGGATCAGCACGGCTCCGACGTGCGACAGAAAGAAAAAGGTCGGATAGGAGGGCAGCCGATTTGAGCGGCACTTTGCTATTTCTTGCGGCAACTTGCCGATAATTTCCTGAGTCAGAATTACTGTTCCACGCATTTTTGAGAGTTGGGATTGGGATAGCGTATGAGGCGACGGGAGACGAGCCAGACAGACATAAATTCGCCTGGTCTTTTTAGGTAAAAATAAAGAAGGAGTGTGATTCATTCGCCGTCGAACAATGTCTTTCGTTCACGATTTTCTACCTCATGGAGAAAGTGGACTGGTTCAGAGTTTGAATGTTTTGAAAATCTCCAAATGATTAGTCCATTTTCAGATCGGTGATAGTTTCGTTCAGGGTGATTTTCTATCGTGGAAGAAGAATAATATTCCTAAAATTCGTAAGAGATGTTTTGGCTTCTCAAACCTGCGTCGTTTTCGTTTTCAGAAATCAAAACGCATTGCTCTTCGAGTGGCGAAATATATATCAATTTTCTTGCGGAGATGATCAGAGTCTACCCATTCGAACATTGGATTCTCGATCCCGAGGAGAGGTTCACAGACTTGAATTCCGGGCCGATAACACACGAAATACGGCCGAGATGGATTTCCTGTCTTCCGAAATTAGGAAAAGGGCGGATTGTCCGCGTGCACAGACGTATTCCAGAGACTTCTCCCTTCGAGACGTACGCACAAATGAAAGCTTACTGGAAGAAAACCGTTGGGGATCTCTTTCGTGTATTAAGATCATAATACTTGTTACAGTATGGCTACGATCTCCCCGCCGCCGAGCCAGAAGTCTTTTACGATGTGAAATTCAACAACGGACAGACAATGCTGTTATTGGGCCGTTTCCCCCCAATTTGTGAAGTCAGAAACTTTCAGATATCCATTGTGTTGCGTGCTGAGTGCAGCGCCGGAAGTCATTCCCGTTCGTGCCAATTCAACGTACACAAAAGAGGCGTTGGCTCTTTTCCTAAAAGCATTCAAAGACGCTTCGATCGTTGTCTGCGGAAAGCCGCTGATTTGTGAGAATTCCTCTCTCTCTCTCCCGCTCTCTCTCTTTTTTCAATAAATTCGTTTCCTTTTCAGCTGAAGAGAAGGAGTCTCTCGCTGTGAAGTCCTACATGGAAGTCATTTCGATGCAAGCTGTCAATCCGTCGAGACTGAAGAAAGAGCAGAAAGTGACGCGGAAGAAGGAAGGAGAACAACATATAAGAAAGGTGTACCCAAAGATTCCGGCGGGCGTCAAAAGATCCATCTCCTCTTCCTCGGATGAGCCATCATCTTCCGCGAGCAAAAAGTCGAGACCTGGATTCAACATCGACTGCGATTAGTCTTCGTCTGTATTATCTCACTCGTGTGTCATTCTGATTCTGTATTTGTTAGTTAGTAATAGTTCATTTATATAGCATTCAATTAAAAACTTCTATTTTACCCGTAGCTAAAAGCTCAAATCAAAAGACCGGAATTATCAGACTGCAATAGGATTGGCGGAGAGGTTGGCAGGACGATACTGAAGATCAATCGGGCTGCGATCGTCGTACAGTGTCGGAGCACGGAGCAGAATTATAACGGTGCCCACGAAGCAGGCGATGGAGAAGATGAGTAGGAAGAGACGGTCGAGCACCATCGCCACGTACTTCCAGTCCTCGTCGATCTTGTCGTCTCTGTCCTTCTTCTTGAGAAGCTCCGCAATGAAACAGATGTTCTCGAAGGCTTTGACCACTTGCGGCGAGTAGTACAACTTCTGGATCGTGTCGTCGATCGTCGCGTTCTTCAGTTTGTGTCCGACGTCCTTGGACACCCTGTGCGCGTGCACATTCAATGCGATCTTCCCGTCTTTGTTCTTCTTTTTCTCGTCGAACTTTTCTGCGTAGTCGTCAATCGGTCGACGCATAAAAAGCAGTTTCGGAAGCCATTTCAAGAAGACTTTCTTGACCCAATTGGGCATTAAATGAGTGGTCGGCGTGCGGAAGTGCAAGTTTAGAGCTGAAAAGGATCGAGTACGGGGAGGGAGGGGAGGCGGGAAACTCACAGACGACGGTGACGACGACGGACAGGGTGACCATGACCATCGTGAACAGAAGATATTTTCCGATGAGGGGCAGAGTGATCGATGTGGCCGGAATGATTTCGGTGAGCAGAAGGAAGAAGATGGTGAGGGCGACGAGGATCGAAATGCACAGAGTGACCTTCTCTCCGGAGTCGGAAGGCAGGTAGAACACGAGAATGGTGAGGAACGAGATTCCGACGCACGGGAACACGAGGTTGACGGTGTAGAAGAGCGGCTTGCGACGGAGTTGGAGGTAGTACTGAAAGGAAATGCGTGGGCGGTTGGGTCTGGAAGGAAAAAGAAGGGGACTCACGGTGACGTCGATGTAGGCACTCTGTGGACAGCAACTCGGATAGTTCTTGGCCCTTCTCTTGGCCACGCGGGACATAATGTCCCATTCGACGGACGGATAATAGTCGGAAAGATCGATTCCGTCGTCGGCCACCGTCACGTTATCCACAATTCCCTTCTCGTCGATCTCCTCCTCAAACCGTAGATTCGGCTCGTTCAGTTCAACGGAGAGAAGGTTCTCAGAGAATGTCCACGAACCGAACTGAAAGGATAATAATATCTTTTAAAAAAACCAGTTCAAATTGAGTATTCTCGCCTTCAAATGGCACTGTTGCTCGTCGAACGGGAACCATCTGACATCAATCTGGCACATGCTCTTGAAGATCGCAGGCGGTTCCCACGTCACTTCTCCCGTGAAATGAAGCGTCGCTTTCGTGGAAATTGTGATATTGTAGTTGCTGTCCGCACTGAAACCCCGCCCATCCGTTCTCGGCTCAGTTTGGAGGCACTCACTTATTGTAAAGCACAATATCCGGAACCCAAATCATTTCGTACGGGACGTAAAGCACGTTCACTCCCCCGTAGTTCACCGGATCCCACGAGAGCTTTCTGTCGATCCACGTCTGTTTCAACCAAACCGAACACGTCATAATCTGGTCAATCTCGTGCTGAAATCCGCCAAAATGGATTTTCGGATTTTGAGAATCCAAAGGCTTACCACGTCAATTATCTGACTTAGACGGAGTTTCAGTTTGATTGTAAGCGGTTTATTCGGAGATGTGGACGGCCTGAAAGCGATCATTTCGATACTGGGAACGTGTTTTTCTTTTGAATCGCTTGCCTTCGATGCCGATTATAGTTGACCATAAGGTCATCATAGAGCCGCTTTGCATCCTCATTACAGCCCACTTCTATGGATATTGAGAGGAAAAACAATAGGAATAATGGGGAGAGGCGCATGACGAACAAAGTGAAAGAAGAAGTTGCAGGGGAGGGAGGGAAAGAAAGAGAAAGAGTGTAAAAGAGCAGCAGAGAATCGATAAGAGAGAAGGGAACCAGCCACCGGGGACCATCGAAAATGCCGACGGAGACGCAGGGGGATTAGACGGGCGAGAAGGGAAACAATTATATTTTATGTGGGAACAATACCGTTGAAATGCATTTCGAGCTCTTTTACGAGCTCTTTTTCGAGAATACTTTCACATTATGATTCATATCAATTATGAATAATTGAAAGGCTCTCAGGCCCAAGTTCAGAGCTCAAATGACAGAATTGAATATAACTGGAAAGTCTGAGCACTTGGAGTTAATGGGTTCTCATTGATGAGAATGGTCTGAAATGATGCTAAAATGTTTTCCTGCATTGCTGAGCAAATGGTCTGATCAGGTTTTTCGAAAGCTTTAGAAAGGCATAAACTTCCGATACAGTTGCTCTAATTCCAACGGACCCAAACTTTGCAAGATTCTCGAACTTGGATTGAAGTGTCTTGGGTCCAAGTTTCAGACCGATCGGATTATCTAGTCTGGAAATATGCTCACTCGAGGCTGCCACTATTTTCGCAAAAACCACTCATATTTCTGATATTTGGAACCAAAATACTTCGATCCTAATTGCATTTTGGTCGATAGTTCAGGCCTGAAAGAACCTTCGAAAAGCATTCGCAAATTTGTCTCGTATTAAATTTTCAGATGCATTATTACAAGTTTCACAGCAAATCATCAAATTTTGCAACCCCTCAATATTCCAATATTCCCTCAGTTCGCATTCCCCTCCTACCGTAGTCTCGTGCGAGTCAAAGAAAAGGATGACTAACAGATTATGAGGGGATCAGAGGAAATTGGATTACAGAATGAATACGAATGATTAGCGCGCGTGGACAGAAAGGTGAGCAACTCTGGGCTTTTGAGCAGAAAATATCACTCGGAAATGCACGTGCGTGTCAGCCCATTCGCCCCTTCCAACTTGCTTCGCTTTCCGGTTTCTGAGAAATGCTCACAGAACGTGGGAATTGTTCTCGCTCGTCACGTCGTATTCTCATTCCACTCCAAGTGCATGCTATTCATTTCTTCCCCATTCCCTCTGCCACGTCATCCTCTATTTTCACTTCGTTTTCCATTCCTTTTCCATCCAGAGATCTGCTTCCGGAATGAGGTTGTTCTTTGCTTCAACGGAAGGTATCACAGCATATAAAATAATAAAAATAAGCCACTCCGTCCCCTTCCGCCTTTTCTCTTTCTCTTTCCTTTTCGCCCGTTTCTCTAGAAGCCGTGGCTCCCTCTGAAATTGTTCTCTACTCTGTTTTTGTGTGTCGCGTGAGCTCCGGGGGCTCACGGCTCCTCCCTTTTCGCGCGCGCTCTCTCCGTCGGCGTCTTCGTCGTCTATCGATCCGAAGACGTCGCCCCCGAGCGATTCATTCTAGGATGCGGGCGGCCACCGCTTGCCTCGTCGCGCTTCTCGCGCCCTTATGGGCTTCCGCCATGCCCATCGAGTATTTCGGAGACGGGGAACCGATCGAGGAGGACATCGACAACAGTGCCATATTCGATGCACAGCAGAAGGAGATTGTGAGTTAATCGGCGAGGATCAGGTGGTCGGAAGTTAGTAAAATGCATTTAGCTTATTAAAAGTATGCAGTCAAATGAGGTTCCGTACTCTTCTAGTTGAATTCATTCCTTATCATTATCAGCTAAATCGTGGAGTTTTTGCTCCTGCTCCCCCTCTCTTGTGACGTATGACGAATTCAGATGAAATATCAGAATGATGAATGGCTCTGGCCGTTTCCCAGAATCATTTCCCTTCGTCATTCATTCATGCATTACGTCTCTTCCACACTTTCTTTCCCACCGTTCCCGTCAATTTTCATTCAAAAAAGCCTCCGGCACACTCGGATGACGTCATCTTTCTCTCCTTTTTCATCTGAAGTGAAGTGTGCTCCAGAGACGTCGCCATTCTGCTCTTCTCCAATTCTGAGAGAGAAGAGCGAATGAAAGGTTTTCGATGGAAAATGGAGGGATTCGTCTGAAAAGAAAAGACGGGTGGAAATTCAAAACGGAAACGTGTGCGGGGTGAGAGTGGACGAGAAAAGGAAGCGTATAATATTCCGGATGAGCCGAAAAAAGGAAAAAGAAGAAGACGAGAGCTCTCGTTTCTCATTTCATGCTTTTGTTCCCGGAAATGGAGGAGTGCCACGTCACTGCCAGCAGGGCCGATCTCATTAGCAGTAAAGTGTTTTCCGCAGAGAGAACACTGACAAAAACAAGTTTGAGCGGCCAAAAGTGTACTTTGCTCGGTCGAGCGGAAGTCACGACTTCTGAGAACTCTTGCAGAGTAATGATCTTTTTTTCGTTCAGATTGATCTCTTCGAGCCGAGCAAGGCTTTGGGCCAAGTCAGCGGGCTCGCCATCAACTCGAACGGACATCTCGTGGCCTTCCACAGATCGGGACGCGTCTGGGACGAGAGCAGCTTCAACGCCGACGAGACGTTCAACAAGGAGCTCGGCGTGATCGCCAACACAACACTCGCCATCATCGACCGAGAGAAGAAGGTGCTCGACGAGTTCGGAGCCGGGCTCTTCTACATGCCGCACGGGTTGACGATCGACTCGAAGGGCGACTACTGGGTGACCGACGTGGGCAGCCACCAGGTGCACAAGATCGACGCCAAGACCCAGAAGATCGTGATGAGTCTCGGAGAGAAGCTCGTTCCGGGAGAAGACGAGACGCACTTCTGCAAGCCGACGGACGTCACCGTCGCCAAAAACGGACACATCTTCGTGGCCGACGGCTACTGCAACAGCCGTATTCTGAAGTTTGATTCGAAGGGAAATCTGATGGCGCAGATCAACGCGGCAATTGGTGAGTGAATCATTCAGGAAGCGGGTAATTATGAGAGTGAGAAAGGGAATGTCTAATAAGCAAGTGGGGATACTGTAGAGATCGGAAAGCAACTCCCCGATTTCATTACTCTAATGCACTGCGAATTCATTTATCCGCTCATTGAATTCAACGAAACAAAGATGATTCAGAAGACGGACAGCCTTCCGAGTTCGTCGTTCCGCACTCGCTCGCTCTCATCGAAGACATGAACATCATCTGCGTCGCCGACAGGTTTGTTCCCGGGATCTCCGCCTCTTTGAGCACGCCCTTTTGCAGAGAGAACCAGCGCGTTCAGTGCTTCTCGGCAGGGCTCTCCGAGGGCGATCGCACTCTTCCGACCGGAATCCCCATCACTTCGGCCACCGACATCGGCCGCGTGTTCGCCATTCGCGAGCGGGAGCACTACTTGGTCGGCGTGACGGGTAGCAGCGAGGACGTGGAAGCGCAGATGTTCACCATCGACATGCAGACCGGAAAGACGGAGACGTTCGCCAAAGGCCTCCAGAATACGCACGCGCTCGCCGTCGCTCCGGACGGCGCCATGTACGTCTCGCAGCTCGAGCCGAGCAGAATTCTTGAGATCAAACTCTTGTAAATTTGATTTATTGCATGAAAAGAGAGAAAATGAATATTTATCTAATGTTATCCATTCGACTTCCTCGAGGTTCATGAATATTTATTGAGTGTTATTAACTTTCTCTCGTTTTCTTTTGAACATGGAGACAATTTGATTTTCGAATGATACAAATCACCCGACTCGTGAAGCTACTTCTGGAAATAGACAGGGATGGATGGGGAAAGGGTGGGAAGCTTATTCAGCTGAATATACATTGGGTGCGGACAAGTGTGGGGAAGAGAGAACGGGTTGGGAGAAAAGGAACGGGAGAAAACATTACAATTAGGTCTGTGGAATATGTAGGAGACCGAGGGGAAAAGCGTTCTTTGGGTGGAACATTCTACAACGAAACAAAGGGCAACTCGTCGAATTTTGGGGATTCACTAGTCATGGATTATAGCGGATAATATATAGAATCTGGAAGTTGAAGAAGAGAAAGAAGGGTATGAAGATGATTAGGCCTGGGTGAGTGGTTGGACATCGGTTGGCAAACGGGAGTACGGTGGTGGACGGGTGAAATCGACGGCGAAAGCGACCGAGGTGGATTGCAGCTGCTGACCAATGGCTTCAGCGACCTTCAAAAGAATAGTTTAGAATTGAAAATACATGTTGAGGGTCAGCACTAACGTTCTTGTCTCCGTAGAATGAGTAGCATTTGCAGACGACCTTCATGCACCAGACATGAACGAGAACTCCGATGAAGTGAACGAGGATGGCCGAGGCCGGGTTCTCGCCTCCAATTTTCTGATATGCCTTGGTATCGACAAAGTTGATAATGTCAAGGGAAATTTGGAAAATAGCAAGGAAAAGAGCGATGGCCGCGAAGGCAATGTACGGGACGAGCAGGGAACGGCGGTTGGTACGAACTCCGTGGAGCATCATCAACACCTGCAACGAGATGAGAGAACATTCGGAGAGAAGCATATGTGCTTACAAGTCCGAGTTGGAGAGTCAGTGCCGAGAGCAGGGAGGATACGTAACGGGCCATGTAGTAGTTGATGGACCATTCCTTGGTTCCTTCGCCGGATTCCTCGATCTTCAGAGCCGAAGTGTAGGCGAACAGAAGAGAAACCGAGAAGAGGGCGATAACGAACAATTGGGTCATTCCGATGTACTTCGTGGCCTGCAAAACGCGCTTTCGTCATTCCGTTCAAAAATCTTTAAATTTTTCTCGCAGAGCATCGAATGCCCTTTTGAATATTTATGAATTTCTTCCGCCTGGATTGACGTCAGTCCAAGCATCCGCTTACCTTGGTAACATGGAGTTGTTGGCACGCGACGCGATATTTCGGGGCATTGCAGTCCCAGATTGCGTCGACACGGAACTTTCCACGCGCCTCCTCTGGACTCTCGTAGCGCGCCGACGAGAACGCGGCAGACTTGATCATTCTGGAAAAGAGAGAATGGTGATGAACTACGATCGATTACGTATTTGACAAATGGAAAGAAATGAGAACGAATGGGTTAGAAGATGCTGTAACTTGGTACAAAGAAACAGCAGTGAAGAAGGAGAAGGACGGTGGTGGAAGGCAGGTGGGGCCGAGTGTAAAAATGGAAAATGAACGATGATGGGAATGACGAGAAGGTCAGAAAGAGAGACCCAGAGAAGCGAGAAGAACGGCCGGGCACAGCGGCCGACCAAATTTGAAATCATAACTAAAACGGAAAGTGATAAAAGTGGGGGATCGAGAGAGAATTGAAAAGTCGGTGACACAGAGACCAAGTGCTGTGACCGAATCGATTCGAAATTCGAATTGACGACTGCGAGGGCGATCGCATGCATAATGATTCGGAAGCGAGCCTCCGCACTGTTTGACACACTTTCGTCGCCGTCGCCGTGTTTCACGCTTCGACGCGTCTGCCATTCCTTTCCGTCCCGAGCGGCAGGAGCTTGCCTCTTCAGTGAGTACGTCACTCCAAAAGGCTCTTTCCTGTTGTGGGGCAAACAAGATACAACACGTGTGCAGGCAGGCGAAGAGGGCGAAAAGAAGCATTGTTTGGTTTGCATGGCCCTTTCATTCGCTTCCTCATTGTCGTCCTGCTCATTAATTTACTGGTAGCAATTATGGCGGTATACCACATTCGGAATTCGAGAAATTTCGAAAAAGCCAGGCGACCGCAAAACAGGTGAGAAAGAGAACTCAAAACAATCATTAGCACGTAGACCGCTCTCTGATTTTCTTTGTTGTTGTAATCACATTCAACGACCAGAAAAACGCATACAAATTCTGAGAAATGTGATTCGCTTCAGTCATGGGATAAGCGAGGGAATATAGGGCTTCAAGAAGAGAGCAAGATCCGATCAAAACAGAAACGAACAGAATGAGGAACGAAGAAAGTTATGAATGTGTTCAGTTGAACTGGACTGACGAAACGGAACAGAAGTTGTATAGTAGTGAGTGCGAAAAGAAACGAAAAACGGTCATTCTTTCCGTGCGCCCGCCGACAAAAACACGGAAATTGTACAAAAATTTCGATTAAAAAGACCTTGAGAAACAGGAATGCGGCGACCATTTTTGTGCGCATGTTGCTAGGAGGAAAGAGTTGGATAGGCAAATTGGGCGGAAGAATGGAGGCTCGAGATGCCATCTGCGCACGACGGCGAAGAGCCTGCCTACACTGTCATTTATCAAACTGCTACGTTGCTTTTCCTCTTCTTCTTCTTCTTCTTCTTTTCGTGCTTTTCGAGGCGACAAGAAATGAGCGAGATGTCAATGTGGAAAGAAGAGCTGAGCCGACGAAAGGGAGGGAAGAGCCAGTGCAATTTACATTTTGACTACTTTTTTAGGATAGAAGAAAAGAAATGAGAGCCAGGAAGTTTCGAGTACTTTTTGATTGGTGTGTGGGAAGAAGAAGAAGATTGGGCGAAAATAGACAAACCACCGGCGGGAAGGAGAAGAAGATTGTTTGTGGAAAGAAAGCCGGACGCGGACGCGCACAATACCATCGGCTCAGCAAACAGACCAAGGAGCAGTGCCCAAATGGATAAAAAGGAGCAGAGGATGGGGAGCACTGCTGTCCGAAGACATGTGTTTGGGAAATACACTGTCATATGCTTACGAGTACTCGCGAAGTACACACTTTTGCCGAGTTTCAAACGGGAAAGCGAAGAGCAAACAGTCAAAAGTGATATGTTATCACAGTGCGATGAGCGAATCACTCAAAATGGAAAATACATAGAGGTTGCGAAATAGGAGGAGCGAGAATGCAAATCCATAATCTCTCCGCTCTCTGCAACCCGAAACGGCGCATCTCGTGACTGCTCCGAGCGATGTGTCTTCTCGTCAAGTAAAGAAAAAACAAGCGGGAAGTGAGTGTCCAAAAGGAGTGACACTCTCAAATGGGCCGTGTTGGCTGAGCATGATTGCCGACAAGTGCCACGAATGAGAATAACACAGCGGGGATCAAAATAAAGCGAAGCCCTCTTTCAACACGTGGAACACCAAAATATATTGCGAAGTCGAGGAGATGCTTTATGACGTGCACCAGAACGAAAACCGGGCTGAAAAGCGCGTTCCTGGTTTACGTGCTGCCACAGCTTTGGTTTGTTTAGTACTGTAGTCTCTATGTTGACTTCCAATAGAAAAAGGAAGAAAAATTCGGTAGATTTGTGAGTTTTGCCGCAGTCTCGTTATGTTTCCGCTGCTTCAGAAGCTTTTAGTTTCCTATCGAATTCTTGTTATTCTCATTTTTTCGGTGCACTTAAAAATACGTCTTGAACTGATGATGTGTATGATTCGAAAGGCTGGAAGCGTGAATAAATAAGTGGGAGGTAACTCGAGTGTGGCTGTTTGCCTCGTGCCCACGAGAAAATCGAGCGGGGATTAGTTAACTTTCGCAGAAATCGAAAAAAAATATCACATCGAAAACAGTGGCGATTGAGCCAAATATTGAGAAGAATCATTGTAAAAAAATAATTGAATGCATTCCGCCCAAAATGTATGATGTGTCATCGGCGCGTGAAATTCTCACCTGACTTTTGTACTCTTGACGAGCGAATTATTGGATTCTTTCGGAATTCGAAACTCCCCTATCAAAATGCGAGAACTGATAAGATAAAAAACCGGAATGAGTCACTTCTCCTTGATAAATTTGATTTCGACTCTTAATAAAAGCTGAGCAGGTGATTTCGGAGATTTAGAGATAATAGTGAGGAAATTAGTGAGGAAATCAAGAAATAGTGAGGATGAACATGTGAACGAGAGTTCAGGCAACACGGAAAAAAGGCGAAAAACGATGAAAACCGGATAAAGCTGTCAAAATTCGGGAATCCGAAATTTGGCCTGAAGACGTTCGGGTGCGCTGCGGTCGCGCGTCGCGGCTCTCCCCAATGTTTGCCAAAAGAGTTGAAGAGGCGGAAATGGGTGCGCGATTAGTCACTTCGACCCGATTCGCGTGTCACGCTTTCATTATACCCTTCCCTCCTCCAGAAACTGGTCTACTCTCTCTTTTTGCCGCAATTTGAGTGAATGAATTCAGTTGACTGTCCGAACGGTACCCAATCGAAGACGCAGACCATCTCTGTTTGTTTTCGGTTTCACCACGACAACGATTTTTATTTCGTGAATATTTTGCTTTTTTTAATTGTTTTTTGAAAATCAACTAAAAAACGTCAATAGTTTGTGCATTATCGAATCGGAATAATAAACAGATCGTCATTTCGTTTTCTCCGTTCCCCCGCTGCTTTCGCATAGTCATATCCATATTTTCTCATGTTCCAAAAAATGTTATCTTCTTTTTAAATCGCCGCATTTCTTCACATTTTCTACCCACACAAAACATGTTTAGTGGGCAAATGGAATCGATTCTCGTCCGGCCGTTGGGGCATATCCATTGGAATTTTATGTCTCGAGAAACACGTGGTTTCCGTCGCTATCAAAACACTGAAACTGTCCGCTTTCTCTCTCCTCTCTCTTCTGTTGTCCGTTTAATCCGTTTATTGTTGCAGCAGAATGCCGAGCCTGCCGGGCCATCAGCGCAATGTGTCACAAGGTCAACATGTAAGTTTTCTATCAGTTTCTGCAAAATGAGCAAAGGGACGAGCGACATCGAGTCTTTTGTACCCGGCTCCTACAAAAAGCATCAAAACAAACGACGCCGCCTCTTCTTTTCTTTTCACCGTCTTTCTCTTTCTAATCCACCCCTTTTTCTCCGCGTTCCGAGCTGAAAACGGCACAGACTCACCTACTCAATAATTCATTTCTGTAGAAAACCCACTGCAAAACATCGGGAGAAAAGGGCGTGCTTGAGTGCCAGTTTCTCGAAAATTCATGTAAAATTGAGGAAAATGATAGACGGCATTCCGTTTCTGCTCCCACCTCTCCCTCACACTTTCTGCTTGTAGCTCATCGTCGATCGGACCGAATCAGACGAGGAAGACGTGGAAAAGACGGCCGGGCGAGCAGCAGCAGAAGTCCGTGCGCACGAGACGATTTCGATGGAGAACGAAGACGCGCCGTACGGAAACGGAGGCGTTTACCCGGGATCCAGCCCTCCGTTCACTCCCAGTCGACCTCAAGACAACAAATCCACGTGAGTACTTCAAAATTTTTGCGAAGTCAATCATCTTTTGTACTAGCAGAGGTCTGTGCAGCCCGCAACTGCGCTCGAATATAAAAGTGATAATCGGATCGATAGTCTTGACCGCCGTCGGAGCAGTTCTTCTCGTCATCGGTTGTTGGGTGGCCATGAATCCAGACGAAGGTCCGTTCCCGCTTTCCCTCGCCATCACCTCCCCAACAATTCATCATTTCAGTGCACTCCGGAATGCAGCACTGGGTGTTCTTCTTCGCCGGACTCGTCTGCTTCATTCCGGGCTTCTACCACGTCTACTACGTGACGTGTACTCTCTGCGGCCGTCCCGGCTATTCGTTCGACAAACTTCCCACTTTCAATCGATAGTCCGCGTGTCTAGTCGTCGCCATAATAATAATGCAGGAGCCAACTCCGCCGAACGGGCGATTCGAGATTTCTTAGCCGTTCCCTCTCTATTCTTCACTTCTTTTCCCTCTTTTCATTTAAGTTACCCCAACCGGTTTCCTCCTCTTCTTGGCCCATTTACTCGTTCGTTCTAATCAAAAACACCCGCGAATTGTCACCGAGCTTTTACCAGTTTGCCACCTGTACACACACTACTCGTCCTGTATCATCTGTATGTATTTATTTGATTTTTCGTCGTGCTCTTCTTTATATATATAAACCTTCTGAACTCTTCGTCCGAACAATTTATGATTTTCGACAGAAACTGAAAGATTTGGTGTAATCGATGTGGAAGAGTGCAAAGTGACTAATGGCGGAAAACGGAAACGGACAAAACCACTTCTTCTCTGAAAGGTGCATTTACAAAATCTGGGTGTTAGAAGGTAAAACGTTGGGAAAAATAAATAAATAGGTGGATAATAGTGATAGGCCGCCAGATAGTTAGCAAAATCAAAATTGATCAAAAATAGAGGAAACAACCGAAAAAGGGGGAATTCGGGCTAAAATCGAAACAAGAACTCGCGAGAAAACGGAAAACGAATGAGAGATTTCAGAAGAAAATGGGAGCCGAGAGGGGCAAAATTCAATTCTAATTCGGAATTTAGAACCTGTGATTCGAAAACAAAAAATACCGGATAGAAAAGATAACAAACGGAGGGGAGAGCAGAAAATGAGCATAAGAGATTGGGAAAATTGGAGAGAAAGCACATGACCTGTAAAGGGAAGGAGAGATGAATGGGAAGAAAGGAAAGGTAGGAAAAGGAAGGAAATGAAGGAAAGCAGCAGGAGGGAGAGAGGGCTTAGCGGTTGAAGCTGAACGCGGCTGCACCGTTGTTCGTGTGCTGAAACTGATTGGGAATGATTCAAACGCGCTGTGAATCCCATGCGTTACCTTCTTGATCTCTTTCGTCGCCCAAGTCGCCATCGACTTCGTCTTCGAAACCTTCGACTTTCTCGCCTTTTGCAGCATATGGGTCACCTAAATTATCCCCATTTCCGGTTTGTCTGATGTGTTCGTGACTCACCGCTTCATTGCTGAAGTACCGAACAATGTCTCCCTCATAGAGTCCGACCAAATCACCGATGAGTCCGGCAGTCGTGGCCATGAGAGCTTCGGAAGGAGGCACTGGGTCCATCGAAGAACTTCTGACGATGAGTTCGACAACTGGCTGCACGAACCGGTTGATCGACTCCCGAACCGCAGCGCTATTCTGGAAAATAAGGAAAACTTTTTGAGATCTTGTTTTGAATAGCCTACCTCGGATGTCTTGAGTCCTTGCAGAATACCAGTGTACGAATTGAGGCATGCTTCCCGCAGTCTGTCCACGTAGTCGACCTGTTCGTCGTCATTCTAAAGATGATATCTTTTGAAAAGCAGATTCACATGTCTTTACCGGATCCGTGACAACAGCAGCTTGTTGAGCATCATTCAGAATGGCAACGACGGCAGCCAGATATCTTTCGAAGCGGCCCTCAATGGCCATCGCAATATCAGCGAATGTACCAATGATGACAACTTTCACGTCTCTGTTCAATCTTGGAGCCTGAAATGCGACAATATGCAAGCAAACTTTCTAACTTATCTCACCTGAAGGCACGCGATCAGTTTGGCAATCAATTCGTCCAGATACGGGAAGATGCCACCTTCGAGAGCACGACTGAGATCAGTGACGACTCCGACGGCCGCAGCGCAGACTTGAGCATCCTCTGTGTTAGAAAGACCTTCAAGTAGGTACGGCTTCAGAACTTCCATGTACTGGATGAATTCTTTTCGCAGATCTGAAACATTACAATACGTTTCTTGGAAAAAGTAGGACAGCATACGTTCGGCAAGGCAAGCGACAGCCATGAGGGCTTCCTCCATGACGGTGTTGCTCCTCGTGGTTGCGGCTCTGCTCATAATCTGGAGAAGTCCGTTCATGATGTGCTCTCCGACAGCTGGTATATCTGCCGGTTGCATTTTTCTGGTCACCGACTGCAGCGTGGCACACAGCATGGCTTGAAGATCCCGTACTTGAGCCTTGTCCGCCTCGTTGGTTGCCTGGCTCTCCATTTGAAGCAGGCTTTCGAGCTTCTTCAAAATTACGACCGTTGTGTTGCGAACTGTGGAATAGCAGTCTTTGGGTGAATGCTTGATTAACTCCATAAGCGCCTCGTACGCGGTGATACGGAGGTTAGACTGATTTCCGTCGATTCGGTCCGTGATCTTGATTAGCTCACCGACCATCGGTTCGAAAACTCCAGAAAGCGCAAAGGTGTCCGGCTGACCACTTCCGTCAGTTCCAGCAGAAACAGCCAATTCGTAACAAGCTTTGACGAGAGAAACCAGAGCCTGAAATGCAAATATTTAAGATTATACAGAGGAGATTAATTGCATACCCAGCAGACATTGTTGGCAACTCTTGGCTCTTGATGGAGTCCGTTCGAAAGGGCGGGCAGAACCGACTGCAGGAGCTCGGCGTTGTTGACAAGCTCAGGGCAAGTGTCGATGACTCTTCCGAGAGCCCATGCAGCAGTGTCACGCACATTCACCTGGAATTAAATGTAAAGAAGCATTCAAAAATGAATAAAAATACATTTTTGTCACACATGGCGGCGACGATGGCTGGGAGAGCTTCTTGGGCCATTGGCAAGAGCTTTTTCGGGTCTGGTCCGTCAAGAATCGATCCAAACGCCATGATAGCAGCCTCTTTGTACTTCCAGTTAGGATTCTGGAAGTGTTTGAAGAACGGCATAACGTAGTTGACAATGTCATCTCGGACGCACTGCGCGGCCAGCATCAAACAGACACCCGCTGCCTTCGCAGGTGTCCAATCGTCCTCATCTCCGTCGTCATGCTGAGCCATGGCTTCGAGAAGAACAGGACACACGTGAGAAGCAGCTTGTTGCATGAATTGAAGAGACGTGCACGTGGCATGTGCATCTCCTCTCTCAATATCCTAAAGAAATTCGTTTTTTATAATAGGTCCCAATAGTTAGTTGCCTACATCTTCATACGCCATTATGAGGTCGAATTCTTCCTCGGCCACAGTCGACCAGAACTCCATTCCTTGCATTGCCACATCCGCTTCAACCGATTTCATTGCGCCCAATGTGATCTGAAATACAAACTACTGAGAAGCTTTCACACTTTTCGTTTACCTGAAAGAGCCCGTTTCCCATGTACGGCATCATGTACTCGTAGTACAGCTGCATGATTCGAACGAGGCATTGGAGAGCAGCAACTTTAACGCGCTGATCGGGGCTGTTCGTCGACTCGCACACAACTTGCATTATGATGTTTCGTTCAGCCTTCAAGTGAATTGCTATGAGAGTCGGGAGATGTAAAATCAATGTACCTCGGTTTCAAAGTTTGTCTTCGTGAACTCAAGCGAATTCAATAAGGCATTTGTGGCAGCAAAGCGGACGTTGCCAGAGACCTCTTCCGGGCGCATTCCGTGGATGATAGCCGTCAAGACATCGTTCGCCTTCTTTTCTAGCACCCGTGGGTCAATGTCCTGGCAGATGTATCCGAGTGTTTCCAACGACGACTCTTTCAACATCTCTCCGCTCTGAGGCTCGGTGACGTTGTTTTTCAGAAGATTTATCACATCGGGCCACAGCTGAAAAGCGAAAGTACTCGTTTTTCTCTTAGATTCAGCGCCTACATTCTGAGGAACTTCGGCGCAAGCGATGGCGGCGACGCACTGAGCGGAGATCGAAGGCCTCGAAGTTTCGGTTCCCAAAGTACCGGTCACATTCGTTTTTACTGACTCTCGGACGTCGGCTGCCAATTGTAACCATCTTTAATCAGAAATTGGTTTGAATAAGCCTTGAAAACATTTTTTACCGCTGCAGGTATGCATTTTTGGTTTCCGCATCTTGGGCACGCAACACGTTCTTCAGTTGCAATCCAGCCGCCTGACGGACAAATGACTGACACTGCGGAGTCCGGAGGATCATACTGAGGCACTGAACGAAGATTGGAAAATCGGTCTGACATGCCTGCGCGATATATTCCATGGCCTGTTTCTGATCATTTGTATCTGGAAATATTTGTTAGAAGATTTTAAAACTGAAATGATTCACTTTGCGATACGGTTTTCTCAAGAACCGTCAGCATCTGCTGTGCTGCTTGCTCGACGGATGTTCCCATTGTGTTCTGTTTTCAGATGATTTTATGGAGAAAATCCGAAAGCCGAGGAAAATCACTGAAAAAGTATGCTTAGAATGCAATTTCTAATATATTTGCGGAGCAGAAACGAGGAATGAATGACAAATTTATGCGATATTTTGAAGTTAGCAAAAATCGATAAACTGAGCAAAGCTCGAGTAAATTACACTCTTGGTCCTCTGATGTGAAATTTTGAAAATAATAAATGGTTTACAAAATCGTTCTGGGCTTTATGGCCACGTTTTTGTTGTTTTTAACTAAAAAAAATTGAACAAGAATAGTATTAAAAACAATAATACCATTTTCTTCGAATAAAATTACACAAATTCCGCGAAATTTCAAGCAAAAAATTCGAAACAAGTGCGTCGGAGCTAGAAGCGGAGAGGTTCCGAGAAAAAAAGATTAAAGGCGCACGCTATTTTTCGTACATCGCGACGAGACGCCATTTTCAAATTCCTTGCATTCTGCTGATTCGGTGGAGCGCACTTGCATTGCACACCAGTAAATTTGTGTGCCTCATTATTCTGACTGATTGGTGAAGCGAATTCGAGCGAATGGAAACAAAAAAAATTGAAATACGAAATTGCAGCAATGAGGAAACCACTTTTATCAATTGGATTATCACAATTCGGGCTCAGTGTACTTCAGGTGCAGAATTTGAAGACTTTTTATCACAAAAACTTGGATTTCAGACTTTGTTCATGTTTTATTATGTAAAAGTTTATATTAATCAGTTCCATGTCAACACCAAATGGTTCAATGTTGCTCAGACGCTTTTTATGGTCTGGAATACAATCAACGATCCTCTTTTTGGCTATCTACAGGTAGAATTACCCAATTTTCATTATAGAATCCGAATAGTTCTCAGGAAGTACGTGGTTCATGGCTCAACAACCGATTTCTAGTCATCAAAACTCTCTCGCCCTTTCTAGTCGTGTCGTTCGTATTCATGTGGATCCCGTGGAATACGAAAGGATCCGATCTCGAAGGACTTCATCTGATTCTCTCACTCTTCTTATACGACGCCTTCTTCAGTGCTATTGGCGTCGCCTGGGGAGCTCTCTTTGCCGATACAACTCAGAATCAACCTATCGTTCGGGTGAAAGCACTGAAGTATTCACAAATTGCCATTCTCGTCTCTGTTTTCTCAATTGCCGTCACAGAGAAATTGAGTCTAAGTCTGAAGAACTTTAAAGTATTCCAAGGAATCTGTTTCTCTGTTGCCTTTCTTTCCTTCGTTTGCCTGTGGTGTGCAGGTCATCTAGGAGAAAAACGAACAGAAAGAAATGGAGAGCAAGACGATCAGGAGATTTTGATACAAGAGGAAGCGGGAGATGCGAATCTGTAAGTAGGTACTTTGAATTCTTATATTAATTGAAAATATTCAGAACATTCAAAGAAAATATGAAAAATTCGATCTGCCTCACGAAACAAGTAATATCTCAACGACAGTTTCTCGCCATAGCCGTTACGAACTTCTTCCACACTGCCAGGTGAGTTTTCAATCGAATAACTTTGGCTTATTTGCAGTTTTCAGGAGTATCGCCCACATGAACTTCGCATCGATCATCACAGAAGTCGTGATCCCACAGGACATTCTGCCCAGTGGCTCTGTTCGTCTCAGCCTCTTCTTCATGCTGCTCACACTCGGCCCTCAAATAGTGCTGATTGTGAACGAGAAGTTGATCGCAAGAGTCGGAGCAGTCAAGGTGATGGTCATCAGCTATCTCGTTTCGTTCTTTTCCGGATTCATGATCATCTTCTCCTATAATCCGTACTTCACAATGCTATTCATGTTTATCGATTGGTTTGACTGCTCGGTTTTTCTGTCAACCCTTTTCGAATGTTCAGCATCACGGTCCACACAATAGCCCCTCTTTTCAACATTATTATTTCGGATTTTGTGGACGATGACGCACGGAAGAACACTCGGAGCGCGGGCATTCCTTCTATCATCTTCAGTCTCAATGCACTCTTCGTCAAACCCGCCCAGTCTGTCGCGCCTGTACTCATTGTTCATCTGCTAAATCAGTCTGGTTATCAGGCAAGTCATTCTGTCCGTTCACTGATAACGTTCCTTCCCTTTCATTACAGGAGTACCTGAAAACTAAAATCTCGACGGAAGATCTAAGAAACACAATTCTTCTTATCCTCTTCATGACTCCTGCAGTCATCGGTGGCATACAATATCTCGTCATGAAAACCATGTACAACATCCGGAGACCGCCTCCGCGCACTACTCACGTCATCTAATAATCATCTTCATACTGATATAGAACAGGGTCACATAATAATATTATCGGGTTTTTAATATGATTTCTGTCAATTATAGTCAGTTCTTACAACTTATTTAGCACCGGTCATTTCTTTTCTGTGATAAACACCGCCTTTCCCTGTACCTGTTGATTTCCCGTTTGTACATAAACTCTCGTGTCTCCCTCGCTTTGATGTCTATCTAGTCACGTGGCTGCCCATTCCGCCCTTCTATACCGCTTTTCGTTCCGCTTTTTCAGTCTCTCATTCTTCCGATTCCAGATGCTCATCGCCCTAACAGTAGCAGCGGATGCTCTCCGGCCCGTCGTGCCCTGCTCCCTTCTGTCCCTCTCCATGGTCCCATTTGCCTCTTGCTCCCTCGTCATCGGCGGAATCTCGTGGATTGTTCCCGGACACATGGCACAGAAGCTTGACAACTTTCTCTACAAATCCTACATGAGACTGTGTCTCTTCGTTTTCGAAAACATCTCTGGAGTTGAAATCTTCGTGCATGGCGGGAAAGAAGTTATTAAAAATAGCGGAGAGCCGGAGAATGCCGTCGTTCTCTCAAATCATCAGACTAACGTCGACTGGATTATTCCGGTGATCCTTGCGGCAAGACATGGAGACCAGGGAAACGAGCAGGCGTTTCGAGTGATGGTCAAGCAGTCGATCCACTTGGTTCCCATGTTCGGATGGTACATCTTCCAGCACGGATACATCTACGTCCGCCGGTTCGGAGAGTTCATCGGAGCTCCGGTGCTCCGGCAACTCAAGTGGCTCAATGAGTCTGATCCTCCGTTTTGGCTGCTGATTTTTCCCGAAGGAACTCGTTTGTCGCCCAAAAAGAAGCAGTTGATCGAGAGCAGCAATCGATTCCTGGAGAAGGCTGTGAGTGTCTGCCCGGCGCGTATTTTTCGTTCCCCCTCATCCGTCCAAATGGCGCACTTCAGGGACGTCCGCCGATGCGAAATGTGTTGTGTCCGCGCAGTGGCGGATTACAATTGGCACTCGACAATTTGTCGACACTTGACGCTATCTATGATGTTACTGTAATGTACGGCCAAACGAGGTTTGTGTATAATTCGGCTTTGCGGCCGCCAGATACCCGCTAATCAGGTTATGTTTGAGGATGAATAACCGTCGCGGAATGGCGCCCGGAATGTTCGAGTTCTGCTGCGGACCACAAGCACACAAACAGTTGCACATTCATCTTAGTCGGATTCCGATTGAGCAGGTACTTCTGGAGGCGTCCGCCGGATGTACTGAAATATTTGTTTTGCAGGTTCCAAAAGAGAAATTGGAGCTTCGAAACTGGACGACTGACCGATTCACACTAAAGGAGAGGTATTCGTGTCAAACATCCATTCATCTTGAGCCCCCGATTCCAGAATAATTGACGACTTCTATTCGGATTCTCCGTCCGCCGGAAGCACCCTCCCGTGTGTGCCCATCTCCCAAACACTTCCGTCCGCGATCTTCTTTTCCGCTGCTCTCATTGCTCCGTTCTTCAGTCGGACCATCGGAAGAGTCTACTTGCTCACTATCGCCTCATCACCTCTTCTCATCGCATGGCTTCACATCCGTCGTTGTGTATAACCTACTTTTATCAAATATTAGGCCAAAATCTTTTGTTTTTTGTTGATAAATAGAAACTAATTGTTTATGCTCGCCACGAGTTTCCTGTTCTATATTATAAACTAAATTGTTCGTCTCTTTCTGCTATCGAATTCACTTTTCACATGCAGTTTTCTTTGCCTGCAAACGGTTATATCTTCGTTCCCACACCGCGCACCGATTACGGTCCCCACCAGCTGTCTCGCGTTCAAAGAACTTTTTTGGCGGTCGACGGATGGCATGAAATATTCATGGCCGTCCGCGGAAAAGGGCGAATCTTTTTTGGAGAGTGGCACCAGATGGTAGTCGGTCTTGCAAACTGCATTACGAATGAGCGGTCCTCTAAGAACAACAGCTTGGAGTCGGACATTTGAGATGATTAATTAAAGCAATTATGACGTGGAAATAGGGATTTACCCGTTCCGTTTGAGAATTAGAAACAAGCGAAAAAAGTTCCGAAAGACACCTTCCTTTGCGGACCAATCGAAGAAAGGACAACCGCTTTGCGACGACTTCTTTTTCGTTCTCCGCTTCGTCTCCGACCGCCAGTTAAAGTAGCCAAGCACTCGTCCGTCCCTCCGCTTCTCCCGCACCCTCTTCGGTTGGCGTGCTCTCTCGTCGCATGCGCATCCAGTTACTCGCCACTGCACACACGGCTACAATAGCGAGACAGCGCGTCGGAAGCGGAGAGTCGACAGAGATATTGGCCTGACCCGTCCGTCCGCCCAGCCTTTGAATGTGTACGTCCGTCTGCTTTGGCGACTAGCTCACAGATGGGTTCACCCTGATGGTCAGCAGCAACCACCTGGAGAAATGGAAAGTGACAGTTCAATCTCAAGGTTTCAACGGGGCAGTCACGGCCACATCCGTCGGCCGTTATCTCCTTTGCCATTTCCGACGGTCGTCCGCCCAACTCTGACTCACCTCTTTTCTCTTTTCATTTGTTCGGACAAGTACCCAGTTTTTGTGGTTTTGCACCTTTTATCGATAGACACCCTCCTCTGTTTGTGTATCGATCCATTGGCATTCAGTGACAAAGACCAATCGGTCGAATGCAATTGTACACAGATTGAATACACCGCTTCTGCTGTTTGCACACTTCTACTGTTACCAAGTACGGCTCGAGCGAACCGTCAATGTCCTTACACCTCTGGCACGTGCGTTCTGTCGGAAGTTCAACGCCAATGATTCTATGAGTCATTCCGAAATTACGCATCGTCGCTAGTGTAATCAAAGTGGAAATTTGAAGAAAAAAGAGCAAGTGTGTGAACAGACAGCTCCCGTTTACAAGATGTATTCTATGAGATTAGGGTCTTCTTCTCCCTAGACACCACTTTGAAGTTTCCAAAAGTTTCACGTTACAGTTCGTTTCCTTTTCTTCAGCAAACTTTACCCCTTCTCATTACACTTCTTTGCACACATGTTTTCCCAGTGTTCCCCCCGATATGATATGACAGATACTTTGCCGCTCTGTTGTAAGCATTTGCTCCCGTCGTCTGCGAAGGTGCCGACCGTCGTATTACACAGACTTTGTTCTCCTCTTCCTACTTTCCAGAGCTGTTCCCTTTCCATCATCGCCGTCAACATATCATTGTTTTGATGTGCGGTCATGTCGCTCCTCGTTCTTTTCCTTTTTCTATCCATTCGCCTCTTGAAACAATTGCTTTTTCTCTGTCATCCGCTCAAGAATTCATGGCTCTCCATTCTGCTTTTTCCAATAAACATTCCTTCCAACATTGCGAAATCTTTGTGTGGTTGCAGATAATGATTGATTCGGACACACTCCCCGACGAGGTTCGGGAGAAGTTGGCCGAGCTCGACTTGGAGTTGAGCGAGGGAGACATCACAAAAAAGGGATACGACAAAAAACGGGACGCCCTCCTCGCGCCGTACAATAATCCTTCACTTCAGACGACTTCCGGTGAGAGCTCTACTTTAATTTGTCTGAAACAATAATAAGTGTTTAATTTCCAGCATTCCAAGAAGAAAAAGTAGCTGCATCTCCGAACTCTCGCTCTAACCGCAGGAATCAGAGGAGAGTGACTAGAGATGAAGACAGATATCATTCTGGTACTAGCTTGCTCTTTCTCCCTTCAAAACTATTATGAATTTCAGAAATTCGTGTTGAAGCAGTACATCAGGCTCTTGCGGAATACTCGGATGGTCGGAAGCTCGGGCCGCAACCAGTGAAACCGCACAGAAGAAATGGAACGTCCGTGACGCGGTCCAGTACTCGAAAGAGCAAACGATCGAATTCGGGAGGCAGAATGTTGTCGGGTTAGTGTATGCAGGCAAAACACGTGTGACCGAACGATAATCGGACGAGTTCCTACTTCTAATTGCCGTGCTGTCTCGAAAAACCGGAGAGCCTTCCGCCAAACACGAGCACTTTAGATCTTGCGTCGCGTGAGAGAAAGGCACTGCACTTTTCCTTAAAAAAAACATTGCAATTTCCAAAGAATTCTCTGATTGTATGCAAATTTTATACAAATGACACTTGTGGCAGCGATAGAATGTATATAGTTGAAAATAAAAGAGAAAAACTAGTAAGAGAGCGATGATTCTATACGGGGCGGCGGGGGGTGGGACAACTTTCGCCTCCAATCGGCCTACCTGTCATTCCGCTTGCCACCGCACTCGACCCGCTTCGGTTTTTGATCGTCTCTGTTTCTTCCTAGCTCAATTAATGTTGTCCTCAAGTGCCATCTGATCGGATTTTCCATCACGTACACATTGAGAAACGCACACACTCATCGATTTTATGATCATTCGGCCAGCAGCGGCGGTCTTCAGAGCACATTTGTAGTAGCTGCTCCGCGGCCTTCCTCCTCCTCTTCTCCTCCAACTCTTCTTCTTCTTCCTCCTTCTTTCATTTGTCGTCCTCCTTTACTACTCAATATATCGGATATCGTCGGGCTGTACGCGTATCTGCGTCCCCGCGGACGGTACGCTCTCTTCCGACCTGCTTCCGACCTCGAGTCATCGACACTGGAGTAGTAGGAGTCCAGTTAAAACTATTGTGATGCTACACTTTTTCTGTCGATTTCGATCCGATTCGCTTCGCGTTCTCCCCCTCCTCTCCCTTCTCATCTATCGCACTCCACAAAATTGAATGACTTACTCGATAAGGTTCGAGAAGGCCACTCTCACAAAGGTCGGACTGGTTCTCCACCCAGGTTTTTGTTTGATCAAGGCTCCTCGCGGCGGCCGCCGTTCTCACAAAAAAGCACCCTTTAGTAATGGGAGACGACGGTTTTTTCATCCAGCTGTGAGCATATACCGGATTAGCACTTTTTTCTCACAAATGTTTTTGTTTCCGTCTCACCGACTTGGAGCCATTTTGTTATCTGTGATGACGAAATTTCACATCACTCCTCTCTTCTTCTAGTCACTGACACTCAATGAATCACCCGTCCTTCTGTTCCTCCCAAAAGATGGGAAATTGAGTCAACTTCCGGCCCTTTTTCTCGCTTGATTGACTATCTCGGCGGATTCAATTACAGTAAAAAAGGAATTGCTCTGTTACTGCTTCTCTTTTCTCCCCAATTATCTTCTTGTTGCGCTTTTCTTCCCTTTCGCCAAGTACATGTACGTTACACCCTCTTGATCCATCAAAACGCTGGTGGTGTAACCGAAAGAATGAGTAATTACTCGGATGTCTCTCCTCCCGCTGCCAGTCGTTCTTGTGCTTCCTCCTCTCCGCTTCCTGTGACTTTCCTGCTTGATTTCAGTATGAATGCCTGAAAATGATAATCGCGGTGACTTCCGTTCGGAATGCGAAGGCGCCTCCGGAAGGAGTGCCGCCTGCCGTTCCCTCGAGTCCCAAATTCGAGGCGAACGTCGGCTTTCCGGCCCAGCGGAGTCCGTCGACGCCTTCCGTGCACCGACGGATCTTCCCTCCCCCACAGCTCGGATCTTCCCGAACTCCCTCCTCTCAGCTTCCACCCTCTCCCAAACTGAGTAGAACTCCGAAGATGGCCCGAAAATCGATCCCGGCATCCCCGTCCATGTCTTCTCCGCAGATCACGAAACTGAGGGTAAACGGACGAGTAGTCCGGGTGACTGCCATCAGACAGTCAGCTTACTGTGAGTTGTCCATTGCTAAAGCTAAAAATGAACAGAAAAATGACAGTACTTATTATTCTCACACTCACTGAAAATGTACTCATTTCAGATTCCTCATCAGAAGACGAAGACAGCGTCAACGGAGGCACCCTCGGAAAGCGGGATTCGACATTAACACGACCACCTCAGACCGCTCCAAGGACGTCTTCTCTCGGTGAGAATCTCTCCGTTTATCGTCTTTTTAGAGACCTGCCAACTGAGAAAATCTCCGATGTGCTTATCAATTATGCATTATTCTCTCCGAAACCTGTCTTGATTGCAGCATCCAATAAGAAAAAGGAAGCGGATGCGGTACCGCCACCAATTGCAAAAAATACAGCGGAACGACGAAGTGGGACACGGAAAGAAAGAGCCGCAGTTGAGGAAATGCTCCGATTAGTGCAGGAGAACAGAGATCGGAACGACGTGAGTGATCCCGAAAGCGTAGTTAATCTTAAATCGAGGGAATTTCAGCAGCAAAAGAAGGACTACGGAGAGTATGTTCAAGCGAGAATCCGTCCGAAAGTTCCGAATGGAGAAGTGATCCGAGTGTCTCGGCAGGATTATAGGAACAGTAAGATTATCGTGACGGACGGAGACGCGATTCGCATTTCTCCACACAGAGAGGTAGGTCAATTTAAAACGGAAATAGAAAGGAAGAGTGAGAACCCTGAAATTATTGAAACAATAATCTCCGTTAAACCGGAGACGACTGTTTCCGCCCCGAAAATTGCCACAAATCATCAGCGGCCGCGTCCGATTGTTTCCTACTAGATAAATCAACAGAAGATGAAGGCCCATTATGTGTGATTACGATTACACTTGTTTTATTTGTTGCAGGAGATTGAGACAACAATCGATGAAACCACTTCTTTGCCGGACAACGACGAGGCTGTTTATGTGAACACGACGATCGGAGGGGCGAGGGTTGCGTCGCCGAACGAGCCCGGTCAGGACTATCAGAACGCCGTTTTGCGTGAGTTCCACTCATCTTCAACTCTCTTTAAATTTCAATTGTTCAGCACTGAAACAAACAAAAGTGTCTTCGAAGATCCAAAATGTTGTGAATGCCCTTCAGGTGAGCACATTCTTCTCTTTATTACTTTTCTCGAGAAACTCTAAAATCTGGCGAGAAAGTGCACGTGAAACGCCACGCTTCTTTGCAAACTCTTGACGGGTCCGGCGGAGGTGACCAATTAGCCCCGTCTTTCAACATTGGCTCATCTCTCTCTCTCTCTCTCTCTCTCTCTCTCTCTCTCTCTCTCTCTCTTTCCGCTCCGCTCCCGTCCGACGGTTGCAGTCAATCCCGTGCTCTGCCCTCGGCGCCGCGCCTTCTGACACCGCAACAGCTGACCAGCGGCGGGCGCACTTCCCGTCCGTTTATGCAATCCAATCCCGTCCTCCCCTCCTTCTACTTCCCGGGCTCTCTCCAGCTCCGTCTCCCGCTCCCGTCGTTTCTCATCGTCTCTGCTTGTTCCGTAGTTTCTGAGTGATGCCGGCTCTCGCGGGACCCCCGCCTCACATTCTTCCACCGCCACACCCACTATTCGTCTTTTTCATATTTTCTTCTTGAAACATTAGCCCTTCGTTTCCGTCGGAGATTTTTCTAAAATGGCTAGCGATCAGCCATCTCGGGTCTATTTTCCGAGTATGGCTCTCCGGAAAACTCGCTATCTCCGGCAGACTGTCAGTTCTTCCGGCCCCTCTATATTCAATCATCAATCTCGGCGTGTGTCCAGTGAGAATCACAAGGAATATCTCGCGCAACTTCATTCTCGAAAAGCCTCCTCGCTTAAAGAGAAGAAGGTGAAACAGCAAAAATCGGCTGAAGAGGGATATGCGTCTTCTTCGCCGTCTTCTGCTTCTCTCGTTCCTTCAAGACCTCCCATTCCCAAGTATCACCATGTCTGTGAACCATCCTATGGCGATGAAGATGATGTGGCACTAGATGATTGTGCTACAATCACAACTTCGGTCGACTTTATTCCTGGCTTTGGGAGACAATGTGCAACAAGAAATGAGGAGCAGATGCGGAAACATCGCAATTTCATCAACCAAACTGCGCCGAGCACTTCGAGCACAGAAGACAGTTGCCATAGTTTCCGTTGGTCTTTTCGAAGTGAGTCCAAAGATCGGAAGCTGGACGAGGCGGACGAGATGACTATCGGATGGACGCGCCGGAAATCGGCGTTCAAAAAGTGGAAGCTGAATCAGACCATCCGAGCGATCGCAGAGAATTGTCGAAACTCGGTTGGTGCCGCTCAGGTAGTCCGTGTGAAAGTGTTTGAAAGTGAAACAATAGTAGTTGCCGTACGACACTAAAAACGAGGGCGTGGCGACAATTAGGTATAGTGTTCGAACCGGTTAGTCATCAGCCATTCCATTCGCCACTCCACGCCGTTTCCTCCTCGGGACTTCACCCACTCGAAGTCCATGCTGCTGCCATCCCATGTCATATGTCATGTATCGGGCTTCTTTGTGGGGGACGACCGATCATCATTTGTTGTCGTCTAATCAATCAGCAAATGTAATCGGATCCATGTTTTTGGATGTTGGTTCTAACCTTTGAACTGCGCACAAAAAAAAAGCGAGAACACGTGAAGATGGGCTCGAAATCGAACACAGATGTCAGAGTGTTCTGCGAGACTCCAGATGCTCAATGAGTTTTATGCGTTTCATAAAAGTTGAGGGTGGAAGCCTCTTTTTCTTGTTTCCGAGAACTTCGAACTTCTGAGCGCCTGGCCACACCAATCGTAAATAGGCATTTTTATTTGTGCGCCTTCCGGAATGAACAACTGTTCATCGCACTAAGCCGTCACCAGCGATGCGAAAGTTCATAAAACGAATCTGAGAATAAGAGAACGCGCATCTGGATCACATACGCGACTTTTTCAGAGGCCGAAAAGCAAACCCTTGCAAGAGTATTACAACGACGACGATGCAGAACTGGAGGCGATGGCGAAGATCCGAGATCCGGATGCGCCGAGGCCTGAGGGATCCATCATGAATCCGGTGCGAGGGGAGGCCGCCCATTCCAACACCAACAACGCGATGCCGCGAAGTCTAGACAGGTATTCGAGTCTGCCCCTTAACCTTGACTGATAATCTCATTTGCAGTGCCTTCCATCGATTCGGAACGACGGCTGCCAAGAATATCGCGGCAATGGTTCTCGATCAGTCTGCAAAGCCTTCGACCCAGTTGACGTATGGAAAACTTCATAGTCGAGCTGGCAAAGTGGCCTACATGCTTCTGACGAAAACGGTGCAAGTGAACAGGGACGGATCAAAGAACGTGATGTGCAAACCGGGAGATCGGGTCGCTCTCATCTACCCCAACACCCAACCTCTGCATTTCCTCGCTGCTTTCTACGGCTGTCTGCAGGCCGGAGTAATTCCCGTTCCCGTTGAAATGCCGTCTTCTAAACGGGAAGCAGGAATTGCCCAACTCGGTTTTCTTCTCGGAAACTGCGGAGTGAAAGTGGCACTCACTTCCGAATCGTGCTACAAAGGTCTGCCAAAGAAAGTGAACACGTCGTCTACCTTCTCGGCGCCCTCCGGATCCACTTCAACAACTGGCACCAGCAATGAAATCGTCGACTTCAGGGGATGGCCAAGGTTGTGGTGGGCTGTCACGGAACATATGGTGAGGACTTTGGACACACTTTGCAGGAAAACTTATGTTTTTTGTTCTCAGTCGAAGCCGGCTCGTGACTGGACGGCACCGCCACGATTGGCCGACGAAACGATCGCGTACATCGAGTATACGACTGGTAACGATGGCACTGTGAAAGGAGTATGCGTCACGAGACAGGCGATATTCGCGCATTGTAGGGCACTCACAAATGCGATGGAATACAAAGAAGGTAGTGTTCGGCACCTGAACATTGTTCCTATTCGGAACATTCCCTAATTTTTAGATGAGACTATGGTTTGCGTTGTCGATTTCAAACGAGAAGTGGGACTGTGGCATGCCATTCTTGCCTCGGTCTTCAACGGGATGAAAGTGATTTTCGTGCCGTACTCGCTGATGAAAATGAATCCTGCCACATGGATGCACATGGTTTCCAAGTACCAAGCGACGACGGCTCTCGTTAAGTCGAGAGATCTTCACTGGGCACTTCTGGCCACAAGGGATCACAAGGACATCAGTCTGGCCTCACTGAGAACTCTTCTCGTGGCGGACGGCGCCAATCCATGGTCCCTTTCTTCTTGTGATGCGTTCGCCGCTGCTTTCACTCCTCCCCCGTATTCTCTTCGTGCCGATGCAATGTGTCCGTGCGCTGGAAGCTCGGAGACTGGAACAATCTCTATCAGAAGACGTGGAAATGCACAGCTGGGCAGTCAAAGTGGGCGGGGCATCCTTTCCATGTCAGCTCTCAGTCACTGCGTCGTTCGTGTTGATCAGGAGAATTCTTTGACCAGTTTAACTCTTCAGGTGCAAATTTCCGCATTTACTGTCCGAATGTATATAGTTTTGTTTCAGGACGCCGGTCAAATAGTCGCTGGAGCCGTTGTGGTGGTCACAGCTATCGACGGAACGAACCGATTGTGTCAGGCGGACGAAATCGGCGAGATCTGTGTCTCCGCTAACTCAACAGCTCAGTTGTACTGGGCTCTCGATGGACAGACTCAGCACACGTTCAAAGTGGAACCAGTGGGCGAGTATGGAAAGCCAATCGGAGCTGTTCGATATGTTCGTAGTGGGCTGATCGGATTCATGGGTCCCGACGGAATGGTGTTCGTGGTGGCTCGCAGACAGTCTCTCTTGGCCGTCTCGGGCCGCTATCACTCCGCGGACGACATCATTGCCACTGTTCTTGCTGTTGAGCCCATGAAATTCGTGTATCGCGGTAGGATCTGCGTCTTCTCGACGAGTGTGCTCAGAGACGAGAGGATTGTGATTGTGGCCGAACAGAAACCGAGTTGTTCCGAAGAAGAAGCATTTGATGTAAGACGAACACCTTATTTTCTCATTTTATGATAATTTTCTTCAGTGGATCACCCGAGTGCTCCGTGCAATCGACACGATCCATCAAGTGGGAATCTACTGCTGCGCTCTCGTTCCTGCCAATCATCTCCCGAAGACACCGCTGGGTGGAGTGCACGTGTCGGAAACGAAGCAAAGGTTTGAGAACGGAGATCTCCATCCGAGCACTTTACTGATGTGCCCTCACAACTGTGTCCTGAACCTTCCGAAGCCACGCGAACGACAAGCCGACGTTGGACCTGCGGCCATGTTCGTTGGAAATATAGTGCAAGGAGTGCGGATTGCAGTCGCCAAGGGAAGAAATATTGATGATGAGCTGGTAAGTCATTCGGATTTCTCGATCTCCTGAAAGTTGCTCTTTTCAGTCGCTCCCACTGCTAGAATGTCTCCGATCTAGGGCTTCTTCTTCTCCTGATCATCGTATCCTTACTTTGGTCACTGCGAAGAACGCCGAGCAGGATTCTGCCACGTGTGCAACACTGCTCAAAAGGGCCGAACGGATAGCCGGACTGTTGACGGACAGAGCCCGACTGAGTCGGGGAGATCATGTCGCACTCATCTTCCCGCCATCCATCGACCTCGTCGCCGCTTTCTTCGGATGCCTCTCCGCCGGCCTCGTTCCCGTTTGCGTCCGTCCTCCAGTCGCTTCCGACCTGAATACGACTCTCGGGCCGATTCGAATGATGGTCGACATGAGCAAGGCAGTTGCCATTCTGGCTCCACAGAACGTCAGCAAACTTCTGAAAAGCAAAGAAGCCGCTCACAGCATTGATTCGAATGCCTGGCCGATGATACTCGATCTGGAGGATGCTCCGTCGTCGTGGAGAAGAAAGCAGATCAGTAACTGCGACACGACGGCCTCTGGCAGCAGCGGAGCCGCATCCAAAGAAGAGATTTGCTATCTGGACTTTTCCATAAATTCATCAGGACAGCTGCAAGGATCTTCGATGTCGGAAGCATCCGCGATCGCCGTCTGCAAGAGTATCAAAGTGTCTTCGGAACTGTATCCTTCTCGCCACGTTGTCGTCTGTGCTCCGCCTTACAACGGAATATCACTGATCCTTTGGTGTCTGTCTTCCGTATATTCGGGCCACCACACAACTCTCATTCCACCGGCAGAAGTGGATCAACAACCCTCTCTCTTCCTGACAACTCTCTCCAATTTGAAAGTCCGTGACGCGTTCACCACGTACGCCACCATCAATTCCTGTGTCACCCAGTTGGCGATGTCGGTGGAGAATCTCCGCGAGCGTGGATGCAACCTTTCCATGCTGCGCAGTTGTGTGGCGATCGCAGAGGAACGCCCCCGCATCGGACTCATGAGCTCCTTCTGCAAACTGTTCTCTCCACTTTCTCTCAACAATCGAGCCATTTCCACATCCTTCTCGTCTCGAGTCAATGCGGCCATCTGCATGCAAGGAGCATCTGGCCCCGAACCCTCCACGGTGTACGTGGACGCTCGAGCTCTCCGCAACGACCGTATCTCTCTGGTTGGAAAAGGTGCTCCTCACAGCGTTGCTCTCATCGAAAGCGGAAAACTGCTCCCCGGCGTCAAAATCGCAATCGCTAACCCAGAAACCAGAGGCCAGTGCGCTGATTCGCATCTTGGAGAGATCTGGGTCTCGAGTGTGCACAATGCTTCTCCGTTGAACCGAATGGCTACTGGTACCGGATTCGGCGACGAGGCGACCATTAACGCGGACGTCTACAATGCCCGTCTGACCACCGGAGACACGAAAACGCGCTGGGCACGCACTGGATACCTCGGATTCCTCCGCCAAACTCAGTCGATCACCGAGCACGGAGAGCTGCACGACGCCGTTTTCGTGGTCGGTGCGCTCAACGAGAGCCTCGTGCTCCGCGGAATGCGCTATCATCCGTTCGATGTGGAGAGCACCGTCAGCAAGGCGCATCGTTTCGCTGGAAACTCGTAAGTGCATTGAAGACTTGATTCCGTAAAATGACTGTGTTCAGAGCCGTCTTTACATGGACCAACTTGGTCGTCATTGCAGCAGAATGCACTGGCGCAGAGTCGGATGCTCTGGATCTGGTACCGGCAATCACTTCCGCCGTACTCGAAGAGCATCACCTCATCGTCGGAGTCGTCGTTATCGTCGATCCGGGATCAATCCGACACGGCCCGGGTGGCGAGAAACTCCGCAGCACGATCCGTTCGCTGTTCCTCGAGGAGAAGCTGAACCCGATCTACGTGGCCTACCACATGTAACGCCTCCTCCAAAACTTCTCTCAAGTATTCAGTTCGCCCTGTTCAATTTCCTTCCCTTCACTTTTCTTGCCTTTTTCTCTTCGTTTCTTCGTTGTTTCATAATTCCCTTCTCAAAAACACTGCTTATGTTCCGTCCGGGTGTCCTCACTAATGTCTCCCTCACTCTCACATAATTCGTATACTTCCCCCCATATGATCACCGGTTTCTCGCGTCTAGTTCCTCATTTTTCTGTAAATTCCATTATATACACGTTGTCTCATATTTAGTCGTTTTACCCTTCTCATAAGTAATGAAGTCATCATGCCAGTCATCTCATTTTATGATGTGTTTATTCAGAAGAAAAGAAAAAAGAAGCAAAAGCTCACTAGGCGACGTGCCATCAATGAGGAGACAATATTCTAGGAAGCGAGTATTTACACCGTGCACTTCGCGTCTCTAGAAGAGGCCTGCGCGCAGTTTGCTGATGAGGAGAGAGACGTCGAGCCCGACAACGAGGCCAACGGAGCCGGTGCGCAGATATCCGACAGCTGCCGAGAGCAGGGCTGCTCTGTCCTCGAAGAGAGCCTGCTCATTGAATCTGCGAAGAGAGTAAAATGAAAATATCGGGTAGGGATTGGCTCACCGAAGACGGTAACACTTGTCGTACAGGGACAAACTGTTCATCTCCCGAATCTTTAGGAATGTGAGCACAGGGCCGAGGAGAGCTCCGAGTGCTGCTCCGTTCTGTCCACCCGAAACGAACGAATCGCTGAAAGAGAAAGTGGATGAGTAAACTGAACAGTAACGGTCATAAACGAACAAATAGTTCTGCTTGGTTTTCTCCTTCGCGTTGAACAGAAGATAGAGTGGGGCAATCACAGATCCGACGAGTGCTCCCGTTTGAATGCTCCGGATGGTGACACGGATTCCGAACTCGACGTTAGGATTGGGCACTTGGAGCTTTTCGAACTCGCTCGTCTGGAGTCCGACGAAGTTCTTGAACCAAGCCGCGCTCATTCTAAATTAAGGAAATGAGAGCAACCTCTCAATTTTAGCAAAAGGCGATAGTCAGTCGGAATGAGACCGTATATTCAATCACAATTAAAAATCACATGTTTGAGCAATTATTTACTAATTTTGCAACCGATTTATAGTGAGTGCATAATCCCGTTTTTGTTTTTCTTTGAGGAATAAAATACAGATTTAGATTGAAAAGCGACTAGACAGCACAATAATCTATCTGCTCATGTCTACCAATTTCTAGTTACTACTGCAAAAAGAAGAGAAAGATCGAGACCGACGACGAGTCCGATTTGGCCGTTCGAGATGTAGCCGACGGCTGCCGAGGCGATTGCGATGTGATCCTGCCACAGTTGAGTGTGATCGAATCTGATATTTCAATTCTATCTACTGAAGTGATTGCAATAGAACTCACTTGCTCTTAACCAAATTCTGGAACTTCCTGACGTGGTTCATGTTTTTACAGGTCGCCAGTGAAATGACTGGCCCGAGAGCGGCTCCGACCAGTGCTCCGTGCAAGCCACCCATCACGAAAGCGTCACTAAATATGCAATAATTCATCGGTGAACTGAAGGCTAGTCTTACACAAGTTCTTTCTTTTCATTTCGGTGCATTAGAAGTGCGGAAACGGGGCCAAGAACGGAGCCGACGACGGCGGCAGTTTGGATGCTCCGGATCGTCATGTGTATGCAGAACTGAGTGCCCGGACGGGGAACCCAGTCGTAGTAGTCGTCAATCGGCCTTCTCGTCTTTTTGCGAACAAAATCGCGCATTTTTTCAAAGTTTGACCTGAATGCAAAGTGTTACGGTTATTGTTTTCCGAAGAGAAACTCACTTTGCATCTTCGCATCCACCACTGCTGACTCCCATCAATGCGGTCAAACCTGCGAAAGAATGGGAGAGTTAGGCGAAAAGTTAGATGGAAAAGCGAAAGAAATGAAAAAGGTTATCAACCTGCATAGGACGAAAGAAAGAGAGTAAGGACAGGGTGGGGCTTTCAATTTATTGCATAATTGGCGTTTCAATATTTAACAGCTCATGGAGTTATTTTGTGATTAAAAAGTGGTTGAGACCAATAAATGCGGAACTGAGTGAATTTGGAGGGAAGTGTGATGTGGCGCATTATACAGAGAGAACAGGAATTACTTATGGATTACTGAGAAGCGTTCGGTGGATTCTCAGTCATCTCGTTGAGACCAATCTGTTTGAATCGGGTTAGATCAAATGTGAGCACTCCGGAAGTGGTGCAGGCGGCTGGATGGGGGAAGATTCCGATAAGCGAGTCCGCCTTGTTGTAGAACTCTTCTTTGAGAGAAATGACGATGACCTGCATGTGCTCGCGAGCAGATTCACAAATGTACGAGGCCACCTGAAAGGAATAGTTGTTCGATTGGAATAATCGCAAATTCACGCACCTTTCCGATGTTTGTGTTGTCGAGAGCAGCGTCGATCTCGTCGAGAACGAAGAACGGAGCAGGATTCCGACCGTGCACGGCGAAGAGCAAAGCCAACGCGGCAATAGTTTTCTCTCCTCCGGACAGGTTGTCCATCGGACGGAAGCGTTTTCCTGGAGCTACACAGTTGTACTGGATGCCCTCCAAAAACGGATCCTCCGAGTTGTCGGGACCAAGGAATGCTTGGGCAGACGTGTTGCGGGAGAGTTGTTTGTAGATGTCATCGATTGCGTTTGCGACAGGTTCGAAAAAGTCGGCGAAACGACGGTAACGTTCGGTTCTCACCTGAAAATAGCGATTGAATGGAAAGGGAAAAAATATAATAAGAAGAGAAAGAGAGAGAGAGAGAAAGCCACGAGTTGAGGGTCTGGCATGTTGTTGTAAACAGCATCTTCTTTGCGTCTCTCCGTAGTGATGCAATTTAACACTCCCTGGCATCAGATAAAAGATAAACAATTATCGATTGACATAGGTGCGGGAGCCCAATTTACCCGGATTGTAACAGGTTGTCAAGTTGTTCTAACTATCTGAATTACTTCCATGGGTCATATTCGTTCAATTTCGACTCATTTGAACCCACTAGGATACCTGGTACATGCACTAGAGTCCACTAATGTCCAAATTGCTGGAATGTCCTTAAGGGGCAGCAATCTGGACATTTCCGACTTCACCGCGACTGTAAGAGGTTTCCTTACGGCTGCCAAATTTTTCTTTCCGAACCAGGCCCCCAAGTACCGGCGCTCAACTCAAAACACCTATGTCGATTGGCAATAATGTGAACCAAGGATAAAGGGAATAAGTGTTTAGAAAGCGTACCTTCTCGAACTTTTGTCTGATCTGCTTCGCCTTCTTTCGTGCATTCTCGAGCTCTTCAGACGACTCGGCTTCTCGCTCCTTCACCTCCGCCATTCTCTGGTTTGCTCTCAGATTCGGAGCGTGCATTTTGGCCACACTCTTCTTCAGCTCTTCGATTTCCGCGTTTAGAGAGATCGTCGCTTTCCTGATTGCGTCCTCTTCATCCATCTGCAATTCAAATCGTGAGAACGGAATGCCAACAATCGACGGTCAATGATCACCTCTTTGTTGTGTTCCGGCAACGATTCATAGTTTATCTTGATGCGCTGCTCTCGTTGAATCTGTTCTTGGGAAACGCTCGGACTGTCGTGGTTGCCATTACCGTCGTTTCCAGAGGCTTGAGAGTCGGAGTCATCTGCAACTGGCGTACTCAGAATAATTACAGATAACAGCCTTACCATCATCGTCTTCTTCGTATTCGACTTCATTCATACTTCCAGAAGTAAGCGGTAAATGGATTTGTCCGAGTTTCGCCGCGTGGAGCAGCGAATGTCTCTCATACTGCTTCTTGGAAAGAAGACTTTCCAGACGGAACAACTCTTTTTCAGCTCTTGCAAACTCTTTCGTAGCCACCGCCGCCGCCTTCTTCACTTCGTTCCATTCAGCTTCCAACTTCTGCGCCGTCGCTTTCTTCTCGTCTAAAATAGCCTTGTCTACTTCGATTGACTCCTCGTGCTCTTTGTATGCACTCGCCGCCGCCTTCTCCTTTCTCTTCGTCTCCTTGAACAGCTTTTCGGTTTGGGAAACCTGCAATGAAAGTACTTTGTCGTAAAAGAGCATTCCTAATGTCTTTGCTAACGCGATAAGAATGTCCTTATTGCTAGTTAATAGTTTTGTTTGCGGGGAAACAGTTTGAAAGACACGAAAAGTAATTCCGAACCTTCTCCTTTTCGATGTTGACACTTCGCGTGACGTCATCTTCCATGAGGAATTCAATTTCGTATTCCCACTTCCGGATTTCGTCGTCAAACGAACGCAACCGGTCTTCCCTCTCCTGCTTGAATCGCAGCTCCTTGTCCTCGTAGTCACGAATCGATTCAATGCCCACACGCCTGCAGAATTCAGCGAAGACGCGGTCGGAAACTTCATTGCTCAGTGCTTCGAGACGTTTTACTTCAGCTTCACTTTCAGTTACTTTCTCTTGGCAATTAGCAATACGGGGCTGAAATCGATTGAATAAGGCGAATGATTGGGGATAAAACCTACCGGCAACATGTTCAATTCAGCAGTCATTCCTTCCAGTTCGTTCTGAAGCCGCTGCAGTTGATCGTCACGCAAATGCTTCAGATCCTTCTTCCAGGCCGCGAGCCGCATGTCGGTGTCTCTGACCTTTCCTCTCTCCGTTTCCACTTCCAGCTCGCGTCGTCTGTGCTTTTGCAGATCGGCAATCTTCTCTGTTAGCTGCTCCCTCTTTTCGCGAAGCTGCTTCACCACCTTCTCATCCCACTTCTTCGCCTTCTGGCGCAAGTCGGCAGTTCCACCGGACATTACTCCGGATTGTTGGAAAAGAGTTCCGTCCATAGAAACGGCACGGTAACGATCAGAAAGGCCGCTGCCTCCGTAGGCCAACTGCTTCGCATCATCTTGGCTCTCACAGACAAGCGAGTTTCCGCACACAAACTGAAGCGCTTTTCTCGCTTCTGGGACGTGAATATTGAAAACATCGAAGACAAGTTTGACTCCAGTTGGCTTTTTCAGCGAGCGGAGCGTTTCATTGAGAGGGCTCACGATGAGAGCATCATTCGGAAGAAACACTTCTGGAGGATAGCGATTATTTTTCAGGTATGTAATGGCCTTAGTGGCAGTCTCCTCGGTATCGCAGACGATGCTGTTCATGTGCTTCTGAAGGATTTTCGTGGTGGCAATGTTGAATCGTTTGTGAGAAGGCTGGCACAGCTCGACGAGTCTTCCGTAAATGCCTTCCGGGAAAGTCTTCTTCAATCCATCCAGCGCTTCGTTTCGTCTCTGGTTTCTTTCTCCTTCAGCCGAATCTCCGGATGCATCTGACAGTTGGCGATTCACAGACACGAGTTCCTTGTTGTACTCTGCTACCGTCGACTTGTCGACAACCACGTTGTTCTCCAACCTTTTCAGATTGTCCCTTATCGACTTCGTCTCCTCTTCAGTATCCTTGATCTTCTGGGTGAGCGCCGCAATCTGTCGCTCCAGTCTCTGCACGTCTGCTTCTTTTGCATTCACTCTGTCCTGATGCTCTTTCTGTTTTCTCTCCTCGTGAAGCAAAGCACTTCTGTGTCCAACGAACACTTGCATCGCCGACGCGAGATTTCTCTGGACCATGGCCGATTCTCTCTGAGCCTGGTCCTTGAGTTGTTCGTATTCTTTCACTTGGTCTTCCGAAAGGTTCAGATCTCCTCTCTGCGTTTTCTCGGTGACTTCTGCTTCGTACGCTGCCTTTTTCTTCTCCAACTCCTTCTTCCTCTTCTTTAACTCGGCCAACTGGGTCTTGTTGTTGTCAGCCTTCGCTTCTGCCGCCGCCAACGCCTTCTTCGCAGTCTCCAACTTCTTTTTCTCGTATTCAACAGACACTTTCAAGCTCAGAGCGTCTTGTCTTTTCTCCGTAAGATCCTAAATTTAGAAAAAATGAGTTTACTGCCAAGTATAAGACAGACTTACCGCTTCTTTCTGAGTCACTTTCCGTTCTATTTTCTGAACTTCCTTCTGAGCTTTCCGGTGATCTTGTTGCATGCTGCAAATCTTCGCCTCTTCTTCTGTCTTTGTCGAGTCTAATTTCGCAATGACCTCTCTTTGCTCTTTAATTTCTGACTTCGTATCTTCCATTGTTTTCTCACAATGATACAGTTGATGCAAGTAGAGCATGGTCGACTTCGCTGCCAGGTCATTCTTCAATCCTTGATACTTCTCTGCTTCCTCCTTTTCCATCTTCGCTTCTCGCTTCTCCTGTGCAATTCCTCTTCTCTTGTTCATGTTGTGTTGAGTGTCGTCCTCTGCTTTCACAACTTCTACTTTCAGCTTATCATACTCCGCCTGCAACTCGTGCGAACGAGACAATTCCTCGAACAGTTGAGTTCTTTCCTTCGGGTTCTTCATCGCAATATTCTCGATGGCTCCTTGGTAAACGAGGAAGTTTTTAGCTTTGATGTAGATGTTGATCGACTCCATTTCATGGGCGTACTGGGCCGAAGAAACCGTCTGTCCGTCGAGAAGATGCTCCGAAGTTCCGTGGTTTACTCCTCTCGTGAACGACTTGACTCTTCCGTCTGCGTATTTGTAGTTCATAGTGACTCGACACTTTTTTGCCACCGGTTTGTTAATCGGAGCACCATGAATCAAGTCCTGAAATTTCGAATAATTTTACGGAAAGCTTCAAATATTTGACTCACTGCATATTTTTTGACACGCAGACTGCTCGGCTTCTCTCCGAGAACGAAGGAAATTGCGTCCATGAGATTCGATTTTCCAGATCCATTTGGTCCGATGATAGCAGTGAACCGACTGAATGGTCCGATTACGTGCTTTCCTTTGTAAGACTTGAAGTTTTCAATTTCAAGTGTGTGCAGAGATCCCTTTCCTGGGTGATTGTCCAAGGAACTCCCAGACAACATTTTTGATCTGAAAATAAAAATCATAAAAACAGGCTAATAGTGTTAAAATTGAAAACAAGGGAGGGAGGTATGGCAAAAAGGTTAAGAACCAGTTAAGCAGAAGAAAAACAGGATAAAGTGAAGATGAACAACTTTATTATCGACAGTTCGGAGAACCCGTTTCAGCTAAATCAAGAGCCAAATATAAGTACAAGAGCATGTTAATGATAGGCGTTTTCACGGTTGCTCGGTGAGTTCTGCGTACTCGGACCGCCCAGATTTTGAATCAGACGTACAAGATTTACGGGAGTGACTCCTAATGCGATCATCTGAACACAATTGCATTTCGATGAGAAACAAAGAAAACAACTCACCTTTTCGACTGCTGCAGCTTGCTCGAAAGTCAAAAACACATTTAAAAACTTTGCCATTTCAGTAATTTCTGAAACAAATCAATTGATAGCAGTCGAATGAAAGAATTGAACTTACGTTGAGTAGTCCTCCTCGCGTCGCTCATAATCGATGAAGTGTGCTGTTTTAACGAGAAAACGTAGACTCTACAATAAGATTATGCAATTTTTATTTCAATGAATAAAAAATCAATGTAAAACAGTACAAAACAAGAGAATTCAGTCAAAAGCAGCACTCGATTCGACTCAAAAAATTTGAAAATTTCGTGTCGTAAACAGCGCGCGCCCCGTAAAGGCGGAGTGTCGTTGTAGCATTTGGGAGGGTTGCGTCAATTTTCAAAACTAATTTTTTTAAGGGCAATTCCGTAATTCGCAAAATTGGAAAGATTTTCTTTTAGAATGAGCTCTGCTTATTCAACCAACAGCTCATTTCCGATACCCAGCTCAGAGCCTCTCGAAGATCACGAAGAATGCGAAGAATTCATCTCAGAGTTCCTGTCTGGACGTGAGTTTTCATGAACAGTGATCAGAGAAAGCATATTTGTTCTCAGGGGATCTCATCAATCTCACAAAAATTGACAAAGAGCAAAAATCGAAAGAGAAGGTGAAGTACGGCAAAGAGGTTAAATACGATGATGAGGACACAGGAAAAGGCAAACCGGCCTACAAAAAGTATCGCGAGGAGAAACTGAACGAGAGATCTAGTGATAACTAAAAAATTTTAACTAAAACGTCTTCCTTATATCTCAGAATGTGACGCTCAATACATCAACAATCTCCACACGTATTACGGCGACGGCAGTCGGCTCCAGAGAACACCGAAATGCCATTACGCCGTTGATTTCGTTGTCAGTTTTGAGACCCCCAATGTTCTTTTGAGTATTTGCGCTTACAGAAAATCCTCGGTGTTGATTCGGAAGACACGAGCGCACTTAAAAACCTCGAGGTGCAGTTAAGCGGGACTCTCATTCCTAACCCATTTAAAAGGTTTCCAGAAAGAAGGTGACCATTAGAAAATGGATATCACAAACTTACAAAAGAGGATCATTGAAAAGCCGTCTACGACGTTCCGTCTCGTGCATTCACATCAACTTCGAGGAGGAGACAGAGCCGAAACCACTGAGTCCGTCTGCTCGATCCACGATCAATTGGGTAATAGATCACTACAAAACAGGGCTATGTCTCTTTTTTTCATTGCTTCAATGATTATATCTCTAGACCAGATAGGCTGTCCAGACTGAAAATTTCAAAGTGGATACTTTGAACCAATACGGGTTTTTGGGATACCCACAAGTAATCCAAACGACCAGGTCCCAAAAATTCCCTTGTCTAATAAGCGGACTTTTTTCAGAATGCTTCCATTCACAACGTGGGCGAAGAATTCGAATATCCGAGGGAATGTATTTATGTGAGCGAGCACCGCGAACGCAATCAGGAAGCTCTGGGCCGAAACATTGCCCGCGCCTTCCAAGCCCTCATTCCCCACGTCAATGCGATTGTAAGAGTGTTAAAAAACGTTTTTCAACAAATTATTTCTAGGAGCTCGATCTCAAAAGTACTCGAATACTCGAAATTTCTAAACTGCTGTTCAGTACGCAAGATCTGTACGCCTACGCCGTTCCGTCGTGCTATGATGTTCCCAAACATCTAAAGGAATTCTCTTCTGAATTCGAGAAATGGCGTAAAACGAATGTGTGGGTTGACACGCAACCTGTCAAAAGATTTCAAAACGTCGTGCTGGAGTTATCCGAGTTTTGCGAAGAAGGCACACAGTTCCGGAGGGCACGTCATATTTGTTCGCTTTGGCCAAAGTATGGAAGCACGGAAGGCGGCACGACGATCGATTTGTTCGTGGAACTGGATACGGGAATGCTCAGAGCACACAAATCCGTGAAAGGAACAGTTAAAAAGTTGCCGCGGCAATGGGCGAAGGCGCCGGCGGCCATTGTGAAACTACGTTTCAAGGGAGCCAAGGTTACGGATCATTCCAACGAATTCATGAAAAACGTGAAAACTTGCAGAGTCAGGAAGACGTAACAAAGCATATGAATGCGATCAGATCGTTCGGACAGGTGTACATCACTTCCGTCGACACGATTGACCGCCAGCAGAACAATCGAAAGCTTCCAACGGGTGTGATAACGGAAAAGTGGAGCGATCTGTTAACAATCGTGGTAACGGCCGACCTCAAAAAGTACAGTAGGCCAGGAATGTCGAGATTGTTCTGTGAAGACAAGGACTGCATGGGTTTATGCGGTTCGGAGCCGCTCTATCGGAAAGTCACGACGACATTATCGCCGCTTCCGACGCCGACGAGTACGACGATGGTACTTCCCTGGGAGAGAAAGGATTACGGGACTGTAGGGGGCGTGACGGTGTCACGAAGAACGTCCGAGCGATCCGTCTGTGAACCCGCTCCACCACGTCTAAGCTCTGTCGCCGGGGAGGATCACATATTCCAACGGCACCAGTTTCGCAAGTAGTCAATACATCTACGTCATATTATTTCATGTTCTAATCCCGTATTCGTTCTCTTTTTTAATACCTGGTGAACAGTTTTCCGACAAATAAGATTTTATCTTTGCTGTGTTCAGTACAGTGTGAATAGTCATAGGAAAAGTGTGCGGTGGTTACAGACGTAACAAGAAGCGGTAGAAAATTGTGACATAAAGTCATATGTTGAACCAGAAATAAATAGAAAACGATAATTAAGAAGATGCGACATCTCTGCTCGCATTCACATAAACATCACAGGTTTAGATCGGTTGGCAGGCGTTCACGAGCCACGCGTACGCTTCCGCCTTTCCGGCCTTCTGCAGAGTGGGTCCAACTTCCGCGCGGACACGGGCGTGGTAGTTGTTAAGCCAGTCGATTTCCTCGGGACTCAGAAGGCTCTTGTCCACGATCGAAGTCTGGATTGGGACGAGAGTGAGCGCCTGTAAAACCGATAGGAATGTGAGTGGAAGCTGAAACACACTACCTTAAAAGTGAGAAAGTTCGACGCTCCGGAAGCGACCGTTGTCGGAACAGTCTCGTAGCAGTTTTCAATGCGAATACCGTAGCGGCCTTTCGCGTAGAATCCCGGCTCGATGGTGAGCACTTGTCCAGGGTGCAGCTCTCCTCCGGTCGGCAAACTGCGGTGTCCGATTCCAACTGAAAAACCTCGAGTCAAAAAAAAGTAGTTTTACCATTCACTCACTGGGTCCCTCGTGCACATTCAAATAATGGCCAACTCCGTGTCCCGTTCCATGCTCGAAATCCAGTCCGAGCGTCCAGAGGGCGTGTCTAGTGAGAGTGTCTAAACGGGAACCGACAATTCCTTCCGGGAAGTTGGCACGTGCCAAATTGATGTGTCCTTTGAGGACAAGAGTGTTGTGGAATACGAACTCTCTCGGAGCTGCTTTGTACCAGACCGTTCTGGTCACATCCGTCGTTCCGTCCTTGTAATGGGCTCCAGAGTCGACCAAGTACACGTCGTTCGCGGAAGCTAATCTCTCTCCGTCGTTTCCTGCGGGTTTGTAGTGCGGAAGAGCGGCATGATCGCCGACAGCCGAAATAGTTTCGAAGCTGAAAACAGAGATTATGAAGAGGATCAGAGAACAACTCCGACCTCAGAGTGACATATTGGTCTTGCAGGCTTCGCAAGTGGTCTATCTTGTTGGCCAACTCGACCTCCGTGTGCACCTTTCCACTTTCCAACTCCTTCTCCATCCAGCACAAAAACTCGACAAGCGCGGCGCTGTCTCTGAGGTGACTGACGCGCATTCCTTGCATCTCAACGTTGTTCTTCGTAGCCTTTGCGATCTTGAAACAGACATTTTTGGGGAATGGAAAATATAGAACGAACCTGCACGAGTGACGTGTCACTGACTGAGTTGTCCTCTCCGAAAATGGATCCTATCGCATAGTTGCAGTCGGAAGACAAGAACGTAAGACGGTTCTCTCCGGATTGAACCATCGTATTCAGCCAGTAAGATATGTATTCGTGAGCTTTCTCGTACGGATGAGCGTGCACGCCCGACTCCAGAAGATGGCTTTTTCCGGTATCATCTAGCTTCTTCGGATCGATAAAGACGTGGATCTCTTTCATAGTGATGAACAGGTACGAGTAAGTGAGCGGATTGAAAGGGATGTCGCTTCCACGAATGTTCAGCAGCCCTGAGAAGGAATCAGTTAGGAGACTTATTAAATGGACATTACGTACACATGATATCGTCGAGAAGAGTGATCACAGTCGCCACGCACTTTCTGATGCGAAGCTTCTCACGGAGTTCTTCGACCTTCTGGGCGGTCGATTTTCCGCTTTCATGTTCCTTCAGAATATAAGCCGGGCCTCCCTTGAGAGCTGGACGATTGACCCAGAACTCATCGATTAGATTTCCCGGGATTGCGACAGGAATGAGTCCAGCGGACTTTAGTTTCTTGAACATTTTGATTCCACCTTCGAAGGTGGCCAAAGTGGGATCGACGCCCACAACCGATCCGCTTTCCAACTCTCGGATGAGCCAATCGACGACCGCTATCGATTCGGGAAGCCCCTGCTTCATGAGAGTCCAGTGATTGTTGTCAAGCTGGTTTCCAGCTTGGGTGAAGTAGCGACCGTCCGTCCAGAGCAGAGCCTTGTCGCCAGTCACGCACACGTACGCATTAGAGCCGCTGAATCCGGACAGAAACTTGACGCGGAAGTCATAATCGGCCAGATACTCGCTCTGGAAACAAGAAAAGACGGTTTGGTCGGAGAGAAAAACGGAAAAGAAAGGGATACCTGATGAGCATCGGTGCTTGGAAGCAGATAGGCCGTCAGAGGCTTATGGGCAGTGAGAGCAAGCACGCGCTCACTTTTGAACAGAGCTCTTAGCTTTGAGAGTTTCTCGACGGCAGTCATCGCGTCGACTTCACTCGGCCTGGAAATGAGCACAATTAATATTTTTCGGTGGAAAATTGACACGAAAATTGTGATAAAACGCTGTGAGGACGATTGATAAGGGAAAATCGACACACAAGCTCGCTACGAAATTATAAATCAATCGGTTTAGAGAGAAAAGCGTCTGAAGAGTCGGAAAGAGTCCGGATTGTCCGGCAGAAAAGGAGCGAAACAGAGATGAGTCGAAGAGAACAACACTCGGAGCGAAAAAAGTGTTCGCGCGTCTGCGCACTCCAGCACGCAACGCTATTTCGCGCGGGTGTGGCGGCAGAAGATAGAAAATTTACCGGCAAAATAAAACTGTTATGAATAGAACAGACAAAATGTGGAGAGGCATCGGGAAGACGACATGCGGAAAGCGTATGAAAAAGAGTCGAGCTTCGGCAGGTCACGGAAAATATATTTATCACTCTTATTAATAAAAATCTTGGGAGTCTGTCCCTCTTTTTATTTATTTATTTACAAGACTTTTAAAACCGGGGCCCGCTGCGCGGGCCGAGCTACGTAACGCTTGGTAGCAAAGAATTAGTTGATGATTCTGATGAGTGAAATGCGCCTGTTTGTTTGCAGAAGGAGAGGGAAGAAGAGAACTAAATCAGAAAGTATTCAGAATACGTCTGTCGGTTTGTGAATCGGAGAAAGAGGGGATACCGCAAATCAGAACGCTCCTCAATCAGAACTTTCCTAAGTCAGAACTGTCTCGAATCAATCTGCAGGTGGATTTATTACGATTGCTTGCAGGAGTGGCATTGACCTTATAAGGGCGCTGATATCTAGTGCCTACCTAATAATGAACTGTCGTAAAGTAGTCGATTACGACAGTTCAGGTACTCACGTGTACTTGTATTAAATATTGAGAATTTAAATTTCAAAGAAGTGGAAGATGCTGAACAAAAAACTTGTTCACAATAGAAACTGACAAGAATTGTACCTGAAGTTTATTGAAAACTTCAGCAGAAAAACTCCGAGTCGGAAGAAAAATGTAACCTTTGCTAACTGATGTGAATTCAACGTTGTGAAAACGATGATCAGCAAAGGTAAAAGTTAAAGTTGTCGATGAAAGATAAACGAATTCAGGAGCACACTGTATATCAGAAGACTCGTATTATTCACTCAACAAGTGTAATAAACCCTTTCATCTAGTTCCGTCATTTCGTTTTCCGTTTGTTCGAAGGCGTCGTCGTCGGAGTGACTGCCACGTCCCTTTCTTTCCGCTTCACCACAGTGCCTTCCTCCGGAACAATGAAATCTGCTTTCGCTCTTTTCTCCGCCATTGCGTGCTTTTTCAGTTTCTCCTTCATCGCCGCTTCATCTTTTCTCCTCCAATTACTCTCAATCACTTCTACTTTATGGGCAGAAGCGGTCTTCGGAATGTAGCGTCGTTTCGCTCGTTTACTGGCTTCCGTCACAACAACTTTCGGCTTGCTCTCTGTCTGAAACAGAGCTGAACGGAAATATTCCATTCTTCGTCATTACCGTAGCGACTTTGCCCTCAATGATCGTATCGTCTTGTGCTGTGTTCAGTTCGCCATCGTCATCCGCCATTTTCCCGGCCGCCACCACCTCCTCCGCACTGATGTTTCTCTCCGTCTCCGGCACCATCAACAGTTTCGCCAGATCCACTTCCGTCATGTCCTTTTCAGTGACAGTCGGACTGAAATGATTCGTTATTGCTTTTGAAAATGGAGCACATAACTTACAGTGTCGCTGTCTTTTTCTCAAAGTGAATCTCGTACCGACCGCCCTTCTCCCAGTCCACTTTCATTTGAGGGTTGAAGCATTTCCGTATGAAAACGTTGAGAAGGAGATCCCGAAGAAGGCAGTAGTCGGGTTTCGATTTGTATCGGAGAACAGAGAGGTGCTGGGCGAAAGAGACGAACTCCTGCTCGAGGCCGTTGAACAGTTCAGTCACGTCGCCCTTCATCACGATCACCTTCTCTTCATCCGAAATTCCCGCCCACGGCAAAGATCCTTTGACGAACTCGACGATCATGTAGAACAGAGACCACAGATCGTCGTGTCTCCCTTGCTCCTTCCGGTCCTGCGCAGCCACTGAGCAATAACGGAGCGTGCCACGGAAGGGCACAATCCTCCGAGGTTTCCGGATCCGCAGTCCTGTTCCTTCTTCGTCTGCAACCAGAAACTGACGAGCGATTCCAAAGTCGAGAACATGGACGAGTCGTTGTTTCGGTGTTCCGAGCGATCCGATTGCAAAGTTGGCGGGCTTCACATCTCGATGGACGTAGCCGATTTCGTGGATCTCTTTGAGGGTGTCCAGTGCTTGGATGACGATCACCAGAGTTGAGAATGTGGAAAACTTCTGAAAAATAAAACGTTGCAAAGAAAATATGGGAATGCGTAGAACATGAGTGGGGATGGCAGCTCGTATGGCATCGAGAGAAGGACCGAGGAGAGTCATGACGATGAACTGATAGTTTTCCGCCTGTCCCTTCTCGATCAGTTCCACGCAGTGAATGGAGTTCTTTTCGTTGAGCAGTGATATCACTTTGTGCTCCATCGGCAAAGTCGGATCCTCATCTGGCACCGTCGTCTCTGCCTAAACCACCGTGTTCATCTCAATCTCTTCCATCTTCCGCCCACTTTGCACGCGAATCTCCGTCCGGGGCATTTGAGCATGGCAACCTCGTAAATAACTCCGCATCCACCTTCTCCGAGCCTTCTGAATGCCTGAAATTCGGGAAATCTCGACTCTATCGAAGAGTTGTTGTAAAACAGACCAAATATTTTTTGTTTATCACAGATGCAACTTTTATTTTTGGTCTCATCATCGCCATTCGTTTCGCTTTATAGAAATAACTCGAAAAAAAACATCGAGGAGAAAGGAAGCAGATGTTTATGGTCCAATGCTTTCACGTAATTCTGTTCACCAAATGTCACAAACTTCTTCGTTTTTCTGCCAATTCTCCAGATGTATTCCACTGCACTGAGTCCAGCGGATCTTCGTGAATGCAGAAGATACGCACGGGCGGTCATCTCCTCATCTTTTATTTCCTCTTTGAGACATGTTCAAGTTTGTTGTAATATGATTCCGAACGAATTATGGAAATTGTAGACGTTGAAAAGAATCGATGAATCCGTTGAGAACATGCGAAAGAAGCTCTCGAGACCGAGGTTCCAAATCGGAAATTCCATTGACACCTGCTCGCCTACCACTACTCCCCGGCAAGGCCACATTTCCTTCAACATCTAATTAGTCCATTTCAGAATGAAAATGGTCCACGAGCCAAGAAAAAGAGCCCCCGAACTGCCGGTTCGTCCCAAGAACTGGTCGCCCATAACAGATGGCAAAAAAGCAATCACAGGGATGATTGACCAAGTAGAATTCATTCTCTATTCTCCGTCTAATTCGAATCTTGAAGATGTGGTGCGTGCCATATGCTCCGAGCCAGTATGTCGTCCAATTCATCTGCACAGTCTCCTTAGTGGCTCTTCAAAGGTACCGAACCCAGCCCCGTGCCACGTCATCACCATGATTATCATTCTTTCCAGACACAAATACTGTGTTCGATGGCAGAACGGCCGTCGGTCGGCCATGTTCTACGTGAACATCGATGAGACGGATCGGGAAACGAGCGTGTGGGTCAGTTTCCCTGGAGAAGTAAAGGCGCATCGGTGAGTGAGTGCACCGTTTAATATGATTATTATTATTGTTGTTGGGGGAGAGTATTATGTGCATTTGCGCAGGTGAGCTGACATAGTGGACGGAGACGCAGAGAGTGCATTAGGCTGCCAATTTGATTCGGAGAGACTCTTCCGTAATGGAAGCCTCGATACGCTTGCGATTTCCCGCATTCGGGTACGTGTCATTCACACACCGAAGGATTCTTTGAATGGAATTCTCATGTTTTCCGCAACGGGTCTTCGTCGAAAATCACTTGGAAATGCAATAATCCCAAGTGAATCTGGCATACGAAATGAGATGCATATGACCGAGTTATAGCGGCATAATAAAACAGCTGCCCGGGCCGATTGTGCAACGTCTTCCGACCGCGAGACGCTTCCAATTAACGTGCTCTTTCTTGCAGACCGCATACGTCGTCCGCTCATTTCCATCGCTTCCTCCAACGGAACCTCTTCTGAGCCGCGGACTTCTTCTCCTCCGTAATCACGTTTTCGGTCGTCGTCGTCTCGCGCACAATAATACCATATGCCGTTGGTCTGCGTCTCCGTAATTATCACACTCTCTGCCTGCTGACAGCCGTGTGTATGCTAATCCGGACCGGCGGTCCTTCTCTGCCCGGCTCCTAGTGTTCCTTCGCCCCCTGTTTAGCATTCATTTGTTGTTTATTATGACATCTTCAGGGTTTTGTTCGTCTGCCAAATCAAGTGGCCAGAACAGCCACTATGATGAATGTTTTCTCTTTTCTTCTCCTTTCCAAATAAATTCTTCAAATATCTTTTACTCATGATAAATATAAATTTTTGTTGCGTAATTCTGATGACTCATTTTCAGTTGTTGTCTTCTTTTTTAGTAATTTCAACCGTGCGCCTTCAAAGTTTACTGTACTGTTTGTCTGTTTGTTTCTCATTTCGCTCACACTACAAAGCCTTCCGTTCCGTTTCGCCTTCCGCCCTATTTGCATATTCTTCCGAAAACCAACTGATTCTCTCGCAAGTTTCGCCTCGTCCCCGACAATTCGCGAGTTTATTCATTTCCGCCGATCGCGGGAGGTCGTTCCGAAAACAAGTCAATCCAGTCTCTCTTCGGACGCCTTCGCTCGCATTCCGATCGCGTTAATGTTCTTCCAACTTTTCAGAGAAACTGCAAAATGCCTATTCCACAGTGACAAATAATGCCTTATTCCCATTTCGACTTCCTTCATGAGACTCCAACCCAAATGCATTTCGAACTGAGCCGAGGTGACAGCTCTTGTAGGTACAGATGACGTGCGGCAGTTGTTTTGCGACATCTATCATTGCGAGTTTCCCATGTCAAAAAAATTAGTGTTACACATGCGGTGCCGTCTTTCTCTTTTTCTTCTCTCCCTCGCCCGCTGACCACCGTCTAATCTGCCCTCCCGTCGGCCCATTTGTTTCACCTCAAAGGTCACTTTTCTTCTTCTTATTCTTCTTCTTCTTCTTCGACGATGTTATTCTTGCGTGTTATGTTCCCCCCGAACCCTCATTGAAACGCTCATTAATTGTCGATCCGTCTGAGTATCTCTGATCCGTTCACTCTTTTGTCGCCAACGGAGGATCTCAATGTTATTACTGCAAGAAAGCGCGAGGAATCAGACAACGCCTCACGGCCAGTTCGCACCGTTAGATATTCTTTAGTATTTGACCCGAACGCACCAAGAGAAAGACGGGATGTTGTTCGTGTAGGCAACGTTCTTTCAAAGTTTGTCACAATGCCAATTTGTTTAAAAAGCTTCTTGCTCCCTCCCCCTCTTCCGACCCATTCTTGCAAATCTTTTCGTCGTTTCCACCACGCAACACCATCAAAAAAGATTATAAATACGGCGTAGAAGCACGCGACGTCTGTCTCTTCCGCTTTTTCCCTTCGTCTCTGCTCCAGAAGACCTCCTCCTACCTCTGTCCGAACATCCATTTGTTTTTCTCTTTTTCTGTGCCGAGTGTGATCGTACTGCATTCCCATCCTCTCTATTTTTGCGGCTTTTTGACAAATCAAATTACGCTAGACGGCACTTTGTCAATACGATTTCTCTCCATCTCCGAACATACAAATAAACACATAAAAAATGGAGAACCCGTAGATACCAAATATGGACAAAAACATTGTTCGGTTCCCCGGCCCCCAACTAACTCGATTTCGAAAGGGCAAAAGGTGTTCGCTTGGCCGTTCTGGTCAGAATATTGTCGCCTGCAAACGCGCGATATATCCGTCATTTTCGTGCGTGCCTGACAGCTTCCACCCATTTCCGGAGGCGGGTTCCCTTCTTCAAGATGCACCGCCCGATAAGTGCACAATACGCTTTGTGTCGTCCTCCGGATTCCAATTTCGTCGCACCAATTCGTACCTCCTCGCTCTTCTCTTCCCAATTTCTTTCTTCTTTTCTCCTTTTTTGACGGCCATCCAGTCGCCGAGAACTTGTTCGCTGTTAGCGTCGTCTGTCCTTCTGCGTCGTTCAAACCCTCGTGCCGCTTCCTCATCTCATTACTTAATTATGCCTCTTCGCTTCCCATTCCACTCGACTTGTATTCATTCTTGTGCTCCGCGAGCATCACCACCCGGCTCCGGAAGGTCGAAGACTCGGCTCCAATTATGTGGCAACTCGCCACTTGCATCTCCTCTCATCCAGTCATCCCAATTTATCCCCGGATGCACGTGTGTGTCACTTTCAATTTATGGAAGAGATGTGATCCCGGGATACGGACAAGTCATGTCCTTTTCGGTTCGTTCATTTCCCTCCGAATCAGAATGCTGTTAAATCCGTCGGAGAAGAGCTCTTTCCGCGGCTTTTCCTAGTCCTCTTTGCTTCAATTGAAATGAAAATGAGCATTTCACGTCACTCCACTGTCCTTCTCCTTTCCTCTTCGTCTTACGACTGAATCCCCTCAGTTATGAATAGCTTCTCAATCTCTGAACACGGGTCGGCAAACAAAAAACATAAAGAGAAGTGCCAGAAACACACATATTGGCATGCTCATCATCTTAGTTTTCCATGTTCTGTTTACCTCCAACCCCACCACTTGAGAATGGCGCCTCCCTCCCGCCGCGTCCCTCTACAGTTGTTGTTTGCCGCCGGGCTCAGGCGCCCTCCATGCCCTCTTGTTTCCCTTTCTTTCTGCCCTTTCCATTTGCATGCGAAGTATGGGCGGGCGTCAGGGGACGCAACATGACCGACGTTAATTTATTGCAATCATTATGATGGCGCATCGAAGTCGTTGAAAGCTTTCTCTCTCGCGGCCATCTACTCGTTTTTCCTGTTGTTCGAAACTGTTCCCAACGGTTGTGTCATGTGATTAGTAGAGCCAGCCCCGCAACCGTTCTCTTCCCGCCCTCTTTCGCATATTTGCATTCGTTTCTGTTGGTTTTCGCACGTTTCGACGAGTCGCCTGCACTACCCCCACCGGGTTTGCATTCATCTTCTGAAAGGCTCTCGGAAATTGAGTGGACCTCGGCTATACTTTTTTTGAGGAATATCCTCTCGCTTCCGAATGATATATACTCAAATTGCCGCTGACCCCCGCAGTCTTTCATTCTCACTCTTGATCTCTATGCATTAGCAAATGTCTGTCCATCCCCTCCCATCTTAAAGTTGGAAGAATTGGATGTGGCAGCGAATTAGGAAATACCATTTACCATTTGGTCGCTCTCTCTCTCTCTCTGTTAATCGATACCGCTATCAATCCAACCAGTGTATGTATCGTCCGGCCGCTCGCTCTTTTCTTTCTCTTTGTGAACACTATGACCGGGGCGACGAACTTCTCCCGCTGCCACATCACACTTACAAACAAACTTTTGTGTCTATCTGACAAACACGCCCTTCCCAATGTTACTTTCTTCTGTTCAAAACGTATTGTTTGTGTCGTAATTGGTGTGCACAACGTTGTAGTAATCGTTGCATTTTGCCCGCGAATCGCAACACCAGCTCGCGTTTCAATTTAATCAAAACACTTCGCTTCCTTTCTTTCTCTCGCCTCTTCCTGGTCGCTTTCCTTATCACTTGCGCCTTCTTCCTCACTTTTCTTCTCTTGTTTTTCGCTCCGTTTCGTCACTCTGTGCTCACACATTCCGATTGATAGGCTGCCGCATTCGGATCAATGTGGTTCGAGGAAAGTAGTTGGTCGAACCTTCGACTGACAGATCTCGTCGAGGAATGGCGAGATCTGTGGCCCTCCAAGATCGAGTTCATCGTGTCAGCAATGGCCTACCTTTTCGCCATGACCAACTTCTTGAACCTGCCAAAACTGATTCTGGAAAACGGAGGATGTAAGTTGGAATTGACAAAAGATAGTTACGCGGTGATAATGGTTCGTTTTCAGTGGCCTTCGCGGCGGCGTACGCAGCAGTCGTCGGAGTTCTTTGCATGCCAACAATGGTCTTGGAGATGTCGATAGGGCAAGTGACCGGAAGAGCCCCCGTCCTTGCCTTCTACCATCTGTTTCCCGTCTTCAAAGGTTTGGATTTGAATACTTTCAATTTTAGTGAATGATGGTGTTGTCCAGGAATTGGAGTCTCGCAAATCCTGTTCACTCTCATCGTGCTCGCCTGCATGACGAAGTTCCTTTCGACGCTCTGTCTCTTCCTCTACTACTACTTCTGGACGTTCCAAGCCGGCCGTACCGGGCTCCCATGGCTCAATTGCAAAGCATTTGCGGAATTCGTGTCGCAGCCTTGCCGTGAAGCCGGATCGATTACGAACATTACTCAGCTTAACAACAGGCTGAACACAATTCAAGCGGAGAGTTCCATGATGCAGTTCTTAACGACTCTCGAGAGACCGAGCGAATCCATCGCCGATTTCAAAGAATTCCAGTATCCGATTCTCATTGCTCAGGGAGCCGTTTGGGTCGCTGTTTTCATTGCCATTTGCTTCGGAGTCCGATTCGTTGGCAAGACTGTCGCCTTCATTCTGATGCTCTCTTTCTCCGCTCTTCTCGTCTTCTTCCTCCGCTCTGCAACTCTAGGAGGAGTCACCGAGATCCTCGATATCTACTGGAAGGCGACCGATTGGGAGAGATTGGCAGACTATCAAGTGTGGAGACTCGCCGTCGAACAAGCGATTCTCGGAACTGGAATCGGGTTCGGAGCCTTCATCACGATGAGCAGCTACATGAAAAGAAGCAACAACCTTGTCTGGTCAGTCTTTCCATTTTCCGTTTTTTTTTCAAATGTTCAATTTTTCAGCGACTCGATCTTCCTCTCCCTCTGGCATCTCGTCATTTCATTCGTTCAGACGATGTCAGTCATATGCATCGTCGGATATCTCAGCATGAAATTGGGAATTCATCCGTCAGAGCTGCTGGAAACTGGCGAAGATCAGATGTGGTACATGTTGGCGTACGTTTCGTATCTTCCGAAACTCTGGTCTGGAGTGCTCCTCATCATTTGCATCTGCACAATGTTCTCCGTTATTGTGAGCACAAAATCTGGATGCCCAGTTTATATATTTTTCCGTTTTCAGACGATCCTCGCCCTTTCTGTTCTGTCGACCGTGGAGGATGCGCTCGGAGAGAACTGGTCCAAGTGCTGCCGTCGATTCGTCCTCGCCCTGTTCCTCTGCTCATTCTGCTACGGACTCACTTTGTACTTTGCCACGCAAGCGGGAAGACATGCGTACGAACTGGCCACCAGAAGCATAAAATACATCACCATCTACATCATTCTCGCCGCGGAACTCTTCGCCACCGCCTGGTTCTACTGTGCTCATAAACTCGGAAAGGACCTTCACAACATGATGAGATCGCGATGCTGCTCGTGTTTCGGACACTTCTTCCTCTATTTCACCTACCTGCTCCCAGTTCTGCCAGCGGGAGTGGCTCTTCTGAATGCCATCGACTACAAATTCGCCACCTTCTCGGCTCCGATTCACGAATGGAAGTTCTCCGAGTATACCGGAATCGCGATTGCTCTCGTTCCGCTTCTTCCCATCCCCCTCTACTTCTTCATGACCGTTTTATGCGCGTGCTGCTGCAAAGGAAAAGATCATCTGAAGACATGCAAGGTAATTTCTGATCTTCAAGCGCACAGTCAAATGGTACTTATTGCAGAGAATTCGTTCGGTGTTTGGCTCCCGCCTTCAGACGCATCACCAGCGAACCGAAAAGTCTCAGCCGATCCCGCGATACACCTCCAATGCTCCAGGATATCTGCTCCTCCCGCAGGCTCCACTTGCCGAGCCGGAGATCTATGCATAGACGCCTTCTGCGCATCTCTCCCCGTTTTATCCATCTACCTTCCTTTTCTCGATCTTTTCTGCTATGATTTTCGAACGATCTCACGGCTAGACTGAGATGGGCTCTCTAATATTCAAGCGTTTCCTCAGACAACGAATACTCCGCTAGAATCCGTTCAACTCTAGTACATACCCTCTCGGTTCCTTCCTGTCGCCCCTCGAATCTTTCCTGTCCTTTTGCCTGTGTGTCTCGCGCACTTTCCTGCCTTCCTATCTGTCATTTTCCTATTCATCTTTTCTTTATCATTATCTACTTTCTGCTAATTATGTGAAATTTGTGAATATCTACCGGTGCTCGTCGCAGTCCCTTCTTCATTTCTTTCTTACTTCATCACTGCTAATAAATAAAGTAACAGTCTTGTGTCGTCGACGAACAAAACAAACAGTGGTGACTTTAGGCAAACAGAAGAGGGAAAGATCAGAATGTGAACAGTGGCAATCCATTCATTTAAAATGAAACCATCGCTTCAACCGGTCGAAACTATGGCTCAGAATGACACGGACCGCCTTATTATGGTACTTCTGCTCATTGTTTTCCCGGTCAGTTTCATGCTCAATTCCTCCAAAATCAGTCCGATTTTTGCAGCCGCTGGGAGTGCTTCTGAAGAGCAACGGCTTCTCCGCGGCAGTATATTTCTCCTTCTTCCTCTACCTCCTGTTCGTGATTCCCTCCTACGTTTTCTCAGTTTGGTACTGTTTCGTCGAACAGCGACACGACAGCATTCTGCCCTTAAACGCCAACAATTTCAACAATAATTTATCACTAAACAGTCTTTCAGCAATAGTCAGTCACAAGGATGTACAAGTATACTGAATAAATGGATTCTTATCTGCCTAATGCTGCACAGACTTTTTCTTTCCGGGCTTCTGCTCGACCGCCGTCGCCCCGATGCTGTCCCTCCGCTCCGTGCGATTCCTCCGATTCTTCTGCTGCCGCAGCTTCAGCTTCTCCTGCAGGGCCATCGCCTGCTTCTCCCTCTGCAGGTTGTTCCGTCTTTCGAACTGTTTACGCGTCTCGTCGTACTCGTCCAACTTCTGTTTTACATCGCCGAACAGGGCATCTTTCGAGGGCAGCGGAGCCAGTTTGTTGAGCGGAGCCACGAGATTTCCGTCCTGTTTTCCCATCTCCAGAATGCCCTTCACATCCGCCTCCTTCAATTTCGCCACGTCCTTCAGTGCCTGTCTCTCCAGCTCTTTCAGCTCCTTCTCCAATTCGTCATCCGCCACGTCATCATAGTCAATCTTCATGTCCACATCCAACTGCGACTTGGCCAACTTCTTCATCAGCTGCAGTCGCTCCTCCCTCAACGCCTTCTGCTTCTTGATCAACTCGTTGTTGGCCTGGTCCAAATCCTTTCGGATCGTGTCATTGATCACTTTGTCGAACCACTGAATGAGCGACGCCACCTTCTGCTGCGTTTCTTGGAAAACTTTCAGAGCCTGAATCAAATATTTGCTTTTTGTATTTAAATGAAGAGAATCAATACCTTTTTGGTCTCCGAGTCGTTGTTCACAGTGCGGAATGCCTTGTTGACGGTGTCCTCGAGCAGTGCGATCTCCTTTTCGGTTCCGTACGGAAAGTCCACTTTATTCAGGTACATCCGACACGATTGCACGTTCTGCGCCGCAGCCACAAAGTTGTTGCGGGCTTCCGCGGCGGCGAAATATCTGCCCCTTTCGTTGCTGAAATGACGCATTTTTTTTCTTCTTTCTCTTTCTAGTTCCTACTCTTTCTCAATCTTCTGCACGTCCTGCCATCGGTTGATTCCGAACGTGAGTTGAGTGAGAGCATGCACGAGAAGAACCCGTCCGTTGGCCCATTTGAACATGGCGAGAGAGACTCTCTGCTGCCAGTCCACCATGTCATCCACCTGCGACGCCCGTTTTTCAGTTTCCCATCCGTACCGCTCACCTCTCCTTCCAGTACATTTTCTTTTTCCGAAGCATAATCCGTTCCGAAGATCGCCTCGAGCATCTTGTCCTGTTTCTCGTACAACGCGTTCAAGTTGTCCGTCTGTTGCTTGTAAATCTCCTGGATCTTGACCGCGTTGTCGTAGTTCACTCTGGCGATGTTCAACTCTTTCTGGACGGTCTCCTGCCGCACCACCGCCTCCTCGTACTCCCCCTTTTCCTTCGAATATCTGTCATCCCACTGGCCCTGCTGCTTCAGAAAATCCTTCACCGACGGCTGCTCGATGTTCTTCAAATCAGTTTTCTCCCGCTCCCTCAACACATTCTCTTACTTCGTTAGTCTCCCCGATCTCCCTGACTCACGTCTGCTTCTTTAATTCTTTTAGAACTGCCTCCAGTTGTTCTACCGTATTCTTCAAATTATCCGCGTAAATTGTCTGCGATTCAAACTTCTTCAGCACGTTCTTCCTCTCCAATCGATTGATTGCCTTCTCCAGATTCACATAATCCTGAATTCAAGTGGATTTTCCGAGTATTCCTTCTCCTTTCTACCTGAACAACACCTTCCGTGAGCTTCAGAGATCCACCTTTCGGCGCCACCAACTCCGACGTCGGCGTCACTTTCGCACTTCTCTTACCAACTCCGCCCTTCTTCGGTTCTTCCTCTTTCAGTTCCTCATTTCCCCTCCTAACCACATGCTCCGCCCATCTCTCAACCGGTTCCGACTTATCCTTAATTTATTTACATGTAAACATTTCCACGTTCAATAAACTGACCTTTGTGATTTCCTCCACTTGATCGCCTCGTTTCGACGGTGTAGAACCCATTGCGAAGCGAAGAAAAGAGCTTGGTGAATGTAAAAAGCTCTATTCGATTCTCCTGCTGTGTTCTTTTTGTTGCCATCGCCGAGCGAGAGGGCCGTCCGGAACCATGGAGATGTCGTGGTGGCCCTGGAGACTCCGAGCGACGGGCGACAAGCGGCGTATACATTTGTCGGAAGGCAGTGGAGAGATGAAGGAAGGCTATAGCCGAGACACGTCACACATCGAATAGATTCAGATTTATTCAGATTAGGAATGGAATACAGTGAGAAGAGCGGCCTTTAACATTCTTGCCTCGTACGTGACATTGCATTTCACCTTCGACTCATTCGCCACTTCGAACAAATCATCGGGGACCGTGTAAATGCCCCGTCCGGGAACTTCACATCTCGTCAGGAAAGTGATCAACTCGAGAATGACCGAATCTCTGATGATCAGCGTGTTCTTGGCGAGCAGCTCGATCGCCGCCACAATGCACCGTTTCGCGTAGTACCACGTGTCCACACCCAGCTTCTTCTCCGGCGGATCCAACGCTTTGATGACTCTTGTGATGCCGAACTCAAAGTTACCCTGAACGTGTCAAATATGAACACGAATTGAGGGTGCTATACTAACTAACCTTGCTGCAATACAAACTGCCGATTACCAGACTGATGATGGAATTGTGGAATAGCTTCTCGCCGGGATTCTCCTCCGACACTCGTTCTTCTTCCTTTTCCACTTTCCGCAGAAGGTCCTCCGCTTCTTCATTTTGATTCGACATTATGTAACAGACGACGAGATTTGCCAGAATCATTGCGGGAACTTCCAGAATCTAAAACTCATTAACCTTCGTTTCCCCTCTCTGCTTCATTCTTCTCACCGCCTCGTCGTACTTCTTCGTCAGAATCTGCTCGTAAAACGCGGCCGCCTCTTTGTACTTCTTGTCCTGCATGAATATCGTGTGTGCCACGTTCAACTTCCACGTGTCATGCTCCTTACAGTAATCGTGGGAATTTCTGAAAGCATATCAGCTTTGGCACTTTCTTCCCCATAACAGTCACCTACCTGAAAAGTTTCTCGATCGCTTGATAGTTCTTCTTGTCCCAATAATATTTTGCGTACGTCATCAGCACGGGAAGGTACATTTCAAGTGAATCATCGTACGTTTCGATGAGCTTCTTCATCTCCAGAGAAGTGTCCTCTTCGGACGAACCCTGCTCCTTCCTCATCTGAATCTCGATGGCAGTCTTTCGAAGTCTGTCCAAACATTCCTTCTCGAGCTTCTCCAACTTTTTGAGACTTTCTTCTGGATTTGTTGGCATGTAGATGAGTGCCTCCAGGAAGTTGAATTGATATTCATTGAGGCAGTAGAATGTGTGGCTCGGATTCTCCGCCAAAACGTCGGCGGCCAATCCGAAGTAGTCATTCTTACAGTACAAGAACAGAAGATTGGCGAATGTCTCCTGAGGGAACGGATTGATTCCGAGAAGAAACTGAAGCTTGGCCGAGCTGTCGCCGAAGTCAGTGTTCGCATTGCTGATGGCCATGTTGTGGAGGGTGATCGGATCGGCGTCGTGTTCGTTGCGCGGCGGCATGTCCGTCAGACTCTCTTTCGCCGCTTTCACTGTAAACGATAATAATCCCCACACTCTCCGCCCAATCCTCACAATCTTTTGTCTTGTAATAGATGGCGAATTTCAAATTGAACGCCTCGATTAATGCAGACTCGTGCAACTTTTGAGTGTTTTGTATATAACTGAAATCCAGTCCCTCGGTGACCATTCCAATATTGAAGTCTGAAATCTGTGAGCTTCTTGACAAGTTCGAAAGCTTCTCGTACCCGGATGCTCTTTGACTCCCCGATTGATTATCTCGGCGATCAGCTTGAGCGCACTGTCGTAGTCGTGCCGTCTGTAGTGGCAGAGAGCAATAGAATAGGCCAGACCGGACTGAACATTTAGTTTATTCCCTGTCGTTCTCATTCCTTATCGACATTTAGACTAGCTGTACTTAACACACAAAGTACGGGCAGTTTTTTGTCCGCATGCCCAGTCTGCGTATCCCGGTGTTCCTCAATCTTTTCCTACCTGATAACCAGAAAACTCTGTGGCCTCGTTGAACTTCTTGAGCGCTTCTTCGTAGTTTCCCTCCTAAACTCGGATGGTTTAGTGAACTTCCGATCGTGCATGTTACTCACTTTATAGTCGATGCAAGCGGTGTTAATGAGCACGGCGGCATCGTTTTCCGGCAGTTGGTCGACCAGAATCCGACAGTTGACCAGGTCATCCTCCTGGTATTTTATAGCCGCTTCCAGTTTGACGCATTCATTCAACAGACCCTCGTCCCGAATCTGAAGTTCTGTGTTCTCTGAGAAGGGACCGCAAGAACTGACGGTTGAAATGACGGCCAATGCATCCGCAGGCCGGAACGCATTGTAAAGAGCTTGCGCATGATAGAGTCTGTATTGGGACTGATGAGGAAAGTTATAAGCGAGTTGTGAATAGCAATCCGCCGCGTTCATGAAATCCTGTGTGTAGTAATAGCAGTATGCCAACAGGGACAGTGCTGCCAGATTCTGAAATGATTCCTCTTTCGTGTATTTACTCAGATGTGTACCGCTAAAGAGTGTGACAGGAGTACGGTAGCACATTGCGACCCATTGATCGCCAGTAAGCAAGTGCGCCCCACTGCACTTCCTAACGAGTCTTTCAAAAAATGCGTGCGTCATTTTTTTACCGCACAAAGTTCGCTTTCGATATTTTGCCGTTATCTCTTCTAATTTGTTCAATTCTTTTCAGTTCATACTTTGTGAAATGCTTTAACAAGCCGCTTTGAAACAAAACTGTACTCAATTTCCCACCCGAAAACTGAATAACGTTGTAATAAATGTAATTTTGAAAGCGGAACGTGGAAACCCCCATTTCAGAAGTGTAATTCTCGGAAAGCTTTTCCACAAGTTCAGATTCCAACGATAAAAACGTCTAATAGTCGATCACCAATCGCGTCGATCGATATAAACACGTTTCGATTTCTGGGAGATGAAAAACGCCCGCTTCACTCACTTTTGGATTCCGTTCGTGTTGATATATTAAAATACGAATCGCGTCATTGAATTTTTGTTCATGAATCTGAGCCCGTCTTTTTTCGATAATTCAATCGTCTCTTTCACTCACCAGTCCGTATATTGTGCTCGTGAACTCTCCTTCTTTTATATTCATATTCATGATGCTTCACTGAAACGGCTTCAGAAGCTGACGAATATCAGTTGAGAATGAGATTCGGCGAAAGCGTTGAGGCGAGAGCTCGAAACGGAGCGGCCTTGAATAACTATGGCAACGTGCGGAAGCAAGCAGACATTGCGCGAGAGAGCGAGAGAGCAAGAAGAAAGAAAGAGAGAGAGAGAGAGTTTAGTAATCAGGCCATGTGATCCTTTCATGCGCCAATTTCACATTCAGACAACATAATTTGTTTCGATGGAATTCTTTCGTTTAGTTTTCGTCCTTCAACTATTGTCCTTTAATCGTCGTATCAGCGACCTTGTCATTTACCGTCTGCAGACTACAGGCGATTGCCAATTGTTCTTTTTCGTCCAAATAGCTATTTACACGACAGATGTGCTCGATTTCAGTTACTTATTAGTCTTTGTAAAAGCCAGAAGTCTGCGACGTTAAAACGTTCCTTATTCACTAGGAGCTCTCAAGCGGGCGTAGCGCCTTCTAATTTATCGATTTCTTCTTTCCAATAAACATGCTCTCTTTCCTCTCGCTTTCAGTCCGTTAGTAGTCAGATGAGTATTATCAATAACGTGGTACTGTTTTGCTTTTCTCAGCCATCTTTAAAAGCACTTATGGGCCGAGTTTCTCTAGTTGATAAGACTTGCCGCGCGTTGTCTGAATTGCTTTCTCCTCATTAGATTCTGCTTTCACGATTCCACAGTCTTTGTTATCGAAACCAATACTTCGACTCTGCTCAACTCGATTTGTTTTTCTCGTGTGAAAAGAGCAGCGTCCGATTCCAGCGGTCTTTGTCTTTTTTTTCATTTCTCTTTCGGTGTCAGGCGAGCATTAAAAACCTCATCGATCTTCTTTCTTCGTTTTGACAAAACTGGCGCTGTTAGAGTGTCCGAGTGTCTGTTTTCATATATTCCCTTCATAACGCGCATAGTTTTAAACTTATTTTTCAATAATCGTTTGGCATGACTCTCAGCTTCAAGATCCATTATTTTTTGCAGTGGGTAGTGATGACGGTTCCCGCAGCAGCGGTGGCTGAGCCGCACAGCGGTGGAAGAAAGCGTGTGACAGGTACCGTTAGCATTTCTAAACATTCTTCGAAATACTGATAATGCAGACGGCCAGCCATCTCAAGAGGCTAGGAAACGACGTAAAGAGGAAGAGAAAGAGAACCGTCGAAAGTTGGACTCTTCGTCGCCCTCTTCGACTTCTTCGCGCGAATCTTCCAATACTGCTTCTGACGTGTTTTCTGGCAGAAGAAAGAAGGCTCAACCGGTCAAACGTGACGGAGATTATGTGGAACCTGAGGAGAGTGCCACTTACGGTGAGTCTTATCGATCGAATCCTCTGAATCGTTGCGTTCATTTCAGATCAGCTTACATCACATTACCGTGTTCATGGTACAACAGAAAAGCCGCGATTTCTTCTCAGAAACGTTCGAAAAGGACAGATTTGCAATGAAAAGAAGTCTACCAGAATCGTTCGAAAGGACGTTCCGAATTTTTTAAATAAGATGATGCAGTCACAACTGGTTAGCTTTTTTTCTTATTTTCAACGGAACATGCTTTTTTTTCAGTCTCGCTATACTACTCATTTTTCGGCTACATTCTCGAAGATCATGAGCTGGGCAAATTCTACAGATCCAGTGAATGGTAAGCTAGTCGGATAGTGGATGTTAACTTTTAAAGAAACTTTCAGAAACGACTTCAACTGCGCACCTTCGCATCTTCACTCTTCTTCAGAAAATGAATGGAGACGTTGCAATGGTAAGACAGCCTCGCAGTACGGCAATGTTTAAACAATGTTCAGCAAGAAAATGGTTTTTCTATTCTTCCTGTTTTCGAAAAGACCTCAGTGAAATCGCTCTTCTCGGAAAAAATAGTCACCTTGCCCGAAGACTGTGTAAATGTTTTCATCGCCGTTGTGGCCACTCGGATGACTGCGATTCTTGACAAGAACGACGGAAACAGTGAGATCGCACGAATCGCGTCTGCCACTATTTATAGATTTGCAGGACTGCGTTCCCGTGCACATCTGACCGAAAGTGAACTGAAAGACTTGCAATACGAGAAGGTCACTGCAATCGGATGTCGTCATATTTTCCACGACTACAAGAAAATGAATCACCTGGGCAGTGGAGTTAAGCATATCGTCGTTGTGTAAGAAACAAGCTGTTAAGAATGCCCTTTAAATGAACAAAGATTCCAGCGACACCACTGACGATCAATTCAAAGAAATGATGAAGGACGACAAAGATTGCACCAATTGGATGGAAAATTTAGAGTTTCTGAGAATGCTCGATCTTCAGAACCATAAAGTCGAGGTTGAGTACTAGCATGTTCTTCGCGAGACTATTGTTTCTTTAGAATTCTCACTTGCCGCGTGTCTTCTTTTCAACCAACAAGACCTTTTCCGATGAGGACGATGATGAGGAACTGGGCAGTGAAGGGGATGAAAGGGCGGAGTCCGAAGAGCCACAGAGAAATCAAGCCTCCACGCAGCCAAAGATCAGAAAGTAAGTTTTTGTATGTCAAGTTGATTGTCATCCGCTTAAAAACAACATATATTTTCCTGCTGCAGGGTTCCAATTGCTGGTTTCCGCTGTAAATTCCGCAAAACTGTCTTCCCAACTTACGCTGCTTTGAAGGCCTCCTGGAAAGCCCGCTACCCATGTTTCGTGCTCAAAAAGGTGAGAAGTTAGTCACAATTCCCTCGCAATTTAAGTAATTTTCAGAAAAGAGGAAAAATTACATACCACGAAAATAAAGAGTTCTTCCGAGAAGGCGTCTGTAAACACGAAAACTTCTGTCTGGGCCGTCGTACCGGAAAATCGGCCGTCGTACACTTGGCCGTGAAACCGAAGAAAAAAGTGCCAGTGAAAAATAAGAGGGTGTGGGGAGCGAGAAACGAAGTGCCAGGCTCGTCCGAAAAAAAGTTTGGGTTGGATTTTGTGAAGTCGGATAGCCAATGCCCATATCTTGAGTTTCGTTTCAGGAATCGGTAGGTGTTTGTGGCCGTGACCGTAGCAACCCTTTCATTTCAGTATCAATTCGGGTGTCCCTCTCTCTGATGACGTCGAGGAAATTGGTGTGGAAGAAGAGCAGATAGAGGAGGTTGTTGTAGAAGAAGCGAACAAAAAAGCTGGTGGTGGCAAAGCTCGCCCGAAAAGGAAGAAAGGGAGGAGGATTAGGAACGAGGCTTTTCCAATAAACAATGCCGCGATGTATTCGCAGCTCAAGTTTTACCAGAGAGATAATGTACGTCATGACCGATTGACGTCAATCGCTATATTCTTCAACATTATATTGATGTGTTCCTACAGGTTCCTCTCCTCAAGCTGGCTAATGACAGAGATGAGATGCAGGTGATCGATCTTCCCGTTACTAAAGAACAAACCGTGCAGTTCAATAAGCAACTTGCTCTGGCCAATTCCGAGAAAGACGGGAAGCAAGGCAGACAAAAGCAGAGAACCAACCCACCACGGACTCAAATTGGAGTTGATCTTGACGGGCGTCCGATACCCACATTCTCAGAGCTCTTATTCCCGCATATCAAGAAGGAAGCATATGATATATTGCTCCAACGGTGAGTATACCATCAGAAGTATTCAAATGAGCTTGATCTTTTTTCCAGCTATTACGCAGAAATTGGCCACCGCCCAGGATGTTTTACTGCTGAATGGAAGAGCAGAGTCATGGTTTGCAGTTCCATTTTTTCATTGTCAGTGGGACATTTTTCAGACCGGATTTATCACAAAATACGAAAGAGATGTGTTCGAAAACGACCTCGGAGCTCTTTTCGAGAAACAGCTCGAGATAATGTCTGTTACGACGGCTGGTTGGACCGTCGCACACTACGAAACACCGCTGCTTAAGTTCAAGGAACTGAAGAAAAAGTGGAGGCGCGCGCTTCACCGTGAAAATGTTAATAATTGATTGATAATAATCTTTTTTTACAATGGAAACTTTCGTAACTCGATTGCCCATATTTCTTTCCCCTTTTCACCCCAAAATGATCCTCTCATTAGAACGCTTTTAATTTGATTTACTGTTGGCTTTCCTTTCCAATTCGACGATCCTCTGGATTAATACCCCGTTCTCCACATGCACCAAAAACTTGTCACATGACTTTCCTTATACTTTTGAGAAATCACGATTATATTTATATGTATTCAATTCTAACGCGCTTCATGTACCCTTTTCATCCCGTTTTCTTCATGTAATAAGAGCGATGATTTTATCAACAGTCTATCTGTTACTTTTCATAAAATGCTCACAAACCCACTCATAATAACAATTGTCTTCTTCCCATATGTTCAAATGCCCATTTCAAATATTTCCACCAACAATTCGACGGTTTCTCTAATTTCACAATACAGATGAACGAGCCGAATCGCCCAGCTTCTCCCGCCGACGGGCAGCCTGATGTGCCGCAGAACCTTGGTCCAGGACAACCGCCCAATGCTCCCAGACAATACGTTCTGCTTCCATCGAACTACGTTCCACCTCTCATGCCGTCTCGTCCCATCAACATGACATGGCGAGATCCAGACAACTACCCGAGGGCCGTTCGACAGCCACTTCCGAGTGAGTCATTGAAAAAAGACAGAGAGGGAAACGAGTGCATGATTCAGGCGAAGTGCACATTCCCTTCGATATTCTGATATACGACACGACGAACGGACCGATGTTCTGTCCCCCGACGGTCATTTCCGAATATTGTGTGACTCGCGACAGACAGTTGCAGTTGGGGAGAATGGATGCAAAAATATTCTACGATAAATACTTGTACGGCCGTCAGAACTACTCGCTCGATCTGAACATCGGCCTCGAGACTTTTGATCCTAAAGTAGGCGAGGAAGGTCTCGGAATACTTCTCGAATGGATTCGGAAAATGTCTCCGGAAGGCGGTCGGCTGAAGAAAGCGATCCACGAAGCGGATTTCGTGTGCTGGAGAGGACTGCTCACGAAAGTGACGGCCACAATTTACAACAAAGATGACAGCTGGAAAATCAAGGCCGTCAGGCGCAAAGGAGTCATTTTCCTACTGGAAGAGAAGACGGAACAAGCAAAGAAACGGTAAAGAGCGTGAGAAAAGAGGAGGAAAACAAGAAGAAATGTTGCAGAGAAGAAGAGCAAACGGACATGGACAAGAGAATGAGCTACTGGGGACACAAATTCGAACAATATGTCACCAGAGACGATGCCTCGGTAAGAGTGTTCAGCTTCTTCGATGAATGCTGACAAACGCTTGTAGGAAGAACCGGACACGTCGGTGCCGGTCACAACAAAGGAGGAGTTCGCTGTGGTGGCGAGGAGTACTCTCATCACGGACCATCGCCTCAATCCGGACAAGAGAAGCGTCGGAATCTTCTATTCCGGAGAGGTCGACTGCATCGACAAGCGCGGCGAAATGATCGAGCTGAAGACGCAAAAGGGCATGTTTACCAACAATTTCTGGAAATCCGGGAAGGCGCTCAAGTGGTGGCTGCAGTCCTCGTTCGCGAACATTGACAACATCATCGTTGGGCACAGATCGGACGACGGACACATTCGAGGACTGAGCGGTATTCGTACGAAGGACATGCCGCAGCGGTGCACGTGGAAATTCCATGCGTGCTTCGAGTTCGCATCCACCGTTTTCACCTACGTTCTCAACTATCTGGAAAAAGAGGGCGACGCGTGCATCATCGAGTACAACAGTGAAAAAGGCGTACACACTGGTATTCACATGAAGAGAGTGCCGTCCGAAGCGTGCGACTTCGTTCCTGCCGACTTTCTGGACAAGTACACCTGAATACTACTCACATTCCGTATTATTTAATTAGTTTATCTCATATTTATTAAGTTCACTTCCTTTTTGTGTGGCCTACTTTGAGTAACTTTTCATTGCCCTGTAAACATGTCTCGTAAACAGCCAGATAAATCGAGTGCTTCATTCACAAACGGTTTCGACATGTAAAAACACGCATGATGGCTCCGTGGCCGAACTTGGAGACGAGACAAGAATGCCAAGAAAGAAGAGTGTGCGAGTCGGCGGAGAGCTCCATTGCCTTGTAGACGTACTTCATGAGCACGTCCCCCTGCTCAGTCGATAACTTTGAGGCGGTCTCCTCGATTTCCGAATGCTTGAACGCATTCAGGACGGACGAAACGAGCAGAATCACTCGATCCTTCTCTTCCTGAAATCCCTTCTTGATTCGCTTTGTCCTTCTTATTTCTCTCACCTGATCAGTCGTGAATAATGGGAAAAGACAAGAAATGAGAGCCTTTTCCAGCTGATTCGACTCCAGAAATCCCCGAACTTCAGATTCGTTCGGACCGTCCGATGCACACGAAAAAGACTCACTCTCTTCGAATTCATCGAGGGAATCCACGTCTACCAAGCGATACGAAGCCGTGCGCATTCTCAGAAACAGAATATGAGGAAAAGGGGAATCGTCCGCCGATGCAGGCAAGGATTAGACCGCCGATTTGCGATTCGGAGAGGATTAGAATGGAAAAAATAGTTAAGCGTACACAATGTTTATGTGACGAAATCAATATAATATAAACTATTTTTCAGAATTCTCTGTCAATTATAAAGTTTTATGGCACAGTTCGCAACTTCGTCGACACTTTTTCACTGATTGTGCGAGCGGAGCACACGACGGTTCTCATCCGGCGTTGTTTTCTTCAGCCGATAATTCTCGTCGCGAAGCTGGTTGATCGTTGCCTCTTGCTCCACTACTTTCGATCGCAACTTTTCAAAGTACGACAACTGCAGTTAAAAGATGTTATTTATCAAGATTCGTAATTCGAATATTTACCTTTTTATCTTTTCCAGATGTCATCAGCTTGGCGACCTCTTGAGAATCAGCAGCGTGCAGCTTTTCGAGCGCGTCGTTTTTCGTCTGCAGCTGTAGTTTCTCTTTCTCATGTGCAGCCTTCAACTTGCTCATTTCGAGACTGTGCGCCGCAGCGATTTCTTCTTCCTTTTCCAGGAGAGCCTCTTTCTTCTTCGAATCGAAAGTTCTACAAACAAAAATTTCGCCGTTTTGACATGAATACCGCGTTCACTCACTCTTTAAAGCTAGACATCTGATCGTTGAATCGTTTACTCGCAGCATTCATTTGTTTCTCATTCGTCTCCTTCTGCAATTCCATCGCTTTTCTCAATGTGTCGATCGTTCTTTGCATGTCCCGAACCTCCGCCTCTCCTTTCGCTTTCGTATTCTGGACGTCCTTCTGGTATTCTTTGTAGGCGTCGGCCCGAGCCTTCTTGTATTCCTCGACTGTTTTCTGAAATTGGGTGTCAATGTCTGTCGATATAAAGTGGTTACAACATTCGCCTGCTCTTCGTTCCCTTTCGACTCTTTCAGCAGAAACTGTAGTCTTCGAGATTCGGACCTCTGCTCTTCCAGATCGGACAACAAGTTCTTGAGAGAATCGTCGTTGCGAGACTTTTCCTCAACCGACTTCTCGAGTTTATAAATGAGTTCGGTCTTCGTTAGGATCTCTTCTCCTTTCGTTTTCAGCTCGGATTCCTTCATCTTGAGTTCCGATTCGAGACGAGCAACTTCCTGACGGTTTGAGACAGAACTATCTTGCAACCGCTGCTCCAGACGGCTGATCGTCTCCGACTTGCTGCTGATCTCTTGCTCACTCCTTTTAAGAGCCGTGTTCGAGTCGTTCAACGCATGCTCCAGCTTTTTGACCTTCCCCGCTTTTTGCTGCAGGTCCACGATTTGCTGATCCTTTTGCAGACACTCCTCCTCCTTCGTCTTCAAAAGTTCGTTCAATCCCGCCACAGAATCATTGCTCGACTTGAGCTCTTCGATCTTCGTGAGATAGTGATTCCTCATGTCTGAAAACAACTGAGTATAAGTGAGCTATAATTGGTTTTCTCACCGTTCACTTCTTTGCTGCAGAGCTTCTCCGTTTCTTCCTTACTCTTCTTGACATCAATTAGTTCTCTGTCTTTAGTGCTAATCAGCGTCAGAAGTCGTTTCAGATCATCTCCTCCGTTTTTTATCTTTTCGGCCAATTCGTTCCTTTCGGAAGTGATACTCTCAATCTCTTCGGAAAGTTGAACAACTCTGAATTATACATATTCTAAAATGCATTCGTCAAAGCACAATCTCACTCTTTCTCCAGTTTCGCAACAGTCTCGCCGTTCACCCTCTCCGCCTCGAACTTTTCTTCGGTCACCTTCTCCAACTTGTTCTTCAACTTCTCAATTTCTCCTTCCAATCGTGCGATGCGCAGTTCGCTTTCCTGCAGCTTCAGTTCGGTATCATCTTCCGAGAGTTCGGCGAGGCGAGCAGGGGACGGTCTGTATTGCGTCTCGCGCCGTTGAGGTCTTGAACTAGCTCTTCTCTGTTTTCCGATCGGGGTTTGCAGTTGAATCGACGTATTCAATGAGTCCTGCAGGCGCGCACGAGAGGCGGCTCCCTCGTCTTGAAGATTCCGGCACCTCTTTTCGGTTGCTTCCAGCTCCAACTTCATCGTTTTGATCTTAGCATGGAGATCCACGAGTGGATCACACTGCTCTTTGACTGTAAGCAGTGCTTCGAGACGTGCTGGCACATCGCTGCCTTCCCTGTCCAATGCGTATTTCACAAGTCCGACATTGTACTTTGTGCGCAGCTCCGCGTTTTCCGATCTCAAAGCGACAAGCTCCGAGGATAGGCGATCATGGGCGTATTCCAAATCATTGATTTGCTTGGAACACTCTGAAATGTAATCACCTTTTTTTTTAAATCGATGTATTCAAATGTTTACCTGCTTTCGTCTTTGCACGAATCTGGTCGTTCTCCAAACGGAGATCCAGAATCGCCTTTTTGTAGGCGTTCTCTTGATCGCCGGTCATCACTTCGTTTCTCAGAACCTTGTTCTTGATCATAGTGCACGCTTCAGCAAACATGAGGGTCGATGAGCTTTCCGATACAAACGGACGATCCGGATGCAAATTCACGATCACTGCCGTCTTCGAATTTCCTCCGAGCGAGTTTTTCAGAATATGAGTGAGATGAGAGTCCCGATATGGAACGAATCCTTGCCCTCCTTTTGACAAAAGCCGAATGCAGCGTCCCAAAACGGTGAGCGAAGAGTTGATGTTGGTAGCTTCCTTCAGACGGTCTCCAGTGGCCTTCGTGTGCGACTGTCGCTCCGAACCTGCGAGATCCACCAAATTTAGAGTAGAATTTCTGATGGTCCGCAAGTCTCCTGTGATTTCTTCCGTCTTGATTTTGATGATGAGAAGAGCGTGAGATCTTGACGAGTCTCGGTTCATCGCAGTTGCTCCAGTGCGTCTCGACTGCCACCCTTTCTGAACGACGTGCATCAGATCCAACGAATTGTCGACAATCTCCGATCTGGCCCCATCCAGGAGAATATCACTGCCAGTGTCTCTCAGAATGATTTTGCTTTTCGAACTGAGAAGATCGAAGATCTCCTCGTTGTACAACTCGACAAACTCCACGTTGACGCCGTACACAAACTTCTGGCACTCGTTCGTTTTCTTCTCCAGTTGCTCGAACAAATAGTCGATTGACCGAGGGATGAGTCCTCTTCCAACGTGGTCTGACCACTGATCGGCCGGTCCTAGCATCGTGTGAGTCTTTCCGGAACTAAAATATTATTTTTCATAAGTACCTCGGTTCAAATAGCCTACCCGGTTTGTCCATAGGCAAAAATCGTTCCGTTTATGCCCTCTGTGCACTCTTCAACCATTTTCTTTGCAATCGTCGAAAATATTTCTTCCTGAGAGGATTCGTATCCGAAAAACCGGTGAAGTTCGTATATTTTCTCTGTCCTGCCTTCCGCCTCGATTTTCACTTGATTTCTTTCGAGCACGGTGATCGCAGAGTCCTGGCTTCCGCTGGCCGACGGCCGGACTCGGCCGTAAACCTTTAGGTAGCAGCTCATTTCGGTTCTGCGGACCCTAAAACAGAACAATAACCGATAAGATTGGATTATGCCATAAAAACAACGGAAAAATTGTTGAAAACGGCGCTGCAACGGAATAGAACTCGCACGGAATAGAACTGTTACGATTTAGAACTCACAGTTGTGTTTTATAACGTTGCGAGTTCAAAATCGTGACCGTTCTATTAATAGAATTCTATTAATAATATATTACGAGCGAGTTCTATTCCGTTGTAGCGCGGGCGCGCCGTTGAAAACATGTCCGAAAAGTACATTCGTTGTGAGACCTTTTTAAAGAGTGTTATGTCCCTTTAAAATATTACGGTATCTAAAATGTGAGTTTGAAATGCTTAAAATTTATTCAGTTTATTATTTTTAGTTTTCCATGTAAATTTGCGGACAAAACACGAGAAATTCATTTCAAAAAATGTATGCATAAACAGGCGACATTCAAATTACACGGTTTGCCGCCAGAAATGACCGTCATCTTGGAGGGTCGTTGTTTCGCTGCGGAGACTGCCCTCGAGTGATCTGAATAGCCTGTCTTCGTGACAAATGACACTCGTTCTGATGTTCTGAATTCTGATGTATAACTGAGTGTTCAATTCTTTTGCCTTGTGTTGTTATTGCTCAAACAGTTTTTTTTAGAAAAACGAATGTATTCGTCACAGAAACGGCAAACACTCGGAAATGAGAATAGAAAAATTGTACCCAAATCGATCGATCGACAATCAAAACAAGAGAAAGGAAGCGGAAAGTTGTTATCAGAGTGTGATTATGCCATGAAAAGTGAACGGTAGGAAACAGAGTGGAAAGCGAAAGAGTGGAGGCGAGGCGCACAAGATAGAAATTCTAGCTGAGTTAAAAACTGGCTGGCAAAACGAGCAAATTGTACACATTGTGAGGAGGGAATCCCAAAAATTATTATGGCTTCAGAAGACACGGATATTGTGTTCATTTATCTACAGAGGCCTCACGCCTTCGAGTTCTTCATTCTGGCTATCACTTCCTCGGTCACCATCAGCTGGTCGTCCGGATGCTCACCGTATTCTGGCAACTCTTCGAGAATCTGAACATAGAAACGCTAAATGAATGCCGGAGTCAGTAAGAATGCCCACCTTGACCAAGTTATCAATTCCTATTAAATATCCGTCTTCATTGTTTCCCGGGACCCATGATGTTCGGTGATTCAGAGTACGGCCGTTGGGAACCGGAGAGCTCTTGGCGAAATCGATCATCCAGCAACCGACTTTCTCCGTATCGTACACGATGAGAATGCTGCTGCCGACGACTTCGTGCGAAGCGAAGAACGAGGAGTTCTCAATGGCCTTGCGCATCGCCTTCAGTCTCTCGATCAACTGCTGACGGACTCGGCTTCTTTGATCTCCAAAGAAGTCAACGAATGTCGTGGCGACGTCTTCCACTGTCCGAACTTTCTTGAAGTTCTTTTCGAGAGCACCTTCCAGTCTCTGTAATGAATCAGATGTCTTCTTTCCTCCCTTTCTCCTTCACAAATCTCACCTTAGCAGCTTCAATTCGGAATCCGAGCTGTGCCGTACTGCTCTCTCGCTCTCTGAATTGCATGTACCGCAATTTGGTGATTGCCGCGCACTTTCTCTCTTCCTCCGTCGGCTCGTCGTTGTCAATCGCTACCATCTTATCGTACAGATCCGCCCTTTTCTTGGTGTTCGAAACTTCCGATTCCAAGAACGTCCTCGTTCCGATCTTAATATCCATGATAGCCGTTTTCGTCGGATCGGCAAACTGCTGCAAAAGATCTTCAATCTCGATGAAATCTGAAACTCTTCATTTGATTAGTTCGTTCTCTTTCCGGTCACCAACGTTCTTCATTCTTCTCCAATTCGTTGTAGTATTTCGGAGTGAATCCAGTGAGTGCCACGTCTTTTGAAATGTTTTTGTAGGCCCTTCCTTCTCCGCAGTTCGCACACTGTTTCTTGTACAGAGTGTGGGGTGTGGCAGGTACGATGCTCCCTTCGTGTCCCGATAGCTGCACCCATTTCTTCAGTCTCTCCTTCAACCAAACATCCATCGGTAGAGCTGTGATGGCCATAGTCTCCACGGACACCTGTAAACTCGCCATGTCATTACACCTGCGTCACGCGCCCTTGTCCACAGTAATCCGTTTAGAATTCCTGATAACGCCACTCGTGGCCTATTCCCTTTCCGCTCGTTTTCTCACTTTCACCACCAGTCAAAAAATGTTTTGCGTTATTAAATACGAAGAGAAAAGATAAATCAATCGGATTAGAGAGAGAGAGAAAAAGGACTAAAATACAGAGAGCACGGGACTGTGGGGGGAGGAAAGAGACACGCCACCTGCTCGTCGTCGCAAACGTCTTCACAGCACGATTGCGTACGCCGCCCGATTCCCAGACGACGTCCCAGATCGAAACTGGCCTCGTGGTAACGAGTGTGCCAGATGTCCGCCAATTTTGGACGAACGAATCGCAGCATCTTTCCGGATCTCTTACGAATCAGCGTAGAATAGGGAGGCCTGGACGGTCGTTCATTTTGAAGGTTTGAATGAGTCGCATCCTCGAGCACAAGGTCTTCAGGCTCTTCTTCGAGACTGCACAAGTCAATGGAGGCTATTTTGGTGAGGTGAGCGGCACGACGCAGTTGACGGTGTTGAGCACTCATAGTCGAATAACGGAGAAATCAAAGTGTCGGAAGGTGGAATGCTCCGCTTAGTTAATGATAAGAAGCAGCTCGCATCGCCCCGCCCCCTCAGTCCTTTCCTATTTTCACTCCAACATGTGTGCTTTCCGTCTGGTGTCTCTTTGGAGAAAGATTGGGGAGAAAGGGTGAGAGGGAGAAAGAAAAAGGAGGAGAGAACCCATTCTTGATAAGAGTTTTTCGATCGCGTAGTGTTTTGTGTGCAAGGAATGTTTGACGCTTTTTGCTTGACGAATACGTATTTTGCGAGCAGGTGACTCGTTTGTAAGTGGGTCGTAAAGATATGGAACGAAGCTAAATGTGGCCCGCTGTGAACTTTGATGAGTTTTAGGTGCGACGGAGCACCAAAACAACACGTTCTGGCCCATAAAAAACTAGAATAGAGTCGGCGGAAGGTGAAAGAGCATTTAAATGAAATGGGGAAGATAGATAAAGAAAGAAAGAGAAAGTAAACGGATGACCTTAGGTCGAACAACTTGAAGCTAGCTGATAAACAGAGACAGTTTACCCACCCCACTTTCCGTTTTTTGTTTGATCTCTCAACCAACAACTCATTTTGTTGAACTGTGTTAAAGAGAGTGAGAATCGACTGAAAAACAAGCGGAACATAAACCGGAAACGGATAGAGAAATGCAGGATTGACTGGAAGAGAAAACGAGCAAACGATCGGAATCCATTAAAAGTTTGCACCACAAACTGACCTGCACGAGCTTGCCAAAAGCATCACAGAAGGCACGATGCTCGCATGATTCTGGCGAAGGTTTCGGAGCAAATTGAGGGCTCGCGGGACGGGTCGTCGGGTAGGGGAAGCAGCTGATGATCTGAAAGAAAAAGAATTAGCTTGGCGGGGAGAATGAGAGCGAAGGGGACGAAGTCCCGCCGCAAGTGCTAAGCACCTTATCTTAGGTGTTTGTTAAGGGCTTTGATGATTTGATAGTGACTCAAGTAAGGTACACCTTTTTGGGAGGTACAAGTGTACTGCAACTCGTTCCAAAGACTACATAGACAAATGAGGCAAATTGAATAACTTATGAATTTGAAGCATACTCCAGCAATACTCCATAAACTAACATTTGCTGCCATTCGTTTCAACAAAATCCTATTCCGCGATGAATATTTGTCAGTGTCCATAAGCACTAGCTCAGTGAGTTTTTCGAATAACGTAGTCATCAGAGTGGAAATGCTTTTTTCAAAAAGGTAGAACAGAAGTTGGTTCTCGGCAATGCGTTAGGTGTAAAAAGCCGCTGATAATACGTGCGTCGCACACGCACCTTTTCCCCGCCTTGAATGGGCGGAGCCGTGCGTCGGCGCCTCCACGGGTTGCACACTGTCATCGGCGATAGAATGACGCGACCGGAACGCCTGCGTCCTCCGCCTCTCTTTAATTTACGGAAGTTCTATGGCGGCGCTGCGACGATCGGCCGGCAAAACAGTTCTTCAATTATATCTAAAGACGGCAGCAGACAAATAAAAGTTGTGCGGGCGGAATTAGAGCATATCGTCAACTAATTTCTAGTTTGTAGTTGTCCTCGGTGCTCACACGTCATTTGGAATGCATGAGAATGACTGGCACCACGGGACAATGATACCGTAAAAAACAAGAAAAGACGTCATGAGACTGAGCAGATCCCCGCATTCGAGTTGTGAAATTATGACCCGGCTCATAGACTCGAGACGTCACAAGAGTTGAGTTGTCAACGAAATGGGTCGGAGGAGAAGAACAGGTCGGAAGGGAAGGCGTCGAATGGTGATTTGGAAAGTGACTTGTGCCACTGGTCGTCTTGGCGTTTGAACTCCTCAGTTTCAGAACCAGTTTCAGAAGTTTTTATCCGTGCTATCATCTGCACGCGGAAACGATCTTTTCCGTCCGAAGGTATTTTGGTCACATGACAATCCAGTTCTCGAGTTCACATTCCGCGAACTCTGGACCCATTTCAATGACACTCCCCAAATTAAAGCAATTTTACACCGTTGAAGTAATTTTACACCGCTGAAAAGACCATTTAAGATCAAGAGCCGTCTTTCAAATACTAATCAAATCAAGCGAAAACAGGAATTCTTCTCGAATGGTCGTCGACGAACGATGAGTAAGACCGACAGGAACTGAGTCACTTCCCGCGGGCGTAAGACTCTTTTCCAATCTGTTTTGGCGCACACGACTACGAGTTCTCAGTCATGCGGGGGACTGCTCCGAATGTGAAAACGCGCATCTGTTGCCAGAGTCTCTTCTCAGGCTTATCACCGCACATTTATCAGTCGGTTCTTCGATTTTGTTTATCAAACAGTCAATCAACCCGCAATGTTGCACACGGGTCCACACGCGTGTTTGCTGGCGGAGCAATTGATCCGAGCGCGGCTAATCGTATGCATAAGCACTTGGTCATCACGCCCTTGTGTCCGAAGACAAAAACGACCACGATTCATAGAAATCACAAAAAAAATGAGCAGAAAGTGACGGAGCAGAAGCCACCGAAACAAACAGATTCCTTCCAGAAGTCAGTGTGATAATGTGGGCGACTTTAACGGTTTTGTGTTAAGAAAACTGTGGTCTCTGTTTTGTGGTTTTTTTGCAGAGCTGGATGGCGTGAGCTTTTGAGTCAGTTTGTGCGGAAAACTTTCAAACCCGAATGGATATTGTTCTAGTCGCTGAAGATGAAATGAACGTAACTTGGAATCGGTTCGCACGTGAGCATCGCTCAAGAAGATTGTAGTTGTCTAGGCGTTCAGTAATTTAATCAAAGCCATCTTCTGTCTATCACCGAAATGCGTGCGCTCCAGCATGTCATCCGACTCCCAACAGCGCACCGATTCCAAGATAGCACTTTTCCATTTTTGTGCAAAATGTGTTCTCAACCCGCTCACGTTTTGATCTGCTCTGTGCTTATCTCTCTCTCTCTCTCTCTCGGTTTCACCGAAATGAATCGCTAAAGTGTGCTGGTCGGCGTGACGCAAACACGAAACTCTTCCAGTTTCTCTCTGATAACGAAGGTGCGAAAATGGAGACATGGGGGACGCTTTTTACGGCATTCGGATACGACTATTCTTTGAGAAATCTTTGATTTTTCCGCCACGCGGCTCACCCCCCACCTGCATGAGTCGTTCCTGCGTCGGAGCCGACGGAGGGGTCGATGACGCCTCCGAGTGCATCGTGTCGCGATGATCGCATACTGACGGCGTCGGAATCTCCTCCCACACGACGAACGTGTCCTCGCGACGTCGTTGATTTCCGCTTATTCTGCAAAAGATGCAAAGTGTATTGTGGTTGGAAGGAATGCAGACGACTACATCATAATTACTCTCAAAAAACACTTTTATCGCGGTGACTGCAGCGATCATAACAAAGGCGAATGAAAAATATGAAAGTTTCACACTGGGTTCGAAGTATGCTGTAAGAAAAGATTCTGCAAAGAACGGACAGAGGTCTCTCCCAGCCATTTCCACACGTATATTTTGACTCGTGGCTCGCAACAAAACATGATCGGCACAATCATTTTTTGTAAACAACATGGCCGTGCCTCTCCAACGAAAAACTCACTTCAATCTCAACTTGGACGGCAGCTTTTTCGGTCGTTTCATTCGTTTCTCTTCGTTGCCCGACGACCTGAAAAGGTTGAGAATGAGATGGGGCAAGATGGAAACCAGAAAAAGTGATCAGATAAGTTTTTGTGCGATTCGATCGATTCTCTTTTCTTCGAGACGACAACAAACAAAAACATTCGAGACCGTCGTCTTTTCGTGTTCACACAAAAGCCCCGCTTCTTCTTCTTCTTCTTCTTCTTCAATTTTCACCAGGTTCTTCTACTTTTGGCCCGAAAAGACGATAACTCACTCTCCCCAATTCCAACAGCCTTGGCGTTTGTCATGACGGCTTGACCCGACTCCCATTATCTGCAATTTTATTTGGATGGTGACTTCATTCAAATATCATCGAGTTTCATAGAAGTGCGTTTTTAAAGTGTTAGATAGAGCGCGAATTGCACAACCTTTCAACGCCGATAAAATACCGAAAATACTGTGCACCCCAAAACCGTCAATTTAAAGCCGCGTATCTCAGTTGTCTGCACAGATATCAAAAAGTTGCCAATTGAGGAGTATTTTAGTAATTGACAACTTTGTGATATCTCAACGACGGGGATCACTGAGATACATCATTTTTGAGGTGCCCTTGTCTTACAGTATTTACGGTAGCCATAAAACGTACTCTGAAAGATCAAATTCATCAAAATTAGGTGCAAAAGAACTATTCCGTGTGTGAATTCCGCTGAACCCATTCCCCAAACTCTATTTATTCCAGAAGATTTCGCACTCGCCGCCTCCGCTGCTGCACGGTTGCAATACGAAGTCTGCCCGTGGCTTATAGTATTATCAGTGTCTGTTTCTGTTATCAGTCGCCTCTCTTCTCTTTTCTTTCTCGCTCTCGCTACCGTCCTAGCCCGGAATCAATAGTTCCGGACACTAAATAACTAACCTTGGCGTAAACCGCCTCTAGCATTCAATGCTTTCAATGCAAATTGGGAGCGAACGACGGCGTCGCGTGATTCACTTTCGGCAGCTGATTCTGGAAAAGAGGTGTTGGTTGCGAAATGAACGAACACTCTGAACGGCAGCTGCTTTTATATCGAGATTTTTCTGCAGCGAACGGGACGATAGAGGGCAGAAATCAGAAGAGAAAGAGAAATAGAGCTGGCGAGAGAGAGGGAAAGCGGGCTGAAACTCTTTCCACAAATGATCACTTTACGAGAAGAGGATCGTAAACTTTTACGGCTCGCGAATAAAATACAAACCTCATGGTTTTTGGATCCATTATCGGATATTTATTGCGTTTTTGTGAAACGACAAGAAGAACATTGTGCAACAGCAACATCTGGTTGGAAAAGAGAAGGAAGGATGCTAACGAGACGAGCAGGAGTTCTACCGGCGTTTGAGTGCGGTAGAGCGCGATTGAAAGCCCCGAAATCGCATAGTAAGTTACACTTTTGAAAATTCAATGAAGGTTGCAGTAGAGCGAGACTTTTAAAAACTTTTATTCTAGTTCAAACTTTGAAAACTTCGTAATTGTTACAATGCGTGGGAAAGTGATCGAAAGAGAAATGAAAAGTCTGTTTCCGGTGGCGGAAGGACTGAAAGTGACCGACGGAAACCAGTTTTGTGTTTGGGGGTAACTGATATGAAAGGAAAGGTCAGAAGCGTGTGCGCGAGAACGAGAGAGAGAGAGAGAGAGAGAGAGAGAGAGAGAAAGGAGGGAAACAGTCCCAAGAAATGCATTCACATCACACTCACACATCGATCTTGTCCTCTTCGTCGTCGCCGTGCCCTCCTCCTTTGTACGCCTCTCTCTCTCTCTCTCTCTTTCGCTATTTACTGTTTTGATGTGCGCCATCGTTCTTCTCTCTCTCTCTTTCTCTCTCTCTGCTGCCAGGAACTGTTCATCTCTCCGACTCTGATGGTAGCCAGGCATCAGTAGGCAACAATGAAGAGGAAATCAATTTGATATTAAATACGTTCCCTATCCGACACGACAGGTTATGATGAAAAACGATGATGACGGGAGCGAAAGAGAGAGAGAGAGAAAGTGTGTTCACGTCTCCCATTCTCCTCCTCCGAAGAGAAGGAAGAGGCACTTATCGGGAGGAAAATGGCAGCGGGAGCTGATAATTTCGTACTGTGTTGACCTACTCGTCGCCTGCTATCATCACGAATCACTTCGAATCAAATGTCAGTTGACGGGAAAAGATCCCAATAAAATTTTTTAAAAAATCGGAAGAAGCTGGTGGAAACCGACTTATCGACACTTTTGGGGACGCGGAAAAAGCCGGTATTATACCGAGTTGTGAACTGATAATGAGCAGTGACGTTTCGAACATTCCATGCGGCGTGAAGAAAAAGACAATACCAGTTGGGGGCGAGGCGGAAACAGAAAAAAAGAGAGAGAGAGAGGAAGATTTATAATCTAATTACGGTATGATGTGGGAGCGGCCCTCACTTTCATACATTCCTCTTATGACACGGGACACTGTTCTGATCAAAAAAGGGACAGAGAGAGAGAGAGAGAGAAAAAGAAAGAGAAAAGGGTGGCAGTTTTAGAGGAGAGAAAGAACAAAGGAGTATCAAAGTGGTGATAAGATGCGTACACAGGAGAATGGAAGGTGATGGTCAGCAAGTGAAAAAGAAGAAGAAGATGGAGGAAACCTTTGATCGCATTCAAGTAGAAGAGTACGATCTTTGGTGGAAACGTTCATTAGGTTTTTCGGATTGGTTAGGTAGAATTTATCGTTAATTAGAATTTACCTTCATCCATTCACTCCTCCTTGCATTTTCCAATGGATACGCCTCTGCCGTGGATGTTGCTTTCGATCGACCTGGGACTGCTTGCATTCCGAGCTGCTCGACGTACTGCCACTTTTCTCCTTCTGCAACAATTCAACACATGATTTCTCTTCCTTTTTTGGGGTGAATGGGCCGGGAGACTTGTTAATTCCGTGGCGGTCCAACATAATAGAACTGCGCAGAATAGAACCGCGACACAATAGAACCGCGACATAATAGAACTGTTTTTGTGTATTTATATGAGCATTTTGTCAGCTTCTTTCAATTAACTTTCGCAAAATGTTTTGTCTCTCGAACAATTAACCAGAAGACCACAGTTTATACCTAGAAAATTGGTTTCCTTTCGTTTTTGATAGTACAACAAAATTCTTTTCTGTGGGTTTTCGTTACCATAGAGAAGAGGGATCACGACGGAAGTGAAATTACTAAATGTAATAATTCGATAACGAGATTCAAAAATTATCTTTTTCTACGAAACAATTATTCTACAAAACGGTTTAAAAGGCGCTCCAAACAGTTCTACTATGTTGGACCGCCAATTCTGTAGAATGGTGTTTCGAATTTAAATTTCGCTTATCGCAGCCATTCTCTCAATTCGCTTCGGGACCCGCTCCTAAAAGTAGCTGTGCCTTTAAAGGTTCGCTCGCCGCGCGCGACCTTTTTCTCCGTTTGTCAACGCAAAACAAACTATTCTAGACAGCATATATATTTGAATGGACGGCTCTTCGAGGCAACACAAAACATTTCCAGAAATCATTCATTCAGCCTTCATTACAGTTCTCCTTCTTTTCAATCATTTCGTATCGATGATCAAGTTGCCGACTTCGTTGAGCTTGCGCTCGGGAAACTTGGCGGTGAGATCGGCGAGAGCCTTTTCGCAGTCCGGCTCGCACCATTTCATCTCTTTTCCAATGTGCAGTGCGACGGCCATTGTGAAAACGTAGTGGTAGTAGGAGGAAATCGCACCCGGACGCAACCTGGTATGAGAAATTAAAAAGGGGAAAAAGAAACTGATGCTCACTTCATCAACTTTTTGATGAGATCGGGGACATCGAAACACTCGCGCTTCTCCACATCCTTCAGAAGCATCAGAACGACCCAGGCGATGGCGGATCTTCCGATCGCATCGAACGATTGGATTATGACGGGCGGCACAAAGTTTTCCATACTCTTACGGAGCACCTGAACACATTCAATTGATTCTTTCCCATCTCTCAGCAGACTAACATTGGTCTCCGCTTTGTTGATTTCCTTGAGGAAAAGCGCCACGTTCTGCGCCAACTCCAACGGATTTCCGCTCTCCGGACGAGTCCCTGACCACGCGTTCATGTGGTACAAAGTCATCACAAGGGTTTTCGGGCCCGGACCGTTCGGATCGTCCGTGTTCGTCTCTTGCACCGTCTCGCTGTCGCTCAACTCCAGATCGTATTTGACGGCGCCCATGCTCAAGCCCTCCTTCGCTTTGCAGACAATCGTGTACTTTCCCTTCTTCTGCTCCACCTCCAACGACTGATTCACCTCCGTCGGAAACCACGGAAAGCACTTCGAGTCTTCCGTCGCACTGATCTGCTCGTCGTGGCACAGACACACTATGATCTTTGTTTGATCCTGTAATAAGGAAGGTAACTGAGGTATCCATTGGTCCTTGAGTACCTGAGTAATAAGTTTCCAGATCAGTTTGAGGGAGGCCTTAGAGGGCGCCTGAAGGAGCGTGTACTCTGAATTCTCCATTTTGCAGTACTGTCCCGGATAGAACTCCTCGTCCTTGTCAATTTTGACACGACGACGTTCGTTTATCGGAACGGGCAGACGGTTGAGTTCCAGGTTCTTGAGGAATCCGTCGGCTTGGTGCGCCGCCTGAGCTTTCAGATGCTCGTACATCACCGGTTTGTTCTTCGAGTTTTTCAGAGTTTCGATCAAATCGCCGGGCGTCTGACCTTCCGAAGTGACGTTATTCTGAAATCTTCAAATAGGTCCGTGATTTCTGAATCCAGGAAACGTACAGATTTCTGCGGTTTGCGACGGTTCGTCTTCGTCATCCCCTCCTTTTCTTTCTTGTCCTTTGACTTTGACTTCGGCGGCATTCTTGGTTTCCGATTGTTCTTTTCTGTTTAGCGTTTTACGCACACAAAAAGTGAAACTAAATTTTCAAATCAAAAAGATAAAATTGCACAATTCATTAGATTTCAATTGATTGAAAGGTTCACGTTGGGGTTGGAGAGTCCTCCTAGACTCGAACCAAAGGGTGCTCATCAGTACTCATCCGTTCTACCGAGAGCATGGCCCCTGCACAAGGATGACACGCAAATTCGTGAAGCGTTCCAAAATGATTGTTTGCCCACTTTCAGAAGACCTAGATTTGTCAGCTGTCACATTGAACTTCACAAGTCTATAGCTTTCGCGGAATATACGAATTGTTACACAAAGTGGTCCCTTGTCAATGGCCCGCTGTTTCCCATTACTTCATTCTGTTGCCCTTTCCTCTCCTTTCCAGTCCGTTTCCATTTCCAGAAGTCCTGCTCCCGAGTGCTCTTTTCCTCCCTTCCTTTCCGTACTTCATGAAGTCTTGCCTCCCTCTGATCCTTGGTTGCCTGCCTTTTCCCCTCTCTCTTCTTCTCTTCTTCACATCGTCCTCCTCCTCCACCTCCGGCTCTTCTCTCGAGCTTTCGCAAAAATCTTCGTCGGATCCCCCCGTATGCGAGTCTCCGTCTCCCGCATTCACCCAATCTCTCGGAGGGAGCATCTGCCTTCCCGGAGTGTAAGAATGTGTTTTGTGGCTGTCGGTTGAGGCGGAGTCTCCCGCCTACTCGTCTTGCCTCCCGCTGAATCTCAGCTCAGCTTCTTCTTCACAGCACAACAAACCCCGAACAACATGGTGAGTCCGTCTTTCTCTTACCCCCTTTTTCTTCTTCTTCACTTTCCACCGTTTTAGGCTGAGGATATCGAAGAGATTCTTGCTGAGATCGACGGATCCCAGATTGAGGGTTTGTTTCAGTCCCGTTCTTTTTGGGTTTTATTTAGTGATTTCTAGAGTACCAGAAGTTCTTCGATGCCTTCGACAGAGGAAAGCAAGGATACATCATGGCCACCCAGATCGGCCAGATCATGCACTCCATGGAGCAGGACTTCGACGAGAAGGTACGATTTGTGCAATAATAATAGTTGTTCTAACATCATTTTGTCTTCCTTCCAGACCCTCCGCAAGCTGATCCGCAAATTTGACGCTGATGGTTCCGGAAAGCTTGAGTTCGACGAGTTCTGCGCTCTTGTGTACACGGTGGCCAACACGGTCGACAAAGAGACACTGGAGAAGGAGCTGCGAGAGGCATTCCGTCTTTTCGACAAGGAGGTAATAACTCATCCCCTCTGGATTTGTTTTCTAACCGCCAACTGCTCCAGGGTAACGGATACATCTCGCGACCGACCCTGAAGGCCCTGCTCAAGGAGATCGCCGACGACCTGACCGACCAGCAGCTCGAGGAGGCCGTCGACGAGATCGACGAGGACGGTTCTGGAAAGATCGAGTTCGAGGAGTTCTGGGAGCTGATGGCCGGAGAGTCCGACTAAACAATCCTTTTCCGCTTTTTTTGTGTGTATCCTTTTCGCCTTTGATCTTCAAAACTCGTCCTGCTTTCCGAGCAGCCGGGAGTTGTGGATCACCAATTTCAAATTCAATTTCCGTTTTTACATAAATTCTTCTAAAACTTCTTTGGCTTTTATTTTTGTTTTCTATAAATTGTATCGGAATAAACTCTCCCCCAAACTAGATAATCTCCCTTTGAAAACCTATTCGTCGGCTGCGCAGCCGAGCACGCAATGTGCTCAGCGAGAGACGAGAATAGGAATCTCCGTTAATCCGAGCACTAAATAGTGTCTATCACATGCTCCAGAAGCCCTGCAACCTTCGGTTCGGATTGCCTCGCCACCCTCTGCGTCTCTTTATCACAAACTTACTATGGAAACCATCTCGTTAAGGAGCGAGGAGGAGGAGGAGAAAAAGAAGAAGAAGAAGAAGAAGCAGATGTAAATATGAATTAGAAATGCACACTGCTCAGCGAAACGGAGGTATCTCGCTGCCTCTTTTTGCCTCTTTCAATTGTGCTCCGGGCACGTCATTCGTATATCTGACTGATTGCGTCAAAAGTACAATATGCGAAGGGGGAGGAATGAATTACGGTAGCTTTCTGATCACTACATTCACTCCTATAAAAACGATAAATTCTTATGACTCCGTCCCGCTTTTCCCGCATTCTAATCAGTGCGCTTTCTTTTGTTTTCTCTCTATGCAACCTCCGGTTGTCTGAAATCCGTCTACGTCAGTGGACGGCTGAATTCAGCTCACAGAGACCATGAATCCAATCACCGCACTTCCTCATTTCAATTTCCTGTAGTTCTGAACCTAATCCGCCTCCATCCGGTCTCTTTTATCCCTTTCCCTTCTTCTTCTTCTTCTTGTTTCAATGAGAGCTTGGCCAATCTCCGGCGCCCACGTCACACTAATTCCCCTTCGCTTTCCCTTTTCAGGTCAACTTGCTCCCAATCTCCTCCTCCTCCAGTTGTACTCTTCGTAATAATTGGCATGGCTCACTGAGCCCACAATACGCAACTAATCCCCGTCCGCCCGCCCGTCTCTGTCCTTTTCCTTTTCTCACGACCCCCAATTTGAAGATTTTCGAGCCCATATCTCTCTTTCTGCCGTTGTACTGGCTCAAATGAGCATTGACCGTGGTGACAGAATCATTCTGGTGATGGCGCGCTCGTTGTGTTGCTGCGGAAACCGCACCAAAGTGGCCGATTCCAGCGAAGAGATTATCGGAAAACAACAACTAAAGAATGTGAGTTACGGGCGGCACTTTCCAAAAAACGGGCTCTGCAGGTGTTCGTCGTATGCACACAGAATGTCCTGACTCGGGCGCTCACCGGCAAACTGATCGGATCCCTCGAAGACCGGCACCTCATTCCCGTACACATGAAGCTACTCCGACCCACCCAGGAACTGATAGATGTAATTGAAAAAGAAGAGATCGCAGCAGCACCCGCCGCCCTCTTTGTTTCCAGAAGTCGAATCTGCTGAAGAGCGAGAGACGCCGACAGCTCGACGACGCGTGGATGCTGCTCATCGTGCGTGGCAGGGAAGCCCAAACGAGAGTCTCCGATTGTATCCGGCGTTTTAAGGCACAGTACTCACTCCACAAGCGTGAGTACTGAAGAGAATCAAAGCAAAAAGAGTCAAAGAAGAACGGGAAAGATGTTTTCAGGTGATATTCTTTGGACGGACAACGAGCAACAGGCGAAGCACGAGGAGGGGCTCTGGTTCAAGTGAGTACTCGTTTCGTTTTTCGTTTTGTGCCGTAAACACATGTTCCCGCATGACTCGAATTCAGAGCAGCTGCTTTGTTTTCAGAAAAGAAGAGAATGAGAGCAGCACGTCAAACGGAGAAGCGGCGGCGGAGTCGGCCGAACAGAATGGGTCAGTTGGACGGGGGAAAAGAATGGGATGAGGATAATGGAAAGCGCCAATTTTAGAGTGGAATCATCCGCGAGCAGTGTGAAGGAAGAGCCCATCTCGCAACTCAACTCCGACATTTCCACTGAAGGTTTCGAGAACTTTAATGCATTCATTTGAACAAAAACGCTTTAGGGCCACAGTTGTCAATCAGCTCGAGCAGAATCCTGACTCCGGAGCCCACTCATCTGCCAGTGGCTCGATACGAACCACCGAAAGAGCAACACGAAGAAGAGATCAGAGAAGAAGCTGAAGGGCCAACTGCAGAAGTGATAAGCAACACGGCAGTTATTCTGGAGCCATCTCCCATTCCCATTCCAGCACCCGTGATCATCAACCAACCAACTAAAATCGAATAAATGTATTCATATCTGTATGTAAAAGCTCATAAATATACCTCCACGAAATTCACCGATTCTCATTTATTGTTCACTTCCAAAAACCTATCATAAAGCAATTATTATCGAAGCAACCGTGAGATCATTCGATCGGAAAACATAAATATGAAAGAAAAGAGTAAAAGTCAGGAGCTAATGACTAAAACAGCGAGGAGAATCGTTCCAAAAGCAGTCATCCAGAAGCGATTCTCGAGGTCTCCGAGGTACTCGTACCTCACCAACTTTTTCGATTCGATTCGTTTCCCGTGACGGGCGACCCAGTTCAGCCAGAACTGCTGGTATCCAGTGTGGAACTGACGGTGTTGGGCGAGCATTTTGGCTAGCTTTTCACTTCTCTGCCAGTATCTACAAAGAAGTCATGATGCGTGACAAGAAAACCAAAGTACGCACCTTGCCAGATTCTCTCTCATTTTTTCCATCATCTCATCCAGTTTACCATCATTCAACTCGATGATCGTCATCAATTCAGCTGCTCCCAAGTCCACAACTCTCGCCAGATTCGACGCTTGATCACCTTGAAGGGGCACTCCGAGCACTGGAACTCCAAACATTCCCAGCTCATTTACAGTGTTGATTCCTCCGTGACAAATGAGGAATTCAATGTTCTCGTGCGCCAAAAGCTCTTTGATCGGTACCCACGAACTGATTAAAACGTTATCGGGCACCGTCAGATTGTGGATTCGACGAATGTCCTCCGCACTCAGATTGGATTGCCAAATGATTAGTCCTGGCTGCCGTGAGAACGTGGAGAGAAGCGAACTGAGCAGCTCGTGGTGTATTTTGTCGACTTGCGCCACACTTCCGAACGTAACAAGTACGAACTTCTCGGTGTGAACTCGTTCCCAGTTGATGGTCGGGTACTTGCCACGCAGCTCGTTTTGCCTGTTCACAATAACCGATCGATCTGTGACTGTTTCAAAGAACCATTGTCGTCTTTGCGCCAATTGTTCAGTGTGCACTCTATGGCAGGTATCACATTCTGCAGTAAAGTTGGAGGCGTTGTTGCTGAGAATCACGGGCTCTGAGAAAGATACGGTAGAAGAATAGGAGCTGAGATGGCCTGTCGAGCTGATGTAATTCTCCGGAGGCATTGTGGAGGCCGCTCCGAAGAATTTGATTCGATTGTTTATGGGTCGGACTGACTCGAACATCATCTCGGATCTCCCCGCGAATATCGGTCTCTGGGCTTCATTCATTTCCACTTGAATCTAAAACATTTCCTGTTTTATTTTTCAGAATTCCCTCGTTCTCTCACCCAAGGGTAGTTCTTTCTGGCAAACAGACTGTCGAGTGTCCTCATCTGAACGAAACGTGTCACTGCGATGGCCACATGGAACAGAACGTTCTGGCATCGTTGCAGAAAACTCATGGCGACGCTTGAGAGACGGGTACCTGAAAGTACGCGAAAACACTTAGAAAGGGAGTTTTCTAGCTACTTGTGATTCGATTAAACGCGATGAAAAGTACAGTGTATTCTGTGTCCCACTCACCTGTTTTGGGCACCGAAGCGGGCGACGCCGGCAGATTCAGAGACGTCACGTAGCCGTCGGAGATGGGCCAATTCGAGAATTGGATGACGGAGGCGTTGAGCAAGTGGGCGAGGCCGCCCATGCATTCCTGCAGTCGCTCGTTTCAAGATCAAAAACCGACAGGTCGCCTACCTGCAGAAAGTGATCCAAAACGGCGACAGAGACATTCTCCCTCCGCAGCTGCTGATATCTCGGGTCGTCCATCATGACTGTGCAGTACTCCTGATGCCGTTGCAACATTCTGAAGTTTTCCTTCTACACATTTACCTTTTTTTTTAATTCTTACACCACAAAGTCTTTGATCCCCTGTATGTTGAATGGTCGGTCAAAGTCAAAAGGAACATTTTGCCTCCAGATCAAGCGACCCGTGTTCTCCTGGAGGTAGTTGCCTGAAAAAGTACGTTGGAAACGTGATCAGACAATTGATAGGTCAAAAGTAGAATGGACTGAGACCTTGGGAAACACCGACCGGAATCACCGCTTATCACGTCCGAAACACAATGTAAAGTGGACAATCTTTGAAATACGCGTGCAAAAATTAATGATAGCCTGGCCCATGTGGCCATGAAAAAGGACTATGGTCGAAACAGAGGAGAATAATCGGAGCGAATCCAATCAAAGGGAAACAAATGGCCTTTTTGCGGAACGGTTTCAAACTAAAAACAGGCCATCGTAACTGACATGTCTGAGGGTTATCTAACCCGTTGAGGTGGAAAAGTCGAGCGACGAGTGTATTAAAGATACACGTTTATTCGCGAATGAATAACAGAAGAATACCAGACAAAAGAATCAGAGCTTGCAGGAACTGGACTACTAACAAGCATGAGCAAAAGCCGTAAACGGCACCGAGAGAGTGTGTGCGCAGAGGAGGTGAGAAAAGCTGGGAGAGAAAGAAAGAAGAATTTTTGTGTGTACCAGAGTAACACTTCGTATTTGATCAGAAACCAGAAAAACACGGAGGAGGGAAGACGTCTGAGACGTTGCCGTTTCGAGTTAACCCCCATTTCCCAGCTGATCTGTTTGACCAAGTGTGTTCAATAGAGATGAGAGAAAAAGTGTAATCAGAAGAGAAAAAGCCAACCTCTCTCGTCGATTCCCGCTATCGAGAGACGATTCCAATGGTCTGGCAACGGCATTTCCCCGAAACCAAAGTCGTAAAGGTACGTCTGAATCCACGTGATGTTGTTGTCGCTTTCGTCAAGTTGCTCTCCGACCTGAAGAAGCGACAAACCACAAAACTGATTGATAAGATATGGTCAGAGTCAGAACAGAGAAAGTCAGAAACCGAAAAGTGACTTGCCTGTTTCATCATGACATCGTGGCTGAAGCATCCCGTCGATGGGAATAGCGCTATTTTTGCTCCGAGAGCCCCTACAGTCAGCAGAAGCAGAAGGAAGCCGTCGACGACCATCTCGACTCGAATGACCGCGCGTCTTCGCCCCTCGCGCCCCCACTTTCCTTCTCCTTTCTTTCTCTTCGTGTCGCTTCGCCTTCGTCATCAGGCAGTCGGAATGTACTGACACTCTCGCCGCCGACCGACAGATTCGTTTAAACTGACTGCTAACTGCTAACGCTGCCGCGCATTCCCGTCGGGTGACAAAAGGTTAACAATCGAGAACGATTCACTCTTATCTTCACTCTACTATATTTCATTTTAACCTGCATAAATACAACAATAGAAAACAAGTAGCTCATTAATTCTCCGAACTGAAGTCAGTGGTGATCGGAGATTTGCTCGGGGGCTTGGTCGATCTGGCGGCAGGAGAAGAGACCTCCCGGCTGTCGATTGGCAGTCTCGATGGCTTGTTCTTCTTCACTTTCCTCACTTTGCGGTTTCCTTTCGAAGACTTCTCACTCTCCCGCTCCTCCGACTTTTCCTCCGATTTGTTCGTCGACTTCTCGCTCGATCTCTTCGACGAAGTCGCTGACGATTCTTTGCTCGATCTCGCCGCCTTCGACTTTTCAATCTCGCTAATCGATGTGGATGGAGCTGAAACAAGACACTTTCTACACACTTTTAAAGAATTCCGACTACTTTTCATCTCAGGCTTTGGATCCTCCTTCTTCTTCTCCTTGTTCTTCTTGCACGGCATCTTCAGCACTTTCTGACGGAACCACATCGCAATGACGACGGCGACGATGTTGATGGCGGTGAGAAGGGAGAGTCCGACCCAGCGACCGGCGGACTGATTGTCGAAGATCATGTAGATGAGCCAGTAGATTTCACAGACCGCAGTCACCAATTGGAACGTAATGTAGATGGCCACCCAGACTGAAAGGGAAATTGAGGTGTTTCGAAGAGAAAGGGAACGAACTGTTTCCCTGTAGGGCAATGTGCACAATTCCCGGAATAGTGACGACCACCTGGAGAAGAGCCATCAGGTAGTACGAGGCGACCGGATACGAGAATGCAATTCCGACGGTCGTGAGGACTACAATGAAGAAGCTCGCGCCGAACTGCAAGAAGATGATCGCTTGCAGAAGAGTCACCGCACTCGGGGCATCCTTATTCAGTGACATGTCTCCTTCTGAAAACAAAACGGATGAAAAGCAGTTGGGGGTAGACGGCTCACTTTAGAACAGCTATGATGGAGATCCAAGTTGACGATTGATACCGGGAACCACGTAATAGAAGATCGGCGATAGGGAAGTGGAATAGCGGAGCACGTTTTATGGAAACGGAGCAGAGGATCACGTGAAAGATTTAAATTAAGGACGACGTAAGTGGAGGAGCTTCTGTCATCTTTGAGCAGATAAACATTTTCGAATCCCAAAATTCTGGCAATGTTGCTCTACTGTAATCCAAAGAAAAAACACGTCCACGGCCGCAATCTTTTCCAATTTAGAACTGAATTCAGGTAGAAAGTAGTTGTGCAATATTTTTTCCAAGACCTTGTTTATTCATTCAAGTTGTATTTTCATGTGGGCATGTAGTAGGGTTTTGGTAACGCATAAGCCCAAGATTGGGCCTCAACTTCGGGTTATGGTACGTACTGGAAAGTGCACAAATTGAAAAAAAAACCGTTCGACCCGTGTTGACATTTTGAAATGAAAAGGTTAGCGGAGCAAAAGTGTTGTCTTCTAAATGAACTCTGCTGGAAATAATGCAAGCAACATTTCGCACAAAATGTTCTGGAACAGCCAATCCAAGTCGTTCTACTTCCGAATTTTGATGATTGGAGGAATTTCTCAAATACTTCTCATGATGCTTGTTTTCAGAAATCCCAGTAAACCACAAGGTAGGCTATTTATAAATCGTTCAGCGTCAGACTTTCCGAGAGTTGACAGAAACAACGTTCCACGAGATGGACTCTTCGAACAATTACATGAATGTGTGCGCCCTGCCTGTCTATGATTACTGGCATCCGACAGTCATGAGACACGTGGATTACGACTTCGATCCGACGAGAGACTGCGACGAGAACTTCAGGCCGTACACTGAATTAGTGAACGGAACGTGGCGGATTGTGGAGGAGAGACAGGGTACAAACTGTTCGGCGAGGTGCTACGAATGGGCCGGGGAGTACAATGTTCGGCGGGGGCCGTGGATGCAGCCTGGAGTTGTGAGTTGCGAGTTTCTGGAAGCAGTGTGTTGGGAGGGAGAGCACGAAGTGTACGGATACATGCACACTCAGATCGTGAAGAAGTGAGTTGGCTTATCATGTGAACGTTAAAACAATTGGAAAACAGAGAGCCGACGACTGCTCCAAAGTTTGCGAATCCGCCGAACGTCTTTGTTTTCTTGTTCGATTCATTGAGCACTGGACAGGCAAAGAGGTACTCGTGACTGTCTTCAGTCGAATGTTCCGATGCTTTCAGATCCTTCCCCAAATCCATTTCGACACTCTCCAGTCGGTTTGAGTCGGTCGAGTTTCCATTTGTGAATAAAGTCGGAGAGAACAGTCGCCCGAATGGAATTCCACTTTGGTTTGGTTAGTTTTGGTGACTTTCAAACCAATCTGACACACTTTTGTTCTCAGGAAAATCCATCGAACCCATCAACAACGAAGCGTTCGGAGGTGAAAACATTGAGCCGGATTGGAACTACACAAAGTCCTGCTACACTGATCTGGAGGAGTCGGGAACGTCAATCTTCAAAGACTTTGAAAGCCACGGATACATGGTACCATACAACTTTCCTTCTCGGGAATACCACTTCATTTCAGACCATGGATATTGACGATTGGGCCTCGCAGATGGTGAATTACCCGAGTTGCAACGGGTTCAGAGAGCCGCCCACTCACCATTACATGCATCCATTTCAACTGGTTTACGAACGATTCGGCGCCAACATCACAAAAGAGCACTTGAACGGAAAACTGTGTCGGGAGGAAGTACACCCGGTGCTCGAGTATTTCCAACAGTTTGTGGATGCTTACAAAGGTCTCGCCATACTTCAAATTTTTACATTTTTCCTCAAAAATACGAATATTGTAACATTTTCGAAGTTGTGGAGCCGTTTGTTATTCCTTTGGTTTTCAGGTCGTCCGATGTTCACATGGATGTGGCTGAATACTTTCGGTCATAGCATGTTCAACGGACTCATGCGAGCAGACGACATTCTAGTGAAAGTGATTGAGCGAAACGCGGAATTAGTAAGCGTTTTGAAAAAATGTCATAATGAAAAAGTTGGAAATATTATGAATTCAGTTCGAAAACTCGTTCGTGTTTCTGATGGGCGATCACGGATACCGGATCGGAAAGAAGAGAGTCAGTTTGCATTTAAAGTGTAAATGAATGCAGTTTTCAGTTCCTCCAAACTGACATTGGAACGGTTGAGATGCACAATCCGTATCTGTCAATCTCAATCCCAAAGAGATTACGTGGCAATCAGGCGATTCTGGAGACGATGCGCCAGAATTCGAGGAAACTTCAAACTCACTACGACACGAGAGCCACTCTTCTGGATATTCTGAAGGTTTCACTAATCCGCTTCACTTTCTGCTTATCAACAGTATTCTCTTCAGTTTCAACCACAGTCCTCATTCTCTGACAAGAGTATTCTGGAGATTTCGGGAGAGAAAGGCAACTCCTACTTCCGTCGGCAGCCGTCATTTCCAAGAACTTGCGGACGTCTTCCGATTCCGCCGGAATACTGTATCTGTCAAGTTGAGAAGGTTCCAGTGGAAGAGTAAGTGGCGGAAACGAGAATAAACTCAAAGAATGATTCAGTGAGAATCTGAAAGAGCGATTCGGAAGACAACTTATCGATTACATCCATGATCAACTTGAGAAAGGCAACTTTTCGTCAATGTGCGAAAAGTTTGAAATGCGAAAGGTTGGCACTGTTTCCCCGAACAATCACACATGATTTCCCCTATTCCAGGTCACTTCTCTCGTTCATTTTGGCCACACAAACCACTCGAACACCTTCCACAATTACGAGATTGTCGTGGAAACAGCGGCGCCCAGTTTCGCCCAATTCCAAACGATTCTGATGCACGAAAAGAAAACGAATGAGGTGAAATTCGTGAATATCATCCGTTTGGACCGGATTGGAAAGACCGGAGAATGCACTGACAGCAGTTTTCACGAGAAATTGTGCTTCTGCAAAAGTTTGGCGCTGATGGAGAAGTGGAAATATCGGATGGAGAAACAGATGGCCGAGATGGTACTGACCATTGAGGGATACTTCCCTAAATATCTGATTTATTGAATTGTTACCATAATTTTTTTTTTATCGAGTGATTGTTGTATCCCAGTAAACATTTATAACGTTCAAATTCACAGTTATCGAAAGACAAATAAATTAGGAATAAATAAGTGGAAGAGAAAATGCCGAAAAATTATCCAGAAGTGCAGAATCCGCAGGTCAATGGGCACTGAACGCGCATCAGGGCGATGTAGGCGGAGTTGGTGCAGTAGGCGACACGGTTCGGGCAGTCGGAGACTCCGGTGGCAGAGTTTACGAGGTCGGCGCAAGTGGCTGAAAAGAGAGAAAAGTTAGAAATGGAAAGGGAAGGGAACGAGTACAGGAAGCAGTGGTGGAAGAGGACGAGGTGACGGTCGAGCTGGAGGAGCATCTGCCGCAGGTGGCTGGGCACTGGACAGTCATCACATCGTAGTAGACAGAGTTATTGCAGAGAGAAGCACGAGCTGGGCAGTCAGAGACTCCGGTCGATGGATTGACGCGATCGGTGCAGGAGGCTGGAATGATGGGAATGAGAAGATACAAGCAAACGAGGAAGGAGCAGAAGCAGAAGCGAAGGGAATTGGCGAGGCAGAAGCAAGAGGCAGTCTGCCACTCACAAGAGCTAGAAGTGCTGTTAGTAGAGCAACGGCCACAAGTAACCGGGCACTGAACAGTCATGAGATTGTAATAAACCGCGTTATTGCAAAGAGCGGCACGGGAAGGGCAGTCAGATCTACCGGTGGTCGGGTTAGAACGATCGACACAAGAGGTGCCTGGAACGGACGGATTACGAAGGAAGGAGGGGTGTGCCCAGAGAGACGGATCAAAAGATGAAGAACACTTACTGGTGGAAGTGGTGGTCGAGGTCGAGTTGCATCTTCCGCAAGTCTTTGGGCACTGCTGGGTCATGACGGTGTAGTAGGTGGCATCGTTGCAAAGAGAAGCACGCGCTGGGCAATCGGAGACTCCGGTGGATGGATTGAGGAGATCGGCACAGCTGGAGGAGCTGGTCGAGGTCGTGTTGCAGCGTCCGCACGTCTTCGGGCACTGTTGAGTCATGACGGTGTAGTAGGTGGAGTCGTTGCAGAGATAAGCAAGAGCTGGGCAATCGGAGACTCCGGTGGATGGGTTGAGACGATCAACGCAAGTAGTGGTGGAGGAAGAAGATGTGACAGTGGTGGAGGAGGAGGTTACGGTCGAGGAGCTGCTGCTGGAGACGGTGGTGGAACTGGCAGAAGCAGCTGGAAAAGGGCTTTGAGAAAGGATCGAAACTAAAGAGTCTTACTTGTGATAGGGCAGCATTGACCGGCGGTTGTATCACACACTTGAGTCTGGCAGGTAATCAAGACGCCGTCACATGCTGGAATGAAATAGAATAGAACAAAGAAAAAGAGGAAGAGTAGAGGTCACTCACGTCCTTCAGACTCAGAAGCATCGCAAGCGAAGGCAACTGAGAAGACGGCGAACGAAACGAGGAGTTGACGGAACATTGTTAGAAGCGAAGAGCTGGATGATTGAGAGGGGCTTTGTCCATCCCTTTTATACTCGGTGCCTTCGACATGGACATCTGCGCAAATAATTGTTTTTGCAACATTCCTGGATACTGACCATTGTACTGCGCAAGCAGATAACGAACAAAAAGATGCACGAGCCGGAGGACAGCAAGTGGAAACGGCGGAATGGATTAGAAAATGGAAGAGGGTCCCGGACAGAGTGGTCCGCTTTCCAATTGACTTCTGGCGGGAGGACACTGGAACTGAAAATACCTTTACTTTCATAACCATCAGATGCGCGTGTTTTGGAAACAACCGTCCAGAACCGTGCCTCAAGAATCAGTTCTCCTTCAGACAATCCTTCCCCTTGGCTTCCATTATCTTCTGCGTCTCTTCATTCCACCCACTCTCTCTCCTGCATGCTCTCCAAGCTGCTCAAACACAATTTAGTTTTTGTTTCAAAAATATCATATTCTCTCGTCCGTCACAATACGTTATTGTTTTTATGTTGGTACAACCAAGCCGATCGCTTTTGTTTGATCACATTTCGATGGGAACACGATTTATTATAAATTAGGAGAGTAATACTGACGAAAGACACATTTCGAGAAAGACGAGCAAAGAGAAATCATCCAGAACTGCAGAATCCGCAAGTTCTCGGGCACTGAACGCGCATCAAAGACTGATAGGCCGAATTGTTGCAGAGGGCGATGTTGGCGGCGCAGTCGGAGGTTCCAGTGGCCGGATTGGTGCGGTCGACGCATGCTGAAAAAAAAAGGGAATCGATGTTTGAGATGAGGGGAATGACAGATTACTTCCGGAGGAAACAGTTGATGTGGAGAATGAAGAAGTGGACGAAGAAGAAGAGGAAGAGCTGTTGCAGAAGCCGCACGTTTTCGGGCACTGGGTTCTCATGAGCGAGATGTAGTTGGAATCGTTGCAGAGGGAAGCACGGGATTTGCAGTCAGAGACTCCGGTCGATGGGTTGGTGAGGTCGACGCAGGAGGCTGAAATGTACCCGATAAGATGAGAAAAAAACTGATCACGCAGAAGCAGAAGCAAAGGGAATTGGCGAGGCAGGAAGAAGAGGCAGTCTGCCACTCACAAGAGGAAGAGCTAGAAGAGCTATTGGAGAAGCAGCGTCCACAAGTACGCGGACACTGAACGGTCATCAGATTGTAATAGACTGCGTTATTACAAAGAGAGACACGGGATGAACAATCGGAAACACCGGTCGATGGGTTAGTACGATCAACGCATGAGGTGGCTGGAACGGGCGGATTAGGAAGGGAACATGGAGGAATGATTGAAGAAATAGTAGGAAACTAACTGGAAGAGGAGGTAGTCGACGTCGAGTTGCATCTTCCGCAAGTCTTTGGGCACTGCTGGGTCATGACGGTGTAGTAGGTGGCATCGTTGCAAAGAGAAGCACGCGCTGGGCAATCGGAGACTCCGGTGGATGGGTTGACGCGATCGGCACAGGAGGAAGAAGAGGAAGAAGAAGTGGTGCGAGAGGTGACGGTGGCGCCGGAGACAGTGGAAGAAGACGAGGTGACGGTGCTGGTGGCAGAACCAGAGACCGTGGTGGTGACTTTAAATGGTGACTATAGAGGAGAAGAGTAGGGAGAATACTTACTGAGGTCCGAATCGGCACAGCAACTTTGAAGCACCGTATCACAAGTTTGTCCGGTTTGGCAAGGCAATCCATCCATACATGCTGAAAAAGTTTCTCGAAAGAGTATTCACACTGAAAGCGACTCACGGGCTGTGATGGCGTTCGGATTGCAAGACTGTCCTAAGGCAACGGCGAAAAGGGCTCCGATGAGGAAAACACTTTTGAACATGATGATGATTTGTTGAATCACTCGATGATCTTTCTGGATCCCCGTTCATCTTTTATACTCATTCGCCCTTTTCTCTGCCTCTCTTCACTTTCCCTTATCTGCTAGGTGTGAGCATGCGACACCATTGTGCAGCTGCTCAAACTCTGATTGTTACATTCTAGAATCAGTACGTAACAATAAAAGATGATCTGTTGCTTTGGTTTCGTATTTGAACAGCTCTTGAAAGGTGTTTGTGTGTGTGTGTGTGTGTGTGTGTGGACATTTCAAGACCAGTTGCAAATCCTTTATATCCTTTGTCAAATGAGGTGACGTGATAGCATTGTTACGAGATAAGAGAGTAGAGAATACTTTTACAGTTTGAATTACAGATTCCGTGCACATCTTCTGAAAAGTCGGAGGACACATACGGAATTTTAATGCGCCAACTAACCCGCTTTTATGAGTTCTATGGATTCGAGAGTCAGCTGATAACGTGCCGATTCTTGGCCAATTTTTGTGTTTGGACAGTGCAACAGAAGTGATGATTTCAGTAGTTATGCCGGTCAGAGTACACTCCAATGTCTATCTGAACAGTTCATCTATCCCTTTTATGATCCTCACCGTCTTCTTCTTCTACTTCTAATACAGGTGATCTCTTTTTACGATCTGTTCTATCATCATCCACCATTCATTTTGTTTTCCGTTTTTTGACCAACTGTTTGCATGATTAGCTCCTCTTCTCTTTCTTCTCCTCCCGCCCAAATTTCACGTTCACAGTTGTATTGTTCCTTCGCAAAAATGTCATCTTCCTTTGTGTTGATAAAGAATTTATTTGTGGCCGATAAAGAGTAAACCTCCCCCTCGACACATTTCCAAACTACCTTCCGTCACAATTTCTTACTGCCTCTTCAGAATGTCGAAGCGAGTTTGTGTGATCGGAGCGGGTGCAGCCGGACTTGCCGCTGCCAAGCATTCGATTAGTCAAGGATTGGAAGTGAGTCTGCAAGTTTTTACTTTTACAAGTACAATAATTTCTGTTTCAGGTTGAAATATTCGAGCAAACGGGTCGTGTTGGAGGGACATGGGTCTATTCAGAGCACACAGGGTGTCATTCGAGCATGTACCAAGATCTGAAGTGAGCGATTTTGCAGAAGCACACAAAGAGATCGATTGATTCAGAACAAACCTGCCGAAAGAAGTGATGCAGTTCAAAGACGTGCCCTTCCGGGACGATCTTCCGTCTTTCCTGTCCCACGGCGACGTACTCGAGTACCTCGAAGAGTTCTCTCGCGGATTGCCAATTCATTTCAACGAGACAGTCGAAAGTGTAGATCGGAGTGATGACAAGTGGAAGGTGAGCAACGGAAGAGAAGGGCGCGGCCGAAATGTTCATCGAAATAGGTCACAATTCATCATGGAACAGGCATCACTGAACACCTCTTCGACATTGTTTTTGTGTGTAATGGACACTATTTCCAGCCGAACAATCCATACGAAAACAATGAATTTGAAGGTAGGGCATGAAATAGAACATGTTCAGGGACTTGCATTCAGGATCGCTCCTCCACAGCCATGACTATCGACGTGCAAGTGATTATGCGGACAAAGATGTGATTGTGATCGGTGCGGGTCCTTCCGGAATCGACATTGCTCTTCAGTTGTCCGAGACGGCCAAGAAGATCACTCTGATCAGTCGGAAGGCCACGTATCCGACGCTCCCGAGCAACATCTTCCAAATGAGTCAGCACGTGAAACGGGTGACTGCGGAAGGATGCGAGACGGACGACGGGACTCTCGTAACTGCCGACTCAATCATTGTATGCACCGGGTATTTCTACAAGTACCCGTTTCTCAGTGACAAAATCCTCCGCGTCAAAGAGAATAATCAGTTGGTGTCGCCAATTTTCGAGCACGTCGTTCATGCCGATTATCCGGATAGTTTGTATTTCATTGGTACGTGAATGCTTTCCGCCCTAGTTCTCACATTCAAATGTTCTTTCAGGGCTCAACCTAGTCACGATCACATTCCCTCTTTTCGAGTATCAGGCTAAATTGGCGCTCTCCTTCGCAACGGGACGCGCGCCCATTCCGGATCGACAAACTTTGATTGATTTTGAAGCGAATCAGATAGAGTAAGTCCCTCGAATCCGTTGAGTTTCTCCAATTCACGATTACCTCAGGCATCAAAAGTCGCGTGGTCTCGAAGTCCGATTCTACCATCTTCTGCAGAATGAGCAGTGGGAGTATCTGAGGAGAATCGCAAAGTTAGGACGAAACGAAGAGTGGCCGTACATGAAAACGATTGAGAAGATAACGACATATCTGCAAGAGCTGAGGAAGATCAACGTGATCGGGTACAAGAATATCAATTTTGAACTGACCGAAGACGGAATGGAATATCGAGTTGTCAAGTTTTGAATTTTGTCATGATTCATTGTTAAAATGAAGATCTTAGGTACAGGAAGGAACAACGGGAAATGTACACAAATCGGGAGCACGGGAAGTGATGATAAAGATACAAACAAATTTGAACAAATCTAGAAAGACAACGGAATCACCACTGAGACGGTTCCATTCCTCCGTTTTCATCCCATGAAATGAACTCGAAGCAATTGGGCGAATACCGGAATGATCCCATCTTCTGATGTCTATTCACGACGTCGTCACAAAATGAATCCGTTTCTTCGTGCTCATCATGCAGAATTGCCCATTGCTGATGGGGTACTCTCACTGGGATTCGTGCCGTTTCGCTGCTGATAACGATCTTTTTATAGTTGATAACACCGTTTTTCCAATTCTAAAAACGTGGTTTTTTTGTAGAATGTGAGTGGAAACGCGAACCTCAATGAGTTGATGGGCATGTCTCAATCGTATTTTCTCGTTTATGGTGTCCGCAGTGACTTTGAGCAGCCTAGAAGACACGAGTTCATCCAAATTCAGAGGGATTCCGTACAAAACGAGTTCTTCGAGTTGTGGAAACTTCTGAAAACTACGAGTGAATAGAATGCTTGAAGAAATGTGTGTACCTTGAGATCCAAAACTCCTCTCCTCAGATTATTGTGTGTCGGCTGGAAAAGTGTCAACTTTCTCGGTTTGAATCTTTGAGCCAATTCAAGATATTCCACTTCATCCGACACTCCCAGGTCGTCAACTTTGTCAATGTATCGTTGAAATAAACGGCTCAAACCGCTCTTAAAAGACTATGAAATATAGAAAGGTCGAGAACTGGAAAAGACTCACAACTCCCAAGTGAATCTTGGTGAAACGATATCTGTCGAGCAACCAGGTCATAATCTTTTCCAAGTATTCGCTGGAGGGAATCGGCACCGACTTGCTCGTAGTCTTCCCGTTTTCCATTCTGTGCACCACCGTCCGTACTCTACTCTCCAGCTCAATCGTCCATCCGACGTGCATGTCTTCTCCCATTTCGACTTGAACAATGTAGAACTCAGAAAGATAAGAGACACTCTGACTCTCGCCCCTTCTAACACCTACACCGACTGGCACGTTTCCCTTGATCGACAGGGATCCGGCATCTTTCAGAAGAGGTGCATAGTGGCTTCGAAGGCGAGAGTTCATTTGCGAGAGTGAGCGACGCGAGGTCCAGATGAGGAAAGGCGCCAAGTGGTGGAGGACGACGTCGGGAAGAGCGGACAGCCGGCTCTGTGTGTGGGCTCACGATTAGGAATTGCAAATAAGTTGACGGCTTTCTGTTTGTTCACTATTCGGGAGGTGCCGTGATTCGATTTATTATAACTACTAGTTTGGAATAAAGGCTACGGACATTCTGTTCCGTAATATTTCCAAAGAAACACGTACCGGGAAGTCGTTCTGTCCGCCGCTGCTCACTCTTTCTTCCGTCGACTTCTCCTTCTCCGTTTCATTTGCCACGAGAGAAAGTGATTCGTGTGTCATGAGCGAGTGTTATAATTGCAATTGCCACCGCCCGTTGACGTCTTCAATGATGATGTTTATAATCGGTGTGGTGCGCCCCTCGTCGTCTTTTTTGCTGATACGACGACCCGCAATAACCTGAGGAGGAGAAGAGATTGACGAAGGAGAAGCGAGCGAAACGTAGAAGACGTGAGCGAAACGAGGGGAACGTGGTGGCTGAGCACGAACAGGATTAAGAGGAGCACCGCCTGAGAGCGGACAAATTAGTGCTCGCGAGCTCTTGACAAGGAGCACAACTTGACAAGGGAAAAGGAGACGCAGGCGCAGATCGGGGAGCTCGTTTTCCGGCCGCAGGGTCCCGTTTCGCGCATAAATTTTGAGGAATAGGTCCGATGGAAGGAAAAGAGTACGAGATGATTCATGATGGAAGGAATTCGTAAAGTAAGGGCTCTGAGAAGAAGAGAGAAGAAAAGAACCACTGATTCGAGGAAGTGAGTCACAATGACTCAGCAATACGGTCGTTTTTAAAGGTCCAAAGAATTGGATAAAACGTTTTCAGTAGCCAAGGGTTTCGTCAATCAATCCAGGACCGGAAGTAAACAACACAATGAACCCACTGACATGCGACTAAACTCTTCCTCTCTCTCTCTCTCTCTCTCTCTCTCTCTCTTCCGTTTTCCCTCCGATCCTAATCCACTTCAAGGGCGACTGGAAGAAATAGACTGAAAACCTTTGCGAGGCAGCCTCTCGCATTCATTTGTTTGCTTCTGCCGAGGTCTACCGGGCGGCGCTCGGATAGAGCGCTTATTATTCGGATTATGTAAATATTTGCACTTCACCACAACACTTTTTTGTACTTATATCATAATTTGTCTTCTGAATTGAACGACTCTGGGAAAAGAGTTGGCAGTCGGGAAACGTGGGATCCGTGGGAGGAGAAGTAGGAGGAAGAAAAGTGTAAAAATGAGAAAAGCTCGAGGAGAGAGCCGCGAGACACTGAGAAGGCAGAGCCCATGGAAATGAGGGAAAGATGGAGACCAAAAAAGGGAGAAAACACATTCAGAGAAGTGGGCGGTTTTGTTGTTTCCCATTGTTCTCTTTTCTCTTTTTGAAGAGAATGATGGCAGAAATGGGAAGAAGTCTGGGACAATTGGTTCGTCCGGACGATAAGAGAACGAATTTAGTGGGCAGTCGGTGTCCTGATAGGACGAAGTTCCCGTTGTCGAGGCGTTGCCAGTGGTCGCGGAGTTAGTGTTTGATTATGTGAGTGTGCATATGTCCCGAGTTTAAAGATACGAAGAGCACATGGCGGACGAGAGTGCCAGCCAGCCACAGTCGATTAGCGCACTCGAAATGAGACACCTCGCAGAATTGATGCCACGTCATCAAAATGAGATCAGGGAAGTTCGACAATAACGAAATGAGGTTCTTTTTAAAACAACCCATTTGAGCCCCCTCCCCTATTTCTCTCTCTCTCTCTCTCTCTCTTTTTTGTTTTTCGACCTCACTTTGTTTTGACCCAGAACCACCGATTACGATGGCATTCACGAGGGAGAAAAAGTGGAAATAACAATTGTTCATTGCGAAAAGAATTGGTATTGAATCTAGAAGGAAAAGAAGAACGAATATGAAAAGGGTGATGATGCGTCGAAGAAAAACGGGGTACCGGTCATTGCAAAATGTCGTTTTGTTGTGAGGACGAAGGTGGGCACAAAATGAGTGTGAAAAATACAGAAACTGTGAGAAATGGGAAGCGAAAACCGGAAGGGAAAGGGAAGGGAATCAGTAATTGCACGTTTCGAGTTGGCCATCCACCATTTTGAGAGTGCGAGTTCGGCGGACTGAAACCAGAATGTGTTGGGAATACCGAACGCGGTAAACTCACGGGATTTTCTGTTGAACTGTCTCGCTCGACGGCGCTGGTCTCTGGGATCCGTCTGGAGCGTGGCAGCCTTGACGAGTCCATTCAGAATCTCGTCTTCTGGGGACTCTGTGTCCACCATTTCTGCAAACAGTTCTTTTAATTTCAACTTATTCTCGCCTGCTTTTCTAACCTTTTACATTGGCCGCGAAGCTCTTGCCGTTGGTTCCGTTGGTTCCGTTCGCTGACGGAGCCGCTCTCCTTCGCAGAGTACTGTCATCGGCCATCGCGGCCAACATTTTCGACATTTCATCGTGTCTTTGCTGCGAATTCTGCACTGGCGCGTGGTTTCTTCTTCTCAACGGAGCCGCGTCTCCTGCTCCATCCGCCGATGATTCGAGTGCCCAGATCTTTCCACGTGTCTTGTTGCGTTCTCTCTTCTCCGCCAATCTCTTCTTCTGCTGAAGGATCTTGTCTCGGGTGGTACGGTACTCCAACGCGAACTCCGTCACCATCTTGAATACTTCATTCGGAGTCTGATTCGGAATTTCCTCCACTGAATATCCAAAGTAGAGCAGGAAAGCGTGCCAGCGATTCTTGGAGACTGTGTGAATCGCCTTCAACTGATGGATACGTTGTGCCACGTCAGACAGATAATCATTGATCTTCTGCTTCATATTCGAGTTGTCGTTTTTGCTGATAGTGGCCAGATACTCCCACGAACTTTTGCAGTCTTTCTCCAGACGGATCAGGTTGTCGAACAATTCCTTGTAGTCCACTCTAGCACTTCTGGCAACTGCTCCGAACTCGCTGTACAGATCTGTGCCCTCCGAGTAGTGCTCGACCATGTACTCGGCCAAGTGATAGGTCAGCGTGTGCTTGTACACTGGATCTTTTACTTCCGAGGCTTTCGTCAAGTAATCGAGATAGAATCCTTTGATGTCAGTGCCCGAAAGCGAGTTTCCAATGGCCAAAAGCATTCCCATCGCCACTTTGAACGTCCGCGACTCTTCCATCTCCTTCATCGCCAACTGCATGTCCATCAATGGCTCCGCAATGTCCTTCTCCGAATTCTTGTAGTCCAGAGTGAACAGCCACAGTTTCAGTCTCTCCAGAAGACACGGAATCTGTGCCAGTTTCAGCAGCAATTGCTCTGCGTTACCGAGAGTCATGTCCGGATTCTCGGCCACCGCATTCTCAATCTTCTCTATTTCAGCCGAAGACGGCATCATTGTTTTCAGAATCTTCTCGATTCCGTCCTTGTTGAGAACGAGAGAATCAAACTTCTGAAAAAAAAGAAGCGAAATTGTACAGTGAAACATGCCGAGCGACCAACCATAATTGCGGCGGGAATAACGTTGATCGGAGGCAATTTGGTCAGTCCGATGCAAATCGCTTGAGATCTGTTTCTGTCGAGAACTGTCAGCGTCTGTGTCTTCACTTCTGCCACCTTCTGAACAAGAGATATTGAACAGCACGAGGAAAGCTTTGAAACCCACCTTGACAGCCGCTTCCTTTTCTTTTTTCGTCTCGAACAACTGCACAATCTTCTTGGCGTCGAACGACGGAACGGCCCCATCTACAGTATTCCAGAAGCTTCCTTTCTGTTTTAAAGATGGAATCGACGGCTGCTCAACCGTTGCTGGCTTCCAATGCATTTTCAAAACTCCCTTGTTGGCTGCCGGACTGATGTCCCCTCTGTTTAGAGTTCCACCGTTCAGAAGCATGTTTCCGGGTGGAGGTGGTGGGGGAACGACGCCGAGTGGCGGCGGAGGGGGCGGAGGACCTCCTTGCAATCCTTGCACTGAACAAAAATGAGTTGAAGAGGGGAATATGAACGACGGGGCTTACGTCTAGGTGGCAGTGGAATGACAGGCGGTGGCGGAGGCGGCCCACCTCCGAACACGGATCCTCTTGGGCCATTCTCAGCTTCCGCCTTAATTTTGGCCATTCTCGCGAGTTGCAGTGGGTCTTGTTGGTACTCATCCCCGTGGAACTGCGAAAAATCGAGGTCGTTGATGATGAGAGGCCGATTTTCGAGGTTCTCCGCCGCTTTTTTCCACTGAACTTCCGCCTCAGACTCTTTCTTTTCGAATCCTCCTCTGTTGGCTTCTGCCGATCTGGCTGCTCTCTTGGCAAGCATGTCTGCAAAACTGTTACCACTTCCGACGTCTGGCTCAATCTGTAACGATACTTTTTTCAAATCGGAACTATTCAAGTGAAGTTACCTTTGCTCTCGGAGGCGGTGCCCTCTCTTCAACCACTGGCTCCTTGGCTTCCACCTCTGAGAAGTCCATTGTCTTTGCTTCGGTGGGCGAGAATAACGTCGGGAACGATGGAGGCGGAGCTTTCACCTGAAACTTTCGAATGATTTATTTACCGAGAGTAATTACTCTTTCGCATACTGGTTTATCGCTGTCATCCGCCTCTTTTGGTATCTCGTTCTCTTGATTCTCCTGCACAATTTGAATCGGTTCGGGAATCTTCTTCGATCGGAGTGTACCAAAGTCATTTGCGGACGAAGTTGTCTGAAAAAAGGAAATTATGATCATGGGAATCGCAAGATAAAAACCAACCGGTTCCACATCGTGGTAAGTTTCCGTGACTGGTGGTTGCCACGAAGAAGTGGTTGGTGAGGGAAGTGTTTGAGCAACTGGTGCATCACTGGAAAATAGAAAACTTGAATCATTTGTAAATTTAAACAGTTCTTGTCTACTAACGTTTTGTTGAACATGGTCCTGTTGGCGGCAAACTGTTCGTGCTCCAACTGTCTCCTTCTCGCATCCTCGTGACGCCTTCTCATCGTCGCTTTCTTGTCATCTGCCGAAGACGTCGTCGCCATGATGTCATTCTTTGCAAATCTGTACGAGCTTTGTATTTGGCCCAAGAGACCTCTGAGCTCTACATACTCACACCACCACCATGCTACAGTAATCAACCATGCCAAAAGTTGGACCAACCTGACTTCCTTCTCTTCTCTTCTTCTCTGCTCCTCCACCTCCTCCTCCTCCCTCTGCCGTTTTTCGTCTTCCTCTCTTTCCCGACGCCTCCGTTCTTCTGCCTGCCTTCTCATCATTTCTATCTCTTCCAACTGTTCCGCCTCTTTCCGTCTCGCTTCTTCCGCCTTCTGTTTCTCCGCTTCTCTCCGATTCTGGAGTGCTTTGTTCAACTTTTCCAGTGCCGTTTCAATGTCTTCCGGCATCTCGTGTTCGATCGCCCGTGATCTTCTCTCAAGCGTGTTGCACGCGCTCTGAGTGACGACAGTCGACGGAGAGGGAGTTGCCACGTGGACGGGAGGAGCCGGCGAAGGCGTCGATGGCGTCTGTTTGTAGCTGTCGGGGCTCCGCGAGCCGTCCTCCTCGCTGCCCATCGTGATCGCCGAGTCGTGCGAGCCCTGACTCGAGCGACGCGACGTGTCTTTGAAAGAGTCAGTGGATCTGAACAACGGGTTAGAAAAAACACTTCAAATGGAAGATTAAGAGCTTGCAACCAATCGAAGTCATGCTCCGTACGTGCCATTCCCACTCACCTCATCTTCACAACGTCGTCGTCGTTGTCTCCCCGCTCGTCTTCTTCTTTCAGCTCTCTTTCGTACAACCGGCACTGTTCTTCGAGCTCTTTGTTGTTCGATCTGCCCATTCCCTTGATGGCATCTTCCATGCCGAGCGTATCCAGAGTGTCTACTGCGTCATAGTACGTGTCCTGAAATAAATGCATTCACTCGAAAGCTTCTCTCGCATTTTCTTACTCTATCCGGAATTCCGTGCAACGCCTTGTTCACCACAGTCATTCCGTAGACGAGAGTCTCGGCATCGGGAGAATCCTTCTCTGTCAGCACTTTCATGAGCCCCGACCAGTCCGCTTGACCTTTTCCCTTGTCGACAGTTTGAATGGCCGAGAGCACCAGTAGGGCATTGTTGTCGTTGTATTCGATGAAAACGAGAAGAAGTTTCAGGGCGGTCTTGACGACCAAACGGAACTGAAATGAAATGGGTTGTGGGGAGAAGAGAGGAGCAGGCACGACACATCATGCGACATTCATACATTTTGTTATAAACATCTTTCGAATCTGAAAATTTCATGCGTCTAACTCTAACTCTTCATGCCTTCAATCACACTTTCAACAAACGAATACCCATTCAAGACGGAATGGGGACATTTCTTTCCGTTCTTCCTCGTTGTACAACTGAACAAAGGACAGCACATTTAGAGACGCGACACATTGAATTTCCGAGTCAGCTCAAACTAACCGGTGAATCGAGAAGCTCATAGAGCCACTGAATGGTCCCGTTGTGTGCAATTATTCCGTTCATTCCATCTACGTAGAGCATAAGTTGTCCGAGCGCCCGCAGAATGTAGTTCTGATGATTTTGGTCGGCCGTTCTGCCCAGTCTGATCATGCAGTCAAGTCCCTGATTCTGTACGAACTCGTGCACCAAATCTTGGTCGTCCTGAAAAGGGAAAAGCACGGTTGAATGAGTACGAACTGAGGGCATTAGCGCCTTGAGATGGCTATCTGATCTGCCGGTCACCCACCTGGAAGATCTGCTTGAGCGAAAACAGCGCGCGTCTTTGATCGCGGCCCGAACAGTTGAGAAGCTTGTCTGAAATAATTTTAAGTCATTAAACAAATAACAAAAATTAAGCTATTACCGATTATGGTTTTCACTCGCAATGACGTCTGCGTTCTGAGCACCAAACTGCATCGTCTCCTGCAAAAACAACCTGTTTTTTCATGTTAGCGAAAATGTTATTATGCAATTTGGCAGATGATCCCGATAGCGGCAGATATTTCGCATTCAAATCATTCCCTCAAACAGGTTCCCCTGCCGCCTGGCCACTCACTTGACCCTCGAATTGAGATACTCGTCTCCCCAATCAAACGGCTCTTCTTCCAGATGTTGTCGTTCATCGTCCGATTCCGTCCGTTTCGAGGTCGATTCTTTCGAGGTAAACGGGCTTACTGTAGCTACGATCGGAGCGACGGGCGGAGTAGATGGGAAAGGGGCCTCCGGAACACTCATCTTCCGAATGTTCTCCATCGAACGGTAGCCGCTGTCTTCTCTGCGATGGAGAGAAGAAGCCGGGCTCGCGGCCGTAGATGTCGATGGACGGAATGAAGAAGAAGAGAATGAGGAAGGTGGAAGTGGGGGAGCGGGAGCAGGAGGAAGATCATCGTCTATGAAAGGGATCGCATTCGATTCTTCTGCTCCAATCACTACTGGCGCAGCACAGTGGAGTACAGTAGGGCGATGGAAGTTGCGAGGAAGAGAGTTGCACGCATCCAGAGCCATCGGAGCAGGAGGCAAGGTCGGCGGCTCCACAAGAGTCGTCCTTCTCTGCACCGCAAACGTCCGAAGAGGCTTCACAATCAGCGGCAATTCGTTGCGACTCGATAGCATACTCGCATTCCTTGCCAGTGATTCATCCGAAACGTGTGTAGAAAGGGTCGAAGTAAGCGGAGTCTCCAACTCTCGGAACGGACTGATATACGCCTTCGCAGGTGGTTTATAACTTGCTGCCGACTCGGCTTTTGGAATTGGTGGTTGGGCGGAGTACACTCTCGCAGAATATGTGTCGGAGTTGTATGGTTTGGCGGCGAAGCGAGAATCCGAAGACGTAGAAGAATATGGTTTTGAACGAATTTCCGGAAACTTTGATAGAGATGAAGATGAGTAGGCAGATGAGTTAGAACTTGACGACGGGATGTAAGGTTTTGCAAATGCTTCGGAAGACAAAGATGGCGTTGTATTCGAAAAGCCATACGGCCTCGCAAAAGCATCTGATTTCTCAGGAGACGGTTTTACCGAACTCGGAATGTACGGCTTCGCAAATACTTCAGATGAGAACGGAGTCGCATTGAATGGTTTCGCGAAGGCCGAAGTGCTCTTTTGAGGAGCTCTCACAGGCTCATCTAGGTCAATCGGAGTGGCTCGGAAGGCTGGAACTCTTCCAGAAGACGGCAGAGGAGGCCCCCCGACATCAATATCATATGTTCTGAGTCCACGGGATTTGACGACTGGAGGAGCGTAGGAAGCGGTCGCCGGACTACAATGCGACCGCATTCAACGGAACGGCTGGAAACAGAGAAGAATGAAAGGAAAGAAGGAAGAAGAAGGAGAAGAAGGAGAAGGAGAGTGTGGGAGGATGACTAAATGTCATAAATTCTGTACGAGAGGCGCGATATTATTATTAGAGTACCAACAAATGAATGAACATGCAAATGAGTAAATACAGGTTGCTCTCGGAACAAGTGGAAGAGTGGAGAGTGGCCGAGGGCGAGACATAGAGTCCCGGTTGCACATAAACAATGTACCGTCAAAGAAAAGTGGCCGGCCTTCTTCAGGGACACGAAGGAGAGACCGAGGGCGGGGCCCGGCCGCGAAGAGAAGGACGCTTTATTCTGTTTATAATGAAATAATTGAAGAAGTGGCGTACGGGAGGGACACGGCCGACTGCTATGACGGCCGTTGAATTCTGGTATGTCCTGCGAAGTCCAGCTGAGAATTCAGGTGATCGTGAAGCGGAGATAGTGGGCGAAGCGGAGAGACGCACGCAAATTGATATGCAGACGAGAAGCGGAGATAGGGCAAAGAAGAGAGAGACATTCGGAGCGAAGTGGAGAGATGGAAAAGCAGGGATCAGAAAAAGAGAGAGAGAGAGAGAGAGAGCATCGGAGATCGGAAGTAGGACGGTAGAAGAAGAAGAACATGATATGTCTTTTCAGCGATATACTATGGTGTGACCAAATATCTTTTTCTGCTTTATAAAGAACTGATTTAGATTTCAGATCCTGCGCAGACACTTCCAGCACTGTCAATATTGTTTCTAGAAACACCTGACCCCATTCTGGAGTTTCTTTCCACTCTTCCTGTCGGAACGATCACCGATATGCGAACTTTCTCCTAATTATCACTTTCCCCTTATCACCGCGCATATCATCCGCCGTTCGCTTCTCGTCCCTTCCGTTTCACTTACGTGTCTGCCTTCAGAATGTCGAGCTCTTCCTGCTGATCGGCCAGCGTCATCTCGTTATCCAAATACGTGTGAAGCTCTCCGCCGCCGCCTTCCAGCCCTCTGTAGACTTGAAGAGAAGAGTCTCCGGCTTTGTGCGGAGCTCGCAGAGTTCGGATTACATCTTGCAGTTGATCACCTGAATAGGAATGGTCGAATGAAGATAAGGAAAGGCGGCACTTACTAATGCACTCGTGAAGTCTGAATTTGAATGTGACAGGTCGCATCGGTTCCAAATATGAGGAGGAAGTCGTGGCAAACGGATCCGCATCGTTGATGTACTGTATTCGACAGGTGAACGTGTCGTCGTCGTCCATTCTGAAAGAAGAGCGCTATTGCAAAGTGGGGAAAGCTGAAAAATAAGATAATCTTAGAAGGAATCCCTTGAGATGGGATGGAGGCATATCGAAAACAGAATAAAGTGGAAGGATGAAAGATGAAACGATTTGCTCAGCTCGACGGACCGGTTCGAGCACTTTTAACCCGAGAACTTGTTCAGAGTTTGGTCTCTGGTCAAGATTACAAACAAGCAAACCAGACGTACTTGCTCCCGGGAGTGGGAACAACTCCCGTCGCTTCCGACATTTGGAAATAAAAGGAAAACTGTACTACCTGGAGCAGATGATTAGAACGGAAGGACACGAACTGATTCGGGAAAAGTTCTTGTTTTGTTTGACATTTTCAAAATTCAGAGGAACCCATGAAGAACACGTGTTGTTGATTCATTGAAAAGCGGAGGAGGGAAAAAGAGAAAGAGTTTGAAACCGACAATTGGAAACAAAATCGAGAGAACGGATGGTTCGGCGAATTTCGAATGGAGTCATCGCCACGGGATTATCGCGGCACAATCGGGGTCGGCCCAGGGGAACCGTCGTCTCCCTCTCTCACTCTCTCTCTCTCTCTCTCTCTCTCTCTGCTCAGCAGAAAGTCAATACAGTGACTGACTCGAGAGGATATCGAAAGTAACTGTGGGAGAGGAAAGAAACGACGGCACGGATTTGAGGAGTGGGACAAGCGGGTGGGAAGCAACCAGTTAGGATGAAGGAGGGGATGAGTAAACTCGGATGAAAACGATGTACTAGTAGAGTGCGGGGAAGCGAATGAGGGCGGAAAAAAAGGACACAGGAGAGGGAAAAATGTAAGCATCAACTGATAGGGAAAGGAATCGATGCAGTTGGAATGCAGTTATCAGTGGCATATGCCGGCATTACGAAACGGGATTATGAAATGTTTTGGGGGTAAGTTAAAAACATGAAATATGTAGGTTGTTATTAAGAAAGGTTACCAGATGAATGTGGCACTACAGTAGTGAGAAGAAGAGAAATTTGCAAAGAGCTCAGTCTGTCAATCATCGGAGAAAAACCAAGAGTTGCAAGAAGGGATGTAAAAGAAGGGGCAAAGTGCCGCGTTTGCAATCAATTGTCACACGGGTTCAGCTGCTGTTTCCCCTCCAAACAGTCGGCGAGCGAACCGTCGTCTGCCGTGATTCTCGGTGTCAAATCGGGCTGCTCGGGGCGAGCATCTCTGCTCCTGCTCCCGTTTGTTTGTGTTTGCATAATCATCGTTTTTTTTTTATTACTGAACTGAACCCCCATCGAATGATAAGACGAGCGGGAGGAAGTGATTGAGAATCAGATTATACGAAAGTGAAAGAGAGACGTGAAACACGAAAAAGTGCTGTCCTAGTGAGTTTCGGATCCTGCGGACCCGGTGTCGGCGGCGATCATCTGTGTCCGCCGGCGGCGTCTGCGTCTCCAGCAGCGCCCACTCACTAGCCTCTCATTAGTCCCTTCCCGTCGGGAGAAGCTGCCTCCGTCGACCCCTCCCTGCGTGTTACAGCGTCCGGCTCGCAGAGGCAGCGACGTGCCGTTCATTTTTACACATTTCCACTAGTCGCTGCGTCCTCTGTCCAACACGCACTCACTTCTCGTCCACACTAACATGATTATCAAATCTTTGGAGTGTACATACTACCTGTTGGCGTAAGCGATCGAACGATCAGAGAGGCTGCAGACGCACGTGCCACGTGGCATCAATCAGACTCGGCGGCAATTCAAAAAGGTCGAGCGAAAGTGGAGAGCGGCCTTCATCATCACGGCAAATACATACCTATGCACGCTTTTTTGACGCACCGAACGGATTCGATTTGCCGCTCGCAAGGCCTTTCCTAGACGCCTCCGTTCATCTAGATTCGCGAACGAACAGAAGACATGGCAAGAAAAGAAGCAAATTAATCATGGTTTGCAAAATGATATATCTTGGCGGGCGGACGATGCGGAGGAGGCTTCCTCATGATTACGACAGTTAAAAAAAACCACTCTATGCCTACGTCGATGAGGATTCGGGCAGCATGATTTATGGGTCAAAATGGGACTGCTGAAAAGACGGTTTGGGGGATGAAAAAGACGAAAGAATTGCAGATGGAAGGAGTCATTTCGGAAAGAGCAATGAAACGGACAATGAGTTGCAGCTGTGGGATGACGTGGCAAAGCGGAGAAAAGCTGCAGATCGGACAAGTTAGAGAACAAAACGATAAATCATCAATGCCGTTCGCAACAATAGATCAAAAGAGAAAGAGGGAGAAAGAGGAGTAACTAATGTCCGAGAATTTGTGGATACGAAAGAGTGACCGGTGCGTTACGAACGGAAACCCGCAATTTGAATTCGGTTTATTCAGGAATTGGCGCAAAAAAGGCCAAAGTGACGCGCAAATGACTGCATCACACATAATTAACCTCAGAAAGGGAGGGGACCGAAAGCGAAAACCGCATTCGATTCGGGCGTATTTAACACTGTTACAACTCGTTCACCTTAAAGAAATTCCGAAACGTGGTTAAGACGTGGCACAACAAAGAGATATTTCTGCCAGTCATTGCATCCAGCTGTTATCTTTACGAAGTGTCAGAAAACGGGTGATAAGACCAGAGGAGAAGCATCAGAATGATCAAAAAGAAAAGAGTGACGGAGAAATGTTTGTTGCGTTATATGGAATAATTAGAGAGAAAGGAGTGGCTGCCGCGGGGCTTCTGATGACTTCTTATCATCAGAAGATGGCGTAACGTATGTGTACGACACCTACAAAAAGACTGGATTCCCTTATTCTCGCGCGGGAAACACAACAATAAAGTGTTTTTGTTTCTTTCTTTTTAGAGTCAAACTGTCAAGAAGAGAGGCCAGTGAAGAGGGCTAATCCCAGAGGGAAAAGAGGGGAAAAACAACAGAAAATAAACAAATTGAGGAGGAACGGACGAGGAGAAAGGGGAATAGGAAGAAGTCGTCATTTCGAGAAGACAATACGAAGTGACCTTCTTGATTGTTATCTGGAAATGCGGGAACGACGAGGCAGACGCAGATGAAGAGCGACAGGAAGCGGTTCAAAAACACTTGAGAAAGTGCAGGACGGAAATGGAAGAGAAGAAGGAGGAAGAGCGGCAGAAGGCGTCGGGTTTCAAGCCCTTTTGACACATTAGTACGAAAAATGACTATAGCTGCCGGAGGGCCAGATGTGTACTTTGGAAGGGAAGGAAACGAAGAAGAAGAAGAAGGAGGCCTTGAAAGAATGGCGGAGGTCAGAGAAAAGCTGACGAAAGCCAATCAGTGTTTATGATGACAGAAAGTGAATGTTCGGTTGATTGATGTAAAACGGATTACAGAACTTTTCTCTTTTCTCTTTTCTACAACCGAACTGTCAGAGTTGTAATAATAAAGAGAAGCGAATATTGTCAATTCACAATGTACGGTCGTATCAAATATTTTGCTTATGCGCTCTTCCGTACGATAGAGCGAACGTCATCTTCCGTTCCACTCAAAATGAGAAACCAGACAATTTGGCAGCGGAAGGAAGAGAAACCGAACGGAAAAAAAGAGACAAAACCGATTACATCGTGACAAAAATCACAGAAAAAAGAGAGAATTGTAGAGAATCAAATAGCCGTGTCCGCACTCGATCGGCCACTCGAAGACGTGTTCCTCTCGGTCTCATTCTGCTGATTTTCGACAGTTCCAAGCGCATAATAATTATGGAAATGGATCATGAACGACGGGACACGTCTCTCAAACTGCGGGCCCGAAGGGGTGCGCACACAGTCCCGCGCCTCTTTTGTATTTACTCGGATGCATATTCAATTGCACAAATATATGCAGAAACAATGGGACGAGCGATGAGCATTCAAGTGCGTTGGGAACCGGGGGGCAAGTGACGTGGCACTGGAAAGAAAGCGACACCGGCTTAATGAGCCGGGGGACATGGGAGCAAGTACATGGTTGCGGAGGCGACAAGCCAGGGGAGACTACTCTTGCCCCTCCTTCCGATGCCACACATCCGCTGAGCAAACAGTGCGACTCCTCGAACCGTTTCGCATTAGTCGTCGTCTCCGCGGAGCCGAGCACTGTCTTGCCGGAGCATCCCGACGTTCAGCTGTTGTTTTCTGATCCTGCAGGTGGCATTAGAGAAGAAGGGGAAGAGAGAAAGAGAGAGGAGCTCAGGTTGCATTTCCATTATGTCACTGCGCGGGGAAAAGGTGAGACTGACTCATAAAACAATGGCATGCGAAAACCACTCCGACATGAACATGCATGCCATTCGCAAGGGACCGTTCGGGGAACACGTGTCTTTTTGATCGTAAATCGAGAGAGTCTTCCTTCCGGTGACTAGTTTCTCATTTCGATCGAATTGGCATTGAATCTGACAATTACCAGGTGTCTTTCGCGAGAAAACTGCATTATTCACGCGCCTGACTGCGAGAGTAGGCGTCCTCAATTACGGAGAATAAAAACAAACAAAACAGAGTAACTTTGAATTCAAAGAGGCGAGAAATGGAGACCCGTTCACTTCTGATTTATGGCTCAAAAGGGAAACGGAAGGAGGCCCGCCGCCCGGCGAGTTTCGATGATTAATTGAAGGTGTACCTGCCCTCGACGGCAGCTAATCCGCCCGTTTCTGCCCCGTATTACTCTCTTTCGGAAAGAGTTCGGAGCGAAACGAAAACACGACGACTTTGTATACAAACGATGTAGGGAAGAAGGCGAACAACAGAACGCACACACACACACACGCGCACAGAGACGCACAATTTTATAGGCACCCGGCAATTCGGACAGCCCTCTCTTGTAGTGAGTACGGTTTTCAGAAGAATGGGAGCGAGTAGAGGTAGAACGGAAGAGTCTAGCGAGGATTCGTATCATTCCGATCAAGCACAACGTTCATATTTGCTCTCACAAGTTGTTTTCGCTACTTCAAGGCCAAAAATGTTACGGAACTTTTTAAGATGGTTATTCTGATGAACTGAGAGTGTGCCAATCCCGTAGAAAAGTCGAAACGCGTAGATTAAAAAACCCGTAGAGTCAAATGCCGTATATTATAGGGGCACCGCACAGAAATGGCGCTCTGTTGAGAAACTCTTTTTGCAGTGCAAATTGGGCGACCTCGGGGCCGAGTTTGAAAAGTTAGGCCACGTTTTCAGTGGAAAATTACTTCGCGGCCTAGAAATTCAGCCAGATTGCGAACAGCGCGCCCTTTCTGTCCGGTGCCTCTATAATAGAAACATATCGAAACCCGTAGAAATGGGCGGGGCCTAACAGAACGACAGAGCGATTAAAAAATGCCATGAGGAGTCCAATATTCTGAGTTTTCTGAATTTTAGCGTATCTGTGTTTGCGTATTTATTTCTACGGGTTTCGATATTTTTCTATACGGGATTTGACTCTATAGATACGGGCTTCGATATTTCTACGGGATTGTCACACTCTCAATCCTGCATTTAATTCACGTGGAGAGCGATAAGCGCTGCTTGCAGCTGCGCATAATTGGCACTTCTTCTGTGGCAGCAAAATCCGCAGAGATCAAGCTCGAAACGCCTCGAATTCGCCGTACAATTTGCCAAGAATTTCACGAAAAGCAGACATTCCATTTGAAAAACGGCCGTTACGAATGCGCATATATCCGGTAACAACCAGTTCACATTTTCCGAACAGCGGAGCAATTCACTCTCAAACTCGTGTTCATCTGAAGCCTAAAAGCATTTCGGTTATTAGGAGGAAAAGAGGAAAACAACGGTTTCTTGGAGGGAAGAACCGGTGCGAAATGGATGGCGGGAAGAATTCAAACAACCTTGGTCGGTTGCCGAAGCAGCTGTCCCGGGGGCCCTCTCGGAACATTTGCTAATTAGGTGTCGTCCGACGAAAACCTGGCAACATGAGGGAATCTAGGTTAACAACTGCAACGGGGGTGCAACAAAAGAACTCGTGAGAAACGCAAAGAAACTTTTTACTTGACACAGAGAATAAGACAGAAGAGGACAGTTCTGAATATTCAAGAACAAAGGTCAGACTGCCTCTAAGTCGGACAGCCGGAAAAAAAGTCTATATAAATCTCTACATACATTGGATAGGGTTTTTGGGAGCATAGATAAAGATGGTACCGTGAATAAATTGTCTTAAATTTACTCATGCAGCTAGGAATGATAACGAATCACAATAGCACAGGAAACTTACGGAAAGGAAGCTTAGAAGAAGAAAAGGAAGAAAGAGAAAAATAATTGTAAGTGGAGAGAATAGTAAGCGCGCGCTTTGACTAATATTTGTCGTGTGTGTGGAGCCAGGGGTCATCGTGCCAGTTTACAGAATCGGAATGTAGTTGTCAATCTTGGTGCGGTGTCGTTGCGAGATGCATTCGGCAATCCAGATGATGTTGCGCATCTCTTGCTCCTAAAAATCGAGTTCAATTGGTCTCCAGGGTCGTATACTATTGTTTTTTAAACGTCTCGCTCCCCCCGTTCTACTTATTTCTGGTCCCATAGCTAACCTTCAGTTTGATGAATGCGTAGAAGACTCCAAAGTGGAATTGATGAAGGTACGAGTGCACGTTCAGTTTCACCTACAAATATCGAAATATTATATGCATGGATGTTTGTAATTAATATTATTACCTCATGCTCAAAGAACTTGTCCTCCAAAGTTTTCTCTCCTGGTCCGTTTCCAGATCCCTCGAAGAGTGGCTTATAGTCCGCATAGAACTCGCACACCTGCTTCACTTGATCGTAATCATCGGCACGAGACAGTCCGGTAAGTCCGTCCGGGAAGAGCTTTCCGCAACTCGGGTACAGCTTCTGTCGATCGTCTTTGCTCAACTCGGTGTCGAAAGAGTTGATAGTGATGATGATGGAACGACGGTCGGCCTCGAACTGTAAACAAGCAAAGATAAAACAGAACACATGAGGTACTGCTTACGGCGAGAATGTTGCACATGACCTCGGCGGTCTTTCCTCCGAGTGCAGCGCAGAACTTGTAGAAGTCCTCGATGTAGGCCTTGTAGAGAGTATTACGGATGACCTCCACGTTCATCTCGTCCAAATCCTGCTCGTTGATGCAGTCAACGAAGTAGTTGGCTGAAAATGTTTCGTTGCATAAAAGACTTCTGCGTCCAATCGCTCACCCAATGGGGTATCGACGAGAACGGCGTTGTAGAGCTCGGCCGGAGTAGAAGCGATGTGGATGGCCTCCATTTGCTCGAACGATCCGAGCGGGTGGCACTTGTTGATCAACTCGCTGATCGGTCTCTGGTGCAGAGTTCCGGTGATCAACAGGATGATGTTGTCGATCATGTACGAGTACCTGAAAGAACAAGGAATTTGTGTAAAGGACAGTCATTCGCTCACGTGATGTAGTCCAAGAAGGTAGCCAGAGGCTCCAACGCATTGTTCCGCAGATGGGTGAACTCGGTGACGAGCTTCTCCTTGAGCTTCTCATCGATTACTTGCACGGTGATCGCTCCCGGCTCGTTGGCCAAGAAGTTTCCGTAGTCGGTCGATTGAATGTGGAGCTTCAGGTCTGAAGAAGTGGCATTGAAAAGTGTTGGACGGAATGTTCGGGTACCTTCCAAAGTCTCGCACTGCACCAAGTTGGCGTAATCGGGCTGAGTGAGCAGTCCTCCCTTGAGTCCACGAGTTAGCGCCTCGAGGTATCCGTGGTCAATGTTGAACAAGAACTCGCCCATTTCGAAATCTAATACCCTGAAAATCGACGAGGATAGGGCCGGCCAAGTGATAAACTCGAAAAGGCGGCAAAAGGCAGTTAAAGTGTCCAAAAATCGGTAGTTTTTAGTGAAAAAGGAGAGGGGCGAAAGAACGAAAAATTGGCGAGCGTGCAGAGAGAGATCGATTCCTGGTCTCTCGCCGTGGACGAGTGCGGTGGGGCACGCTTGCAACGCTTTTGATGAGTCATGTAAGGATGGTGAGGTTCCAACAAATTAAAACGACAAATTCAAGTCGAAACAGATAAATTCATTAAAAGAGAGGCTTTGTATAGAAAACAGAACAAAAAACAGTTGAATTTCGGATAATATGCAGTTTGAATGCAGAACAAAACAAATCAACAATGGTAACAAGTTTTCGGACTTTTCAAGGCTACGAAGGGTGATTAGAAAATGATATTAAAACGAGGATAACTTTGTTTTTTTACGAATTTGTTGACAGTTATGCAGTCTACGCAGTGAAAGCCAGTTTTTCCAGAATCTCACGCTCCCCCGTCGAGAGCTTGTCAAATTTTTTCTGCAGTTTCCTCTCGCGGTCCTCTTCGGACAAATCACGGTACCTGAGAACCGAAATTGTGAATGAGTCTCGCTTAGAAAATACAAACTTGTCGGTTTTGGTTCTGCAGAAGAGGCGAAACGCTGTCTCCGGCTCTTTCTTGGACGATCTTCCCCTCTTTCTTGGCCTCTTCGGAGTGGCACCCTTTGGTTGCTTCGGTGTCGTCAGTTTTTGAATTTGTTTGATTTTGACTTCCACGGCGCGACGTTGAATTTCTGTCAGATTCGGATGAGAATCCAGGAAATGTTGGAGAGCCGGCAGGTACTGCAGTGTAGCCGCACGTACCTTCTCATTGATTTCTTCCATTTCTTCGGCGGAATCGTTCTCACGCATGTGCCTGTATGCAACCTGAAATTGATAGTCTTGAAGTCAAGCATTATAATAACGCAAAGATAGAGGAAACGTACTCCCATCCCTCCGAGTGTCAATTTGAGATTGTTCTTTTCGAGATAGAGTTTAAGCTTAGTCGGTGGCCTGGCAGGAAAACTCTTAAACTCCTTCAACGACTTCTCGCTGCTCAAGTAAGTCGTCAGAAGCATGGTGGCGTCGTTGAGGTGCAGATGGCCGATTTTCAGTGCGCTTTTCAGATATTTGCGATAATCGGCGCAGAAAAGGCTGAAAATTTATGTAATTTGAATTTATCGTAGATTTTTTGAATACCCGACGTCGATGGAATCCTCCGGACGTATTTCGCCCCATTCGGTAACCAATTTCTCCATGTTATGGATGGTTACCGCCGAATATTGACGATCGTTGAGAAACTCGGTGAACGACTGAAAAAGTCGTTCCACTGAGCTTTTTTCGAACAATATCCGTTCACTACCTCGACAAGAATTCTCATTCGATCCGGCTCATATGCCGAGTCACCGTTCTTCACTGTTGTGTCATACAACTCAGTTTGGTCTCGATCTTCATAATCATCGTGCTCCGATTCCTGCAACATTAGCTTTCATTTGCAAAAAAATGTGGACTTTCAAAGGCTTTTACCGAGGAAACGTTGAGTTTCTCATTTTTGACTTCTCGGAGGTCGAATGACGCTTCTGTTTTGGCTGAACTGTCGAGAATGCGGGAAGCTCTTCTCTTTCCCATTTTATCTGTAGTTTAACGATTATATATAGCAAAAATGTTCGAAAAAAAAACAAAAATGATAACGAGGAAAGTTTGTTAGCGAAAACAAAAATTATCGGAAAATAGGTTAATCGTAAATTTTTTTTAAATGAAAACGTTGATTTTTTGTTTTATAGTACAAGACCTTCTAAAACTGGACCCGCTGCGCGGTTCGCCGCATGTTTGTTTCTCATAACATGACTTTTCACGTGTATATTTTACTGATTTTCTGTCGCTACTTTTTCAGAAATGAAATGATTTTAGAAATGAACGTGGGGACGGACCGACGGAGATAAACAAGCAGACAAACAGGCATACCCTCCAAGAGTTATATTAATAAGAATGATTTGTGTAGAACGGGTTTTATGATATTTCGGATAAATTTCGGAGAAACAACGAGAATAGGCCTAGGCTGAAAGCAAGGCACTGGAAGGCGGCCAATTCCTTCAAAATTTAGAAAGTGCGGTGGGGCGCACTTGCATAGTTCAATTCGGCGCAAAGTTAAAATTCTTATTTATTTGAAGTTATTTTGAAAATTTACAGAAGTTACAGCAATTCGTTGGAAAAAATTTTATTTTTTTCTTTAAATTTTTTTAGATGCGTCGGAACAGATGTCACCCATCCTCGGTTCTTCATTTTTTTTCCGCGCTTTTGCCACATCGCACGAAATTCTGAAAAGGGCGCAACCCATCCGGGTGACTCACATCAATCAATAACCACTTCGGAATGATATCAAACCGTCCGTCTTCTTCCATTTGTCCTTGCCTTTCCCCTCCGTCTTTCTCTCTCTCTCTCTCTCTCTCTCCTTCCCTCCGGTATGCAAATAACACGTACCGGTTGACCGTTCACTTCTCCCCTTCCGTTCTTTCTCTTCTCTTCTTCTTCTTCTCGTGCCGTTCGAGCCCGTAACGCGATAGAGAGACATCCGATTATCCCGCACTATTGCGGTCCCTCGCCCAATTGCCTGGGCGGCTCCCAACTCCGTCTTCTCGTTTCCATCATTCGCCCGCCTCTCTTCCGTCGTCGCGTTGCCATTCCCTACTCCCATTTTCCATCACATTTTTTTCGGGGAGGGGGCGCCCCGGAGAGAGAGAGAGGAAAGGCGAATGGAAAGCGGGGCACTGCACTGCCAGAAGAGCAGTGTTGTTGTTTGCCATCACAGACATCATCATCTGGAGCGAAGACGACGACGTCCGGCGGTCGGTCCGTCGCCCGATTGCACCGCCCTTCCTGTCCGCAAGGACAGATGGCCCCTCTTCATCTCTCCTCCGCATCCTCCTCCTCCTTCTTCTTCTTCTTGTTCAATTTGTTTTTGACACCTTTATGTTTCCTCTTCTTCTCCTTCTTCTTCTCCCAGCTCCCATAGCAATCCGAACCCCTGTTTGCATTCGAAAGTGCACAATTTTCCGCCTCTCCATTATGCGCCTCGATTGTCACATGACCGGTTATGGCGTGCCTCCAACCCCCAACCCGTTCGCCAATTCTAATCGAACCTTTTAGCAGACCCAACCAAGTCCGTCATGTAATGGAAGGCCTCGCACGTGTATTCTTGATCGGTGGGGCCTCGAAAGCCGTTCGATTCGACGAGCAGACGACAATTGAGGTATGTGATTACACGAGCTCACATTTCGCAGAGAGAGTGACCTCTGGGAAAGTGCTCGCCGCGAGCCGTACCTTCCTATCACATTCGTATCTCTCTCTTTCTCTCTCTGGCCATCCACTAATCAATCAATAAATGGGTCTGGTCCCGAGAGATAGGTGGGGGCCGATTTGATGATTCCATTAGATTGCGGGCAGAGCACTTTCGTCCGGATGAGGCTCAATAAAATTGCGTAGTCGCTTTTAATCTTTCGTCCCGCTTCTACCACTTGGGACCGCATGGAAAAGTTAGGGAGGTACACTCGAAGAAATTAGATTCTTGGTCGCCCTAATAAAATTTATGTATTTTGTGTATGTGTGTCGTTTTGAATGTGTTTTTTTTCGCAACGACAACGGACCACGGAAATGCGTCCGTAGATCCGTAAAATGGCCACCCGCCCGTCGAAGAGTAATTATTTTCAAGAACTGCCAGATATTATCGAGCCACCGAGACCTGCTTCTATAAATTTGCTCGTTCTTTTTTTTGCCGGTGTGGTTTTGATTGATCACCTGCCGTCGATTCGATGCGAACAACAAACAATTGGGGATAAAGATTGAGGGAAGCGGATTGAAAAAGGGAGAAATTCGAATTGGGATTTATGTAGAGCTGGGTTTCTCAAAGTTTCATCGATAAGACAGGGATCGAAGAGTTCCATGAGCACTCACGACAAATTGCACAGTTGTTCGGAAGCTTCACGAGCAATCGTAAAGCTCAGTTTTATGGGCAGTCATCAAAAGTTTATACCCGTTCTTCATGAGCTCTTCCCCCAAGAACACATGCTACCGTACCCCCGTGAAGTGAACCAAAAGCCTATAAATCCGAGCGATGTCTCTTTTGTTTGAACGGACGTGTCCCTTCTGTTACAGCCATAAATCATGTTGCAGCGTGTTATCCATGTCGTCGCGCGAGGCATCGGCATCTCGCAAGTGGCCGTCGCCCACTTCGCCCTCCGCCTCGTCACGGGTCCATCGCCACAGACTGCGGGTATTCTGGAGGGGACGGCAGCTCTAGTCACACACTCAAATCGTTCAGGTTCCGGCGACTCGTTGTGGCTTCATCCGATGCTCCGAATCGCACAATTACCTCATATTTATGCGAGCCATCTTCCGATCGGAGTCAGTGACGAGATAAAGTAAAGGGAGAGAGTGGGGATGAATACGGTAGCACGGGCGGAACATTTCAGAATGGAAATGAGGATGCGGTACATGCCACAATCGGTGTACGAGTTGCAAGTGACCGACAGCTCCGCCTTCGTCTATTTGCACGAGCAAGTCGTCGACGAGTTCTTCAGCCACGTGGCATGGAGATCGTCTGTCGAAGTCGCTCTGGAAGTGGCCGCGCTGAAAGTTTGCAGAGATTTTGCGGAGCACAAGCACAAGTGAGTTGCGAATGATTATCAGTTTCACATTTCTATTTTTCAGCAAAGGAGCCGATCATCATCTGGAAGATCTCGACATTGACGCGTGCATTCAGTCGCTCATACCCAACGTTCTTCACAATCCGGGCCAAAAAGTGAGAACCCACTAGGATCACAGCGGAATATCGAACTATCTGTTTCAGCATAGCCACCTGAAAAAGCAGTTCGCGACGTACATCAAAAAGTTCTCAACAACATCACCGAATGAATCAATCATCAGGAGTTTGGCGCTTCTTCTTGAAGTCGTCAAGTTTGACGTGGAAGTGTTCAAAGCAAGTTTGGGAACGGGATGGACGAATCCGGTGGAGCTGGTGATCGGGCCTCATGCTGGACTCTCGTACAGACTCAATGAGAGATGCGATGTAAGAGAAAAAACAGAGTAACTGAAACGTATAGTCGTTCTTTAGACTTCACGCCTTCTGGAGCTACGAACGATTGCCGATATCACAATTCGAAAAATGGAGAGCGGATCGGAGAAGACGCTGATGCAGCTGAAACTGTCCGGAGCTGCCCAGCCAGTGATGATAACTCTTTCGACGGAAGAACTTGCTCAGTCCCTGGCTCATCTGCTCGACGGATATCAAATGCTGTACAACCAACGGGACAGTGTGTTCAAGTTGAAAGGGATCGAGAGATGCGAGACTATGACGATGCACGACGCGACGATCCGACCGAAGACTCCGAGCCAGCAAGTGGACAGCAACATTCGGTTGAGGAGGGAGTTGATCACTCTGAAAGAATTGATCGGCGGGGGACAGTTCGGAAATGTGTACAAGGCGATTTACCACGATCTGGAGAAGGACGAACGGATTGCGGTGGCCGTGAAGGTGTGCAAAGCGGACGCGGAGCCGGCCGACACGCAGCTCATCCTGCAAGAGTCCAGTCTAATGAGGAACTTCCGACACGCGCACATCATCCAACTCATCGGCGTTTGTGTCGATCAGCCCATGTGGTTGGTACTCGAACTGGCGCCGCACGGGGAGCTCCGAGAATACCTCCAACAGGAGAAAGACTGGCTGCCCCTCCGCACGCTCATCCTCTTCTGCACCCAAATCTGCGACTCGCTCGTCTACCTCCATTCCACTCGCTTCGTTCATCGAGACATTGCCGCCCGGAACATCCTCGTCTGCTCCCCGCAATGCGTCAAATTGGCCGATTTTGGGCTCTCTCGAGCTCTCGACTACGATGCAGTCTACACCGCGTCGCGTGGCAAACTGCCAATCAAATGGCTCGCTCCCGAGTCGGTCAATTATCGGCAATTCAGTATGGCATCGGACGTTTGGATGTTCGGCGTTTGCATGTGGGAGATCTTTTCGCTCGGCGTGAAGCCGTGGGCCGGAGTCACCAACAGTGACGTCATCACTCACATCGAGCAGGGCGCACGGCCGCCGTGTCCGGACAAGTGTCCCACCGCCCTTTACAACTTCATGAGGACCAAAATGTGGTCGATTGAACCACACAAACGACCCACCGTCGATCAGATCTTTGCTGTAAGTACAGAGAACAATTAATGCAGAGGGGATTTGCTCGCATTTCAGATAATTGAAGATGCAAGGCATCAAGTGCTTCGAAACGTTCCATTCGAGCAGATAATGGTTGGGAAACCAATGAATGTAAGTGAACTGTCGTAACCTTCTGCAAATCATTGCCCATTTCCAGCCGGCCGGAGTGATCGTGGCTGAAATGTCCAGTCTGCCTTCTCTGACTCTCTACCGAGCCATCGAAGAGCAGAAGAGACAGGCGGAGGAAGATGCAAAGTGGCTGGAGCAGGAAGAAGAAGAAGAGGAGGACGAACTGGAGCCCGAACAGCTTCCGTCCACCTCCCACTCTTCTGTAGAGAACATCCGAACTTCGAATGGATACCTCCACCACACACCCTCTTCCACGAGGTCATTAAGATTTGAGGTAGGTGATTCCAAATCCTCCCATTACTTAAAATCGCCTGCAGGACAAGACGTCGCGAGAATTGCGTCGGAGTGTGAACGGTGTGTGCGACGCCGTCACGAAACTTCAGAATTCGTTCAACAACCTGACGCACAACGACGACTTTCTTCATTTCGTAAAAGAAGTGACTTCGCAACTCCGAGAGATGCTGATGGTCGCTTCCGGAATGCGGGATCGGGTTACGACGGCGACGCAAAGGACGGAAGTGGACATGACGAAAACGTTGATTGCGAATGATATGAAGCAGATGAGTCGAGTGATGGCCAAGCTGCAGGTCAACGAAGAACAGGCGGTGGGAACATCCTCTTCCTTCTGCTGATAATGCTGATAATTTCCGATTTCAGACCTACAACACTCTCCGCCGTGACGTCGTCCGAATATGCGGAGAGCTGGCAGTCAACTGTACGACGCTCCAGCTCCAGTTGACGTCTCCGCCCCTGGAGAACGAGTTCTCGGCGCTGCTCTCCAATTGCTAGTCCTAGTTTGTTACCCGCTAGTTGCTCTTTTCTCCCCCCAATCGGGTTTTTCTCATCCTCTCATTTTCAGTCTCTCGAGACGATCTCTTCATACATTTTCCCACGTATTTTCTCTAATAAAGAGTAGTTGTCTCGTCAGCAGAAGAAGAAGAAGAAGAAAAAGAAGCAAGGCGGAAGACGTCAATGTTCACACGAAGCAGTTCCCAGAATACACTGGAATGCCACCCACTATTAGCACTATTACGATAATAAACCGCCCGCTTTTCCTCCTCCCCCTCCTTCGGACCGCGCGAGTTAATTGACCTCTCGGGAAGCGAGAACACTGCAAACAGTCGGCCCGTTTCACTGATTATTCCGCGACCGTCTCTGCTCTCAAAAGTACACCGCCAAATCTCGTTTCTTTTTCGTTTCCGTCCAAATCCGCGGTCGCTCAATTAGAAGACTGTAATTATACTGACGGCGCAAATTTGAGAAAGGCGTCTAAACGAACATGCAAATTTTCGCTTTGAAAGTCGAATAAATGGACACTCCGGCAGAAGCCGCCTACTCGTTCTTTTCCATTTCCATCTGTTTCGTTTTTTCACCGCACGCCTGAAGATTCTTCAAAAACGATGCCCTAATAGTACGACATACCTTGCCAAACTATGTGGGTCCACTCGCTAGTTAGACCGTGAACAATTAGCCATCTCTCAAAGTTGCAGGATGTCAATCAAGTTTTCATGGCGGAAACTTTTTCTGCAATAGTACAAGACCCTTCTCACTTCTCACAGTACAAAAAGATACAGTCAACGCCATTATTTCATTATTTGACAAGCGCCTATCCCTTGTCATCTGAAAGCCTCCCTCCATTCGCTCGAATCTTCGAGACGTTATTAGACGCTCTCCGTCCGCAAAAAGACATAAGACGAGAAGTCGAATGGAACTTTGAAACATTCTATTCACAGGTTCCCGGCACATGATATATGTCCACTTTCGCTCGTTCCATTCGCCCATTCACGGCAAAACTTTCGCCGCTCTCCGCCTCGAACCTATGCTTCACGAATCTTCATTTTTTCGTCTTCTTTCCGGCTAATTTGTCGAGTGTCAAGCGACTCAATGATACTGCTTCGTTCGATTTGCCTTCGTTTCTCAAACGTGTTCTGTTCTTTGCGAGTTATTCACGGAACATTGCCATTCGGTGGCTGTACTACTGGACTATGGAAGGCCGAGGAGTCAGTTCGGAAGTGCCCCGCAAATGGGTACTTTGCAGCACTAGTCCTTTCCTTTATAAGGTTGTCTCGATACGGACTGAAAGCGTCGCTTCCTCCGTCTCGAATCCACCTCCTTTGTACCCTCTTCTCTGAAACCTTTATCTGCCTTCCTAGCGTCCTTCAAATGTCTCTTCTGGCCCATAAAATCAACCAACTCTAGAAGTGCAAACTCCCCGAAACTGGTAGCTTCTTCTGCCTTCTCTGCCTTCAGAACTGTTTACTTTTGGCATGTGGAACCGGATCCGATTTCATAAAAGTACGCGTTCGTATCAGAATGTTTACCTGTCAAATCGTCTTCTTCTTCTCCACGGTTCAGCGCCCTAACCGTCCGTTTACGACGTGAACCTGTCCGCGTCGGCGACTCCTCCCCTTTTCGACTCCTTGGCAGAGTGCCAGCACGCATTTACTGTACTTTCGAAGCGTATCCTCTCAATTTCGTGATCGCGTGAAGCCAATCGTTTGCAATCAGTTGTTCTTCATGCAATCTTCTCCCTTCCTTAATTAATCCGAAACCTGAACCGCTCCTCCTCTTTTCATCATTAAACTCGGCCCATTCCCGGGCCTTGCCCACTGATTGCATATTCCTTCTCTTCATTCCTCGCATTTCCTCCGAACCCCGAAGCTTCCGAGTCCCCCGTTCTCTCCAGAATGTCGCCGTCACGCGTGTTTCTCTTCTCCGTCTGCAACCTTCTTCTGCTCATTCGAGACTCTTCTGGATGTCTGCCAACAGGGTTCGGGGGTAAGTTTCTGCCTATTTTCATCCAGTTCAACGCATTTTCAGGAATATTCGGAGGAGGTGGGGGAGGATGTGCCAGCCGACCGAATGGATGTGCGACGGCAGCGGCACAGTACGCCGCTCCGATGCCACCGCCCATCTACTCGTTCAGCCCGCAGGTTCGTTGAGTCCCAAATTCAAACCTCTTGTATTCCTCCCAGATGTTCCAACAACCACTTCCGCCACCGCCACCACCACCGCCTGCGAATTCAGTTCCGGCGCCGGTACCACTGATTTCTTCTCCGGTTCCCGCTGCTTCCTCCTATCAGGGAATGTACCAGGACCGTCCGCAAGCGCCTTCCATCAACCCCGATTACACCGGCACTGCTCCTCTCAGTTTTGCAGTACGTTTCCCGTCCGAGATCAAGAAACCTTCTTATTTTTCTTTCAGTCTTCGGAAGATGCAGCGAATACTGTAATTGATCCCCTGAAGTACATCGAACACGTATCGGTCTCCCATACTCCGGCCGTTCAAGAAGCGTATCCTCCGAGTCCGGTGGATCCGTTCGCAAATGTTCAACAGCCGAAACAGCAGATACAGGTGAGTAGACATCGGAAAACAATTTGAGCCCATTTCCCAATTCCCCGTTCTCAGGTGGCTCCAAGTTCTGCCTCGACAGAAGACACCTATCTGCCAGGACCGCCGGAAAAGGAAACCAACGGAACTAGAAGTCTGAACACGTACTACAATCAAGTGAGCGCCTCCAGATCGTTTTATTCTTTTCAATGCCAGATTTTCAGATGTGCACCGGCGAGAAAATAGCCACGGGCGAGAAGGAAACCATAAATTCGGCAACCAAAAAGTGCGAACTTCTCAAGTGTGTGGCCGCGAATGCACAGCCGGACAGCCACGGATCCTACACGGTTTTTTCGCCGGTCCGAATCCATTTAATAGTAACTTTTCAGGTAACTTATCTGCGAACGGCGACGAGCAGATCGAACAGCAAGGGCAACTACTGCCTGTCGACTGTTGATCTTCCAGCCAAGAGCAAAAGAGTCATCAGGCGGTTCGATGAGATGGTAAAATAGAACAAGTGAAACTGAAATGGTTGACATGAAAAGATATTTTCAGGCGGCGAATGAGGAGAACCCGGTTAGAAGGAAGATTTTCAAACTTTAAAATTTAAATTACTTTTTTAAGTGATCCTATTATAATTACTAACTTATTATTTATCTGTGCTCTCTCCTCACTCACAAATGCTCAAATCGCTTATTTTCACCCCTTTGGAACTGCTTTAATTCTCTGCTTTGCCGCCGTAAAAATAAATTGTTTCCGTCTCGTTTCCCATGGCAACGCTCGCTCTCTCGCAAACGGAAAGCGCTTTCTTTTTCGATTGAGCACGAAATGGGCGAGGAGCAACTGGCGAAGGCCGGCCTTTTCGTGGACGATTACAATAAACTACGTCTTGTTGATCCAGGTAATACACTTTTTCAATGGTTTAATCTTTTCGCCGTTTTTAGATGTGGCGGAACTTTTGCAAAGCGCTCAAGAGAAGTCATCTGAGTTTAATGCCCAGTTAAACAATTTCCAGACGACTACTGGAGGGCTCATTAACAGCATCGAAGAGGTTTGTGCCAATGCACCGCTAAGTACCAATTACCTTGTTCAGTTTGCTGCGGTCGTCGAAACTGAAAAGATCCGTGCGATGATGGTGCGGAACACTCAGGAACGAGACGTTCCCGAAGACGATCCTGTGCTTCTGCAGATGACAATTCGAGAGTTGACGGTTGAAAAAGAGAGACTGAGAGTGGAGTTGGAGGCAGTGCGCAAAATAGAAAAGGAGCAGGAAGAGTACATTCAGATGATGACTGAGCATTAAAAATATTTATTCTCACCGAGATCGATACATTTGCGATAAAATATGTTATTAGATGGCAGCCTCTGTTTTCACTGCTTCTTTCTCGTATAATACTTTTCGAGAAGCGCTTCTGGGATTCGTTTGAGCATTTCTCGAGGGAATATACGAAGAAGCTCCCATCCGATGTTCAGCGAGTCAACGATTGTACGATTCTCGTAGTGACCTGGAAATGAAGAAATAGAGAATAGAATGATCTAATTTGAAAATGAACCTTGAGAGATGAAGTTCTTCTCGAACTTTCCGAGAAATTCCAAATAAAGACGATCGTCCGCAGACAGCGCGTCCTCTCCGACCACCGATTTCATCGCCTGAACCTCCTTGCCGACGGCATAACACGCGTACAACTGATTGGAAAGATCCGCGTGATCTTCCCTGGTCATTCCTTCGCCGATGCCTGATTTCATCAATCGGGACAACGACGGGAGCACGTTGATGGGCGGATAAATCAAGCGATTGTGCAGCTGTCGATCCACGTAAATCTGCCCTTCTGTGATGTATCCAGTCAGGTCGGGAATCGGATGAGTGATGTCGTCGTTTGGCATTGTCAGAATCGGAATCTGAGTAATCGAGCCGTCGCGCCCTTTTACCCGACCAGCCCTCTCATAAATAGTCGCCAAATCGGTGTACATGTAGCCGGGGAATCCACGTCTTCCGGGAACTTCCTCTCGAGCCGCTGAAATCTCTCTCAACGCCTCCGCATAAGATGACATATCGGTGAGGACAACGAGCACGTGTTTTCCACAGTGATAAGCAAGAAACTCGGCTGTGGTAAGCGCAAGTCGTGGAGTGATGATGCGCTCGATCGTCGGATCATTCGCCAAGTTTAGGAAAAGACACACGTTATCCATGGATCCGCACTCTTCGAAGTCTTGCTTGAAGAATCGAGCGGTCTCCATATTGACTCCCATCGCCGCAAAAACGATGGCGAAGCTGACGGTCTCGTTGTTTCTGTCCGGAAGTTGGACGAGGCCTCCTTGACGAACAATCTGGGCGGCGATCTCGTTGTGCGGCAAACCGGCAGCCGAGAATATCGGAATCTTCTGAAAGTGTCTGTTTTCAGGTGTGCTCTTTTTGCTTTGTAATACCTGTCCTCTGGCAATCGAGTTCATGACATCAATGGACGAAATTCCAGTTTGAATCATTTCCTCCGGATAAATGCGATTGTACGGATTGATGGGCTGTCCGTTGATATCCAAATAATCCTCAGCAAGCACGGGCGGTCCTTTATCTATCGCTTTTCCAGATCCGTTAAAAATACGTCCGAGCATTTCAATGCTTACCGGACAGCGGAAGATGTCGCCCGTAAACTCACATCTCGTGTTTTTGGCATCCACTCCCGTGGTTCCCTCGAAAACCTGAAATACTTCTCGCTGGCCGGATTCAGTTTCAGATTAAACTAACCTGCACAACAGCTTTGTTTTTGAACGATTCGAGCACTTGTCCCATTCGAACTTCGCCAGAAGGAAGCGTGATTTTGACGATTTCATTGAAAACCGAGAACTTGACGTCGCGAACGATGACGAGCGGTCCGTTGACTCCACAGACTGTCTGATACGACTGCAAATACAAAATTGAATCCGAAATCGGAAAACTTGCGAACCAATTTCGGTTTCGTCGAATAATTTCGAATATGCGCCGTTCGATGGCTTGTGATTGGCACATTCACGTCGAGCGGACCTTTCGTGTCGAAGATCACCGAGTCCGCGACTTCCGTCATTTTTCAGAATATGTCCACTTTTCTGATCAGGAAATGATTGAAGTGGCCACGCGTCAAACTGTAAAATAATTTAAAGGCGCATGCGAACATTTCAAAACATTTCGCGGTGGGACCCGTCCAACTCATTCCAGTTGCGAGAACCAACGATTCGAAGGAAATTGAAACTTTTATAATCACTAAAATTGCCTTGAATTTTCGAAAAAATTATGAAATAACCACATGAAGAATAGTTTCATTTGAAGATCAATGGGAGAGCGGGAAACGACGGGACACGAGGATATGCACGGAAAATGGAAAGTGGCTCCGGATATATTAGGCCTCCTCTTCATTCTGTCCATCGAGTTCAGGGTCAAATTTAAGACGTGGCCAGCCAGTAAGATGTTTCTGTTTCAGCGAGATCTCGACCTTTCTTTCACCGACAACAACACGGCTCTCTTCCGGAATAACTTCGTCCCACAAATCATAGAGCAATTCGGTGGAAGCATTTCCGAATGCATGCTTGAAATTAGCGCGGAGAATGTGTCCGTCGGAAATTATGTTCGCAGTTTCAGGGAGTGCTCCTTTGCAGTACACATTGACTGTTACGAATCCGTTGCTGGAGAACCAGTCTTCACGGATCTTCGTAGTAATTTCGTTCTGAAATTAACAAATTTTTCGGGCGTACAGCGCCAAAAACGAACATTTCTGAATTTGTGATCTCCGCTGGTACATCCCACTTGCTCGAGAAACGCGCCGAAGTTGGAAGTTTTCTTGTTGCAGCAGCCCCAATACTTCATTCCCTCGTGGAAAATTGCACTTCCAGGGTGGTGCAGGCAACTGCCGCCTTTTTTGGATCCATCAAACAACTGAGTGCATCCGTTATTTCTGCACGGCGCTCCGATTTGAATTTCTCCACTTTCCGCGGCGTCCGTAACTTCTTTCAGTTTCTTTTCAATAGCGGCGACAGCACCAGGCGTCGTTTCCACCTCAAGTAATACTGATTTTGAAAAAAAAATTTAATTAGATCGAACTAACATTCAGATTAACTTCAATTCTTTCAGAAGAATCCTTTTTCTGAGATTTGACAGATTTGTTAAGGCCCTTCCACTTAATAACTTCTTCCTCTTTTTCGGGTCGAATCTCCTTCACCGCCGCTACTTTTACAATATCGACGGGCTTCTCATTGTTATGCTTTCCACGTGTGCAACCTTTGTACTCCATCCACGTTCGGAAGTCCGTGCTCTTTTTTTCGCAGCATGTCCAAATTTTGTAGGCATCATGAAAGTACGGACCTCCGGAATGATAAGTACACGCATCTGGAGCCAAAGAGTGCATTTTGTCGGCCCAACGGAAGACTCACCGCTGTCATTTTCGTTCGGATCGTACATTAAACCGCATCCTTTGTTGTAGCATCGAATCTTTCCGTCTTCAGCCATCTAGGAAAGTGAAATCTCACGAATATGACAGCAATGCTCGGAGTAATCCGGTTCTGTTCACGAAAGCTCGAGAACCTTCGAAGCTCCGCCCCTAACCACGCCCATTGCAATGCTGCGGCGCGGTTTTTTTCGCGACCGGGATCATCGCTACGAGTAATAGAAATAGGAACTTCCGACTTTTGCAAACCACTATTAATAAAAAAAAAGTTGAAGATACCCATTTGAAGAAGTGTTTTAATATTCACCAATCCGTTGGATAAAGAAAGAATGGGTGATCAGAAATAAAAACCAGACAATAAATTAAACGGGGTGGGAAAGGGATTACAATGAGCGAAGTATATGTGGAATACATGGGTGATTACTTCTTTTCGGCGCTCTCGGCCTCCTTCTCCTTCTTTTCATGCTCGGCGATAAGAGCATCGACTTCTTTGGTCGACAACTCCTCCAGAACTGTTTTTCCATCACGGCGAGTCAAAACGGCCATCTCGACTTTCTCGGAGGCCAGCTTCACGTCCAAGGTCTTCCAGAGAACCTTGATGGCAAGTTTCTTAGCCTCTTCGAGATCCGGCGACTTGTACTCTTGCTTCAGAAGAGTCACGGCAGCCTGGTGGTTGCTTCCGATGCAGGTAGCCTTCCATCCGGTGTAGTTTCCGGACGGATCCGATTGGTAGAGCTGGTATCCGTAGTGCTTATCCCATCCGGCGTAGAGAAGCGACACTCCGAACGGTCTCTTTCCACCTGAATAGAAAGTTTACTAAAATATCGCAATGCTTTGCTCTTTACCGATTTGAGTGTATCGCTGCTTCTCGTTGCAAAGATTCTGGACGAGCTGCTCGACTGGCATTTCCTCTCCATAGCTATTGCGGTAGCTGGCCGCCCACCATCTCAGATGATTGATCAGGATGTTGGCATCGGCAGTAATACCGGCCACGGTGCACGAGATGTTGTCCGAGAGACGGTACACCTTCTCAGTCATGACGGTGTCGTCCAACAACTTGTGAACGTTCTTTCTCTCAGCGGCAACGACGATTCCGTCCGAGGCCAGGATGCCGAGACAAGTTCCGGCGTGGCTGATAGCCTCCATGGCATACTCGACCTAAATCAACAATTTTATGAATAAAAGTCGACAACACGGCTACCTGGTACAGTCTTCCCTCAGGAGAGAAGATAGTCGTTCTACTATCGTAGCGACGAGCCATGTTCTGAAAAATTGGCGATGGAGTACGTTTACTAGAATTAAGATAGTTTGCCTATATTCAGATTGAACAAATTTGGTAGATAAAGCACCGAAAAGAAAGCTGAAAGTCGAGAAACTAAAGCAACGGCACTCGAAAATGATGACTTGAAATTGATTCGCATTGGGGCGCGTTTGCGTTGTTCCGCTTTTCTAGGCCATGACCGAACTTTTTTTTATTTTTCAGTTGTTTTCATTTCCTGACTTGTTCTTCCAACTGAACACCAAAAAATGGCGTTCAGCTCTGAAAATGAACTCAAATTTCTTCGGCTTCTGCAAAGGACACAGCGGTTAACAAAGGAAAACCTGTCGGCAAATGTCTGGAAAGTTAGTGATTGCATTTTTTTTTCTAACTAAAGCATCATTGTGTTTTCAGGTTTCTGCAGCAACTAAAATACTCACCAATCTTGTTGGTGTACTTCAAATTGAAAAGTAAGTGTTTAAAAAATTATTTCCACATCTCCTGTACGAACGAAACTTTTCAGCAAAAATAACCGACTTCTCAGCGATTACCGACAGCAAGTTCTCCAATTGTCCTTATTAGCAGAAGCAGAGAGCAAGGTAAAATCTGAAAAATTAAGTGTTTTTTCTATTTCATGTTTTTATAGAATTCGACGGAGGAAAGTCTCAAGATCGTCGAGAAGATTCCTCGTGTTTTTGCCGATGTTCCAATCGACTCGGACGCACATAGTGGTAAGTAATCATTATATTATTTCCGTAAGAAATGAGTGCCTTTCGTCGCAAGTTTGAAAAAACTGCATCCTTCTTAGCACCAAAGTATTCATTTCCAGTGAAATCCAACGAGAAAGAGTCTTCCTCCGGTCTCCGTGCCGTTCAGCGTTCCATCTATCGATCCGATCTTCGAAGACAGCTGCTTTCGACGAAAAAGAACAAGGTGGCCAATACATCTGGTAGTTATTAGTGCTCCAATGCCATCATTAAAAGTGGATTCCTCAGCCGACGAGGCATTCATCAAAAACGAACGACTCGAAGAAGACATCTCCAATGAGCTTTTCAAGTTGACAAGGGCTCTGAAGACTGTGCAGTTAGGAGCACAAGGAATAATTAAAGATGACCTGCAGACAGTGGACAGGATGCGAAAGCAAGTGGAAGATAATAAAAATGCCCTCGAGGTCAATTTTCGTAGCTATTTTCACTTGTAATTGTTGTTTTCAGACCGAAAACGCCCGACTGGAGCACCACGCCTACAAGTGTGGATTCGATTGTCTGCGTCTCTTCCTTATTTTCCTGCTTTTCTTCTCATTCATTTCAATGGTTATTGCCATGAAAATCTTTCCGAAACGTTCCACATACTAGTCATAAAAAGTTTAATATAATTTATTGGGGCTTCCTGGTGTAAATGAATAATTTCCTGTCTTCTTCTCGTACAATTCTTTTCATGTGGTTTTTTGACCATTTAATACCTCTTTTCTTTCCGTTTCTTCTTCTTTACTTTACGTCTGAATGCCTTTGCAGAATGAGCACAACCCCAGGAACTCCCCATGGCGTCACACACGGACTCATGGAGCAGGGCTGGTATTGGGCGGATGCCGATCGGGCGACCGTCTCCAAAGCCCTTTACGATCAGCCCGATGGATCCTTCATTGTCAGAAATGCCAGCACTCCAGGAGATTACACTCTCTCCGTCAAGTTAGTCGTATTTTTTACGCGCCAACGTTTTAAGCACAGCTTTCAGGTTCGGCGGTCAAGTGAAACTTCTGCGCATCGTAATTAACGAAGGACGATGCGGCTTCAATTTGGACTCTCTAGTCCATGACTCGGTTGTCCAACTTGTCGAATTTCATCGCAATATCTCTCTAAACATCTTCAACGACGCTCTTGACGTTCGCCTCATGTTCCCGGTCTCCGTCCGACGAAACTCGCAGAGTGGAAGGCCACTCATAATCAAAAAGGGAACCATTCAGCAGAGAATGATTCTCAGCGCGAAGAATGATCACGGTTAGTTGTCTATTGTCTGTTTACATAGAGCAACCTTTATTTTCAGATTGGCGTGAGCGTCTAGAGCTGGAGAATCTCAGAGCAGTCCACTTGGCGTTCGAACGAGGAGCCAAGTTGTACGACTCTGCGCATCAGGAAATGGAACGAGCCGAAAGTCTGTATCACGCACTCAATCAGTCCGTTCGTGACAATGAAATCAAATTGGCTAAACTGAAAGATCTTCTCGAAGTGGAAACAGAAGTTGTGACAGAAGTCCAGGAGTCCAAATCGACGAGTGAGATGTTCAAGAAGGTGTTTGCCAACAACAAAACTGTGAGTTATCATTTAAAGTTCATCCCGTGTAATCATACGATCTCTTTCTAGTTTCTGCAAGAAAGTATCAGACGAATTGGAGTGGAACTGACGTCGTCGATCGAAAAGAAAAAAACGCTTTCCGGAATTCTAGATGAAATTGCCCTAAAGAGGGCCAATTCAAAAGCGCGTCTCTGCAAACTGATGGAATTGCGAAACGCCGTCTACGATCAGATGGATCCCTCGTTGTGCACAAAAATGGCGACGATGCTCGATGCGGGAGCTGAGCTCATAAACAACGAGAACACCAAAGTTACTCAGCTTCTCGTGGACATGGAATTGAAATGGACACCCGCCCAATATCTAATGTGCGGAACGTCGAAGGAAAACGCCGCGAACGCACTTGTTCACGCCCGTTATCGCATTGCTCAACTGGATAAAGCTATTGGACTGAAGCGAGAGCCAATCGACGGAATTTTCCTTGTCCGCGGATCTTCCTCTCATGTAGGCAAACATTCATCCTTTCCAGTTTTGAGTTTGAAAATTTCAGGGTGACAAGCTGGTATTGAGTGTTTTGCATGGAGAACGAGTCTCCCACTGTCTCATCGAACAAAACGAAGAGGGCTGGGGATTCGAACGCAGCAACGTCTACCTGACAACCATAAGCGATTTCATCCGCTACTACACTCAGTTCAGTCTGGAAACTCACGCCGATGCCATCAAAACACCACTTCGAATGCCTGCTTTCGATGCAGCCACCAAGGACACCACGAATCCGCTTCGCAACGGACCGGGCCAACTGTTCACTCCTCTGCCGCTCTCGAAGAAGTACATGGAAGAGGCGATGCTGAGAGACGATCCGACTGCTCCCATTCCGAATTACTCGCCAGAACCAAAACCAGACGACTGGAAATCTTCCTCGCCGGAAAAGCCGGACTCGCTTCCGGTTCGACCGACATCTCTGCCCGAAACCATACCTGAATGATGCTGCGCTCTTGTCATGTAAAAATGTTTTTATTGTCCGCTTATCGATCTGAAACCTTCCGACTCAAATTCACTCCAATTCAACACTTTAATTGTACACTCAAAATTTGTTTTATTATTTTATTCGCAACGTAATGCAATCAAATACGACGATTCATTTGAGTGTTGAACCGAACGACGTGTTCCTCTTGTGCAACTGCAATGTGCCCCTTCGTTTGCTTTCGCATCACATGGATTAAACTGAGAAGAAACGAGATAGTCACTAGAGAGCACACAATCTGAATGAGTGTTCGAAGAGATTCAACAAAAAGGGGGAAAAGTTACCAGTGCCAGCCACCAAGAAGTGTTATTCCATCTCATTGAACTGTAGAGCATTGTGAGCGAGTTGATGGAAAAGAGAAAAGAAAACGATGAAACGAACACACTTTCCTGAAATTAAACATGATTTCCCTCGAAATGAAACATTCCGACTGACCCAGAATATCCATTCATCCGGCTCAGTCTCGTTTATATTGAATGCGTCACAAATCAGGAAGACTGCGGAGCCGATGGTGGCGAAGACGCAAGTGAGCAGGGCGGCGTACGTGGGCGGGAATTGGGAGCCGACGGAGCCGATGAGCACCATCGAGACGAGGCTTCCGATCTGAGAAAGGGATGGATCGAAAGGGAACGGAACGGGGGACGACTGACGATTTGGAAGATTTGGAGGGCCGAAGAGATCTTTGCGAGTTTCCATCCTTCGAACTTCGGACGCGGATATACGGATTTTCTGGAATGGATTAACGTGTTTTCGGATTGGAATCGGAAGAGTTACCTCGTGGAATGCATTGGCGAAGAGTGCATGTGAGCGAGAGACTCTGTTGACCGAAGGGACTGATAAGGAGTGACTCAGTCGGGGCGAGTTTTATCGATCGAACAGGGAACCGCTGCTTGTTCCATCTCGGCTCCGAAAGGAAGGGCAAAGTGAATTACCGAAGGGATTTCGTGCGAAACACACTGCAAAACAGATTTGCCGCTTCTTCTCTCCATCATAACCGAGCAATGCTCGTCGGCTCGCAGCTCATCCATCAAAATGTGGGCGCTCGTCAATTTGTCAGGTGCCAAATTGCCACGTCATCTGCGGTCGGGAAGCCGGGGCGGTCCGGAGACGAAGAAACATTTCAATAGGAAAGAAGTCAAAAGACACTTTGCATCTCGTGTGCCGGGCAGAAGGAGACAAGAGTCCCCCCTCCTCCCGCGTTTTCTTTTCTTTTCTCTCCTCAAAGTCATTTTGGAGAGAAAGGAGCTGCTCGTCCTCCCGAAGTGTGCTGCACGCGCGCTCTCGCCTCCCTCTGTCATCCCGGCGGCTCAACTCTTCGGCTCCGGACCACGAAGTGAGGAGAGAGTGAGAGTGCCGTCGAGGAGCCGCCCGATCAATACGGAAGGCGAGACGAAGGAACGTAAAGCGGAGGAGCCGACGGCGCTGCCATCATCCAGGCACTTCAGCGATATTCGGCTGCTTCTGTTGCTGCGTTTCTTTGTTTATCGCCCCCTTTCCGTGTTCCGTCTAATCAAGTTGTTTTTTTTAAATTGAAACGAGATCGTTCCGCTTCATTTTCGAACTTCTGAAATGGGAAGAGTCTACATGATCTTTCCATTCCCAACTAGAAGGATCTAAGCCAGCTAGTATAACTTCTGAGTTCGGCAGCTCAGTCATCCGATACTTTTCCTCTTTACTCATTCCTTTGCGTTCTCTTTGCAGGTTAATGGGACCAAATGAACACGGCTTTGCGTACATCCTCATTTTTCTGCTCCTCTCTCCGACGGCTCACACGAATCGAGATGCGAATCGGCTATTCGAGGACCTCATCGCAGGTAACGCTTTCCGATTTCATTTCACATTCTCCATCATTCTCCAAGCATTTCAGATTACAACAAGCTCGTGCGACCGGTCAGTGAGAACGGAGAGACGTTGGTGGTGACGTTCAAACTGAAACTCAGCCAGCTTCTAGATGTTCACGAGAAAAATCAGATTATGACGACGAATGTTTGGCTGCAGCACGTAAGATTTGATTTTTCTCTCTCGTCTTCTGATAAACGAATTCAGAGTTGGATGGACTACAAACTACAGTGGGATCCGTCCGAGTACGGTGGAGTGGAAGTACTGTACGTACCGTCGGATACCATTTGGTTACCGGACGTTGTACTCTATAACAAGTGAGATCTTGGTGCGACAGTTTGATACTATCGGTTAACTTTTTCAGTGCCGATGGAAACTACCAAGTGACCATTATGACAAAGGCCAAACTCACCTACAATGGAACTGTAGAGTGGGCACCACCGGCCATTTACAAAAGGTTTTGAAAAGTGAAAAGTTGATCTGAAAACAACGAATTGACCGTTACAGTATGTGTCAAATCGACGTCGAGTTCTTTCCGTTCGACCGGCAGCAATGCGAGATGAAGTTCGGCTCGTGGACGTACGGAGGACTGGAAGTGGACCTTCAGCACAGAGACAAGCACTTGGAGAACGAAATCGAAGAAGACGTGGAAGGCGTGGACGGACCGACAAAGGAAATTGTGTGGGTTGTGGACAGAGGTATCGATTTGAGTGACTACTATCCGAGTGTCGAGTGGGATATTCTCAAAGTTCCGGGCAAAAGACACTCAAAGCGGTGAGTTGTACTCATTTAAAAGGAGTCTCTTCAAAAGGGAATGTTGCAGGTATCCTTGCTGTGAGAGTCCGTTCATCGACATCACCTACGAGATCCATTTGCGGAGGAAGACGCTCTTCTACACAGTCAATCTGATCTTCCCGTCGGTCGGAATCAGCTTCCTCACCGCACTCGTCTTCTATCTTCCCTCGGACGGAGGCGAAAAGATTTCCCTATGTATTTCCATCCTCATCTCGTTGACTGTCTTCTTCCTCCTTCTCGTCGAAATCATTCCGTCCACATCGCTCGTTATTCCGCTCATCGGAAAATATCTTCTGTTCACCATGGTTCTTGTCACACTTTCGGTCGTGGTTACTGTAGTCACACTGGTGAGTGCACTTTGTGCAGGTGTCTGATATATTGAAGTTTGTGTGTTTCAGAATGTACACTACCGTTCTCCAACGACGCATACAATGCCAAAGTGGATGAAGCGGTTATTCGTGGATTTTCTGCCCAAATATCTTCTGATGACAAGGCCGCAACCTCCCGGACATCACAGCAAAGTAAGCTTTCTTTCGAATCTTCGTCCTTTGATGTTCTTCTCATTTTAGCCTAATCGAAGGTCCGACCCCCGTACCTCAACGTTCAGTATCGGAGTGAATCACACTCTCGGTCAGAACTCGGGTGATTTGCTCTCTCCGGGGATCAATTCCAGCAAGGAGGAGTCCTCGTTCACCCTCCCTCGGTAACTCGCTTTCCTCTTCTCCGATAATATCCTTCTCTTCTTTTTTCAGCGACAATTCGCCAGTCCGATCGGCAGTAGAAAGCGTCGCCTACATTGCGGACCATTTGAAGAACGAGGAAGATGATAAACAGGTGAGCGGGTTTGCAGAAGAAAGAGTGTACGTGCGTACGGATTTGTTTGTTGACAAGCTGAATTATGAATGAGAGGAAACGGGAAGCAATCCGCGGTGTGGTGTGGTCGGAATGGGAAAGAGTACGTGACTTGCAGGTAATCGAAGACTGGAAGTACATATCAGTCGTCATGGATCGAATATTTCTAATCACGTTCACTTTGGCCTGTGCTTTCGGAACAGTTGTGATCATCGCTCGCGCGCCGTCCATCTACGACAACACGCCGGCGCTCGCCTAGCTCCAATTTATTTATAGGAACTCATTTTTGCCGCATTCCCTCCTTCCTTTTTATGTACATTTTTTCTCCCTTTTCTTTTCTTTTTCACCAAACTCGATGACGGTTTCCTGTTGCCTCTCTCAACGATTTACTTGCTCCTTCACCTTTTGATAGGTAGTCCTTCTCCCGTTTCTCCCCCATCATATTTGTGTCTTTTCAAACATTCGGTTTTGCTTCGGAACAAAAAAGAATGAATTCTTCTGCATTTCACTTCTCTTTTTTTTTTCTTTTTTGTTCGCCTAGCAATTGCCATGGATCTTCCCTGACGAGCGACGTCTCCATGGGAAATGCGAGAATTCCGCCCGGCTCTCGCTCGCATTTCGATACATATTCTGCCGAAAACTCACTTTCGAATTCATTTTCCCCATAATCTGAGCCATGGAGACTCCGATCAGGAACGAGGAGATAACAACCCCTCGTCCCATTTTGGTCCAACCGGTCGGCACGCCTGTTCTCTCGCAAAACAAACCGATCAAGTCGTCCTCGAATCCGCCGACGCCGTTAGACAGTCCCTTCCATGCGGCGACTATTGTTCGTCCAAGTACAGTTTCAGCACCTCCCTTCTCGTTCTCTTATCTGAATGTTTTTGAGGGTCCTCTGCCCGATCTCTGCAAGTGATGATTCCAATTCACGTGGAAGGGGAGGAAGAGCCGAAAAAGGCGTTGAAGGTGCAGCCGGACAACTGGGTTGACTGTCCGTTCAAGGTTCACGGGTGTCATAAGAAAGGCGAGAAGACGGATGTGAAGAGGCATGTCCGTGACGATCGGTATGTTCGCATCTAGTCCGAGTCATCGGTGACCTACTACAGTAACCTGCATCTGGTGCTCTTATGCCAATCACTCAATCCGATTCGTTCAAAAATCAACACCCAACAATCGGCGTACGTGGACAAGTACGTCGGAATGCTTCAGTACATGAACTCGGCGGACTCTGCCTTCGAGAAGTTCGGGTACGGGATTGTGTCAGGCACTTTATAATTGACGATTTTCCAGAAGTCAGCACACATTCCACATTCCGAAGATCGGACTGGCCATTGTGAAGGCAACGAAGAGCAAATCGCATCGTTCTCTGTTCAGCCAGCCGTTCTACTCGCACGGATACGGCTACAAGATGATGGCCGTCGCGGCGCCGTACGGAGATGGACTCGGTCTGAGCGGAACAAGAGATCACAGGGTAAACGGTCATTTCAGCATTCCGCGAGTACTTTTCTGTGTTCGTTTGTCTGCTGAAAGGCGAGTGGGACGACGTGCTCGAGTGGCCTTTCCGATGCGATGTCAGCTTTTCGATCGTGTCGAGCGACAGGAAGGAATTGAGTGAGTTTATGAATCCAAAGCAAGGTAATCGGTGGGAACTATTAAAGTGACCAAAACGATCGACGTGAACGAGACGGCGGAGATTCGAGAGTTCTTGGAGCGACCTCATGGATTGCGAAACGGAACGTTCGGCTTTCAGGTGAGCATTCCCCGCACTTCCCGTTCATGTAACTATTTTAGAACTTCCTGCCATTGGCGAATGTGGGGGAATTCTCTTCCGATGGAGACATCTTCATCCAGATCAAAGTTCTGCTCAGCGGAGAGAAATTGTACCAAGCGAAAGAGGTTTGAGAAAAGGGACGGGCAACGGAGAGAATTATTGAATTCAGATCGACTCGTCGCAATGTCAGGGAGCCGAAGTTGCAGGGGAAAAGACGAAGAATGAATGATTACTCGGATTGTTTTGAATAAACCATTCGACTGTTAACTATTCCATGTTTTTTCATGAAAGTCGGCGTGATCTTGCTCCATTTTCGCAAACTCTTCTCCCCAATTTTCATTTTCGAAAAATGGCGCTCAAAGTTGAAGCCCAAGATACTCTTCGAGCTGAGCTTAACGAAGAGAAATCCAAAAACGAGAAAAAGAGTAAAGACGAAGGCGCCAAAGTGACGATAACGAACAAGGCCGACGAGCCGCCGTTCGGGTTGAAGGTGAGAGGAACGGAAGGGATCGGAGGAGTGCAGACACTCGATTTCAGCTGTTCCCAACGTATTTGGTGTTCAAATATTTGCATCCAAGTCCGGCCTTCGACACTATTACCATCACGAACATATTGACGGTTAAGCAAGCATTCAAGGTCGGTGACTCAGAACGATGTTCATTAATACAAACGATATTGCAGATGAAGACCAATGAGAACAAGTCGTACTCGTTCAGACCATCCGTCGGATTCCTCGCAGTTTGTTCCGAATGCCGAGAATCTTGCGAATCTTCTATTTCAGCCTGGCGAGAAGGTCGCAATCCGGATCACCTACCTGAACCACAAGGACAGACAGGGACCGCCGAACGAAATGATCCACGTGGCGGCGTATCACACGGCATCCGGAAGTGCGAAGAGCAACAAGGAGGCGTTCGGTAACGGAAAGAAGAAACCGGACGGCGTGCATCATTTCTACTGCACACATCGTGTTGACTTCGCAGGAGAAGTGGGAGAAGAACAACAGTAGAAAACATTTGAACTTTTCCGGCTCTCAGTATTTATAAATGTGTCGTCGGGAGCTGTTTTCGATAGTATCATTAATTTGTGTGGTGGAATCAGAGTTGAGCGGAATGGTTTTTTTTTTGAAAAAGCGGAAGGCGGAATTCAAAATTGTTTATCTGCAGAAAATGGGGTATCGGAAGGGATTGCACCAGATGTGATTTAAATTCTTCAAGTTAGCTGGACAAAATAATTGTTTGATTTCAACGTTTTTTTAATAGACAACAAAACTCTTTGTAATATATTGTTTTTATCCAACGACAATCGGAATTTTATAAACTCACACAAAACTTTCCTAATGGGGCTATTCAGCGTATTTTTTTTCCGTTTTTTTGCATCGCTGAATTAGATTTTTTGACGTAAAAAAACGAAAAAAAACGGAAAACAATCATTTTTTTCACAGCCTGAATAACCCCATAATAGAGCTCAAATTCTGCCTGACTGCTGAAATCTGCGCTGAATGCATGGATGTTATCTCCCACTTTTTTCTACTGCACCTCCAGAAAAACCCACCGCGGGTAGTATCATCAGCATTATCATTCTTATTAATAGAGGCTACGCCGAGCCAGAACTGAGAGGTAAGATTCATTTTACAAAGATGAAACAAATATAAGTGGTGTGCGACAATATGCGACAGAACATCAATGTGAGAAAATCTAAATGTGTAGACAATTAGACGGCCATATCCATGGCGATTTTCTGATGACATTTGTATCCTTCGAGGACGATCATATCCGACGAGAAATCATCGATCGACTTGACATCTCTGGTAAAACGGATCTTGGGGAAGGCGTACGGCTCCCGCTGCAACTGCGTCTTGAGAGCCTCCACGTGGTTCGAGTAGACGTGCGCGTCGCCGAGTGTGTGCACCAATGTTCCCGCTTTCAGACCGCACACTTTGGCGATCATATGTGTGAGGAGACCGTAGCTGGCCAAGTTGAACGGAACTCCGAGACCCTGCAGAAGTAAATGTTACTTGCTTATTTCTTATGACACAAGAACCATGTCTCCACTTCGCTGATACAGTTGAGAGGAGAGCTCGCCATTTTCGACGTAGAATTGGCACATTGTGTGACACGGCGGCAGTACCATCTGTCCGAGATCGGAAGGATTCCACGCGGACAGGATTATTCTTCGACTGTCCGGATCCTCCGTGATCTGCCGAATCACTTCGGCCAACTGATCAACACCTTGTCCAGTATAATCAGTGTGACAATCTACGTATTTCGCCCCGAAATGTCTCCACTGAAATCCGTAGACCGGTCCCAAATCTCCTTCTTCCCGGGAATGGAATCCGAGCTTGTCGAGAAAAGCGCGGTCGCCGTTCTTCTCCCAGATCTGAAATGTGTACTTTCCTCAGCTTCACGCTCAAATTACTTACCTTCACGTTTTTCGCGCTCAGCAACTTGCCATCTGTCGAGCCCGAAATGAACCAGAGCAGCTCTTCGACCACTCCCTTCCAGTACACTCTTTTCGTCGTCAACAACGGAATCGTGTCTAAATCTTTGCGTTCCCTCCGACTAATTTCACTCAACTTACCGTCTCTTAGACTGTATTTTGATTGCATTCCGAAGATCGAGATGGTGCCAGTGCCCGTCCGATCCGTTCGCAGGTTTCCGTCATTCAGAATCTTCTGCACCTGCTCCAAATATTTGTATTCGTCCTGATTATCGTGCTTCTGAGTTTCCGGCACGCTGGACGACTCTGCGATGTTCTCTTTGTTCATTACGCTGAAAAACAACAGTTGAAGTTAAGGGGATAAACAAAAAAGTACAAATTTGAAAATCAATTCCATAAAACAACTTGTTTTCGCGCGCACACTGCTCAAAAAAGACGCCAGCAATTCATTTGGGCGGTAGTTTGAATAGTGGTAGTTCGCGTCCTATGGTCAGAATCGCAGTTGGAATGTTGAAATGCGAATGGGTTCATTATGAAACTTTTGAAAGTACACAATATTATACATGCCGAAGACAATGATTAGAAAGCAAGGGTATCATCACAGAAATCTGAAGTCACAAAAGGAAGTCTAAGCAATAATTGAGAGGAAACTAGGCCACAAGGTATTTCGTCGCCTCGTCCAGAGCCATTATCTCATCCATTAACTGCTTTTTCTCGTTGATGTACTGGACGCCTGGCTGTTGAATGTCCTAAAACATCTGGGTGATTGTCGGATTGATCAGGCAACTGTGCAGTTACCTCGTGCTTCGGAGTGACGACGTGAGGATTTGAACGGGCGTAATAGTCGGTCCAGACTTGAAGAAGACAGAACGTCGGATTCACGAAAATCACTTTTTTATGCTCTAAAAGGGAACATTTCAGATTAATGGAGACAACTCATACTCATACTTTTTTCTCTGTATGTTGGATTGATGAACTTCCGTTTGTTCTCGAGAACGTACGTCCACACCGAGATGGTTTTATCTGCGCAATGCTGAAATTATGTTTCGATTGTAAACAGTGTTATTACTTCGGACTCACATTTTCCACAAGCCTAAGCTTTTCCGAATTAAAGAGGAATGTTCCGTATCTGCAAGCGTAGAGCTCATCGAGCACGTAGATTAGAAGATCTTGCGTAAATTCGAATGCCCAAGGAAATTGTCTCACAATTTGCCAGACGCAATCGCAGAATTGAACAAAAACCGGAGAGCGTTCACCGTCGCTGTAACTATCCTCTCCGTGACCGATTCGCTCTCCGAACTTGTGACCGAAGCTGCACCATTCTTTCTCAATCAAAACGATGAAGCCTTCAATTGTTCGGTAGTAAGGGTCCAGCTGAATCATGGCCAATGACGTCAGCTGCGCTGTTCGATCCCAACCGTCAGAGCAATGAATCAAAACAGACTGTTTCTCTGTGTCAACATTAAACACGGCCTTCACAGCTCCTTCCAAAATGCTTTGAATGTGATTCAGCCACTTCGATTCGTCCAGTGCCTTGTAGTAGTTCTTCTCATCGACGCGTGGAATCAGTGCGGCCACTAGGCGCTTCAGTGAATCACGCACGACGTGAATGTTGTGAATGTTCAGAAAGGTGAGCGATGCGTTTACGTAGTTCTCCTCGTAACCGCCGCCCTTTGCACGGTTCAACTTCGCATTAACCACCGGTCGAGCGTCTAGAATCAGAAGTTCCCGACAGTTCGCATTCGCATTCATGATGTTTGTTAGATGGCTGAATTATAATCATATTCATCTTTACTTTAAAAAAGGAACTCACAGCTCGTCTTCTGTGCATCGTCGTCCTGAGATTCCAGTCAGAGGCTGAGAGCATCTGGTAATTGAAGCTAGTGTCGTTTGGTCGATCCAACTGAGCACCGGAATTCTCTCCTTGCTTCTAAACTCTCCCAACTTTTTCAGGAACGGCTTCCCATTCTCGAACGACGGCGTCGGAATCGCAAACTGTAAAAAGAGCATATTTTTCATAGGTTTTGCCTCGGTGAACTCACAATCCTCGGATACGTCTCACTGTACTTATAATCTGAATTGATGTCCACGAGTTTCCAATATCTACAGTTCAAAACTCCCAATCTCTCGTATTCCTTTTCCGCTGAATATACTTTCCATCCGTCTTTTAGTGACCGTGGTGATACTGAGCCGTGGATAAATGCGAACAAAGGCTGTAAATAAATAGAAATCTAAAGAAAGAGTGGATAATAAGAAACTGACCAAGCTGTTTGAAATTGGGAACGAATAGCGAGTCAACGCATCACAAATATTCTTCCTTCCGCTCGTTGATGGGATACAAGCAAAACGATAATATCGCAAATCCTTGCAATAAACTCCAAATCCATAGTTTTCATCAGTTCTCAATGCCGTACTTTTTGATTTTCCTCCAACTTTTTCTATTCGGGAAATATGACCAAGCGGTACTTCTAACTTCCAGTGCTGAACACGATTACCATTAAATTGAAATGCATGTGAGAACAATTACTTCAAACTGCTTAACCTTTTCATCGATCAAAAAGATTAATCTGTACCTAGTGATGACCAAACGGCCGGAAAACATTCCGAATGGACCGATGTAGGCCACGTGGTTGTCTGAACAAAAACGGATGAAACAATATAATTGAAGGCGTAAATTCACCATGCCAAATGACACTTTCGGCGGCCAAAAACTTCAGGTCTATCGGCTCTTGCAGCATTGAAGAACTGGCTGCTGAAAAAGAGCACGATGAAAAGCAAATATCTACAACTAGAGAAAGAACTTACATTCTCCGACATCGCTACTGATCCGACTCTCGTCCAGAACTGACATTTTTTGTTAATGCCGCTGAAAATACGAAACTCCCAACGAAAAAATGGAAGCGGAAACAAAAAAAGATGAGAGAACGGACCGAGAGAACGAGCGAGAGATGAGAGACGCAGACGACGAGGGCAAATACAACACTCCGCGAATCGATCGTCCGCGATCTTCCGCTCTCGACAGGGCGACGGCTTCCGCTTCGGAATCATCAGCGATCAGACAGAGTAATAAATAAAAAAAAAGGGAGGTTGTCTCTCAGTTTGTTTGTGTTTGTTTATTTCTCCGTTTGTCCGTCCCCACTTTCATTTGCTCAGACCGCGTAGCAGGCCCTGTTTTGAAAAGTCTTGTAAAGTAGAAGTAAAATAAAAACATTTTTTAAAAGTACTTGAGAAAGAAGAGTTTGTGACTCTCTTCGTTTTTGTTCCGAGAGAAATCGTAAAAATGATGTCAAGTATTATAGGGGCACCGCACAGAAATGGAGCTCTGTAGAGAAGCTCTTTTTGCAGTGCAAATTGAGCGACCTCGGGGCCGAGTTTGAAAAGTTAGGTCAGTGGAAAATTACTTCGCGGCCTAGAAATTCGGCCAGATTGCGAACGGCCAGATTGCGAATGTGCGATAGTGAGTAAAAAAATAAAATATGACATGAGCAATTTGTCTACCGTAAGACTTGATTGAGCTAACTACATGAAAAACCCGTCAACAGGACCAAGAGAAAACCGAACCGTAAACGTGTAGAGGCTGTCCGAATGTACTTTCGAGGGTTTGATTTTTGGGTGTCTTCGGAATGGACATCAGTGGTGGACGAATAGGCGATGGAGCAACGGATGACAGATCTCAATCGGACTCAATCGCGCCAAAGCCTGAAATACGGAACACTATCAGGAAAAGTGATTTCCGACAGTTGTTGATGCGGAGAATCCGTTTCTAAAGTCATAATTGCACTTTCAGCGACCTATTTAAGCCTCGGGTTGGGCGACAACTTTTTCTGAGATCATTTCCTGGTAAGAACTCAAAATCCGGAGAATCTGACAACATGATTGGGACTCTAATAGTTTCGCAAAATTCTTTGCGTTTTTTCGATCGTTTTTTCGTTTTTTCGACAACCTGCATCAAAGTGGGCCGAGTATCGACAGAAAACAACCGGACAGCAGAAAAACGAATTGTCGAGAACTGATTTTCGCAGAATCCAATGAAGAAACCGCTGAGTCCCTTCACCGCAAGCCTCACGGTCGACACTTTCATCGCTTCCTTGAAGTTTTTGATGCTATCGTAAAGGCTTTGCATGAAATCAATGACTTTTTCCTTCGGCACCGCTTTGGTCTTGGGTTCTGAAAAAAAGCGACCGAATGCTGCGAACTGTTGAGTCGGGTAACTTACTTTCAATTTTTTGCGTATCGGCGAGTGACAACACTTTCTCGGTGAGACTTTTCAGAAATTTGTGGCGGAACCTTTTGTGGCGTTTGTGGCGTTTTTTGTGGCGGAACCGAAACCGGTGGTTTGGCTGCGGCGTTCGATCCTCCGTCCTGATTTGCACTGCTGCTTGGCAACGCTATTTGCTTCTCTTCCTTGACCTTCGCCTTCACTCTTTTCCGTCGCATCACCTCGCACCCAATGATGATGCAGATGAGAACAAAAACTCAGAGACTTCTGACAATCCAGTCCAGCGTAGCACTACTGAAACCATAAAATTATAAATCCCAGAAATGTTTCTCAAAAACACACTTGGCCGTCCCGGTGGTATTCGAAATCGACATTGCACTGGTGGTGGTCGCAAGAACCGTCTGCTGTTGTTGTGGCTGTGGAGGCGGGCCTGTGTGCACGACGATCGGCGGGGCCATCAGCTCGGCAAACGCGTCCAACTGGTCCAGAGAGTTGGGGGCCGAGGCGAAACTGGCTGTGAAATTGGAGAAGTCAACTCCGATGAGACCGAGATTGTCCAGCCACTTCTCCATCTTAGTCAGCTCTTCCCTCGCAGTCGGATCCGTCGTCAGATCCATCTCAGGCCGCCGGATCCTAGACCGTCGCCGCGTGTTTTCATAGCTTTTCCGGAAGACGACACGTCTTTTGAAGCTCTTCTATTATTAGCTCTTCTATTATCAGTAACGTCATCGAACGACTGGAAAATACCTTCTGAACGATTGTTGAAAAGTGAATCGGGACCAGTCGGAGAATGGCCATCAGAAATGGGAACATATATTCAAAAAGTTCATCTTTTTTCTGCGTGACGTTCCCGTTCCCTTGCTTCTTCAATCATAGAAAACGAACTGGGAACCAGTGAGCAGAGGTAAGGGTTAAGGAACTCAAGGCCCATTTCGAACATTATCTCTCATTTCAGAAACAAGTTGGAGAACCTTGTGACTCTCGAGATCATCTGCAACTTCCTCCGCTCGCGTGCAACTGCTTCTCCTGCTCCGGCCGCTTCCGTCCCTCCCGCTCCGTCTCTCTCTCCCCAATTGCCGCCACTTCTTTTCGAATATGCCAAGATACTCCAATATCTCGCATTCTTCCAGCCGGCCCAGTTCTTTGCGCTTGTGGCAGCTAGTCCGATGTTCCAAAATAAAGAGGAAGAGATCGATGTCGTCGGCGACTAATATGATAATTTCCCATTTCCTGTAAGTACAGAACTCTTCATTACTCCATCCATTTGTCAAATAACCGTACAGTATCTCTAATCATTCCTTCAGTTCTCCTTGCCAACTTCTCTCAATCCGACTTCAACTTTTTAATGTATTTCTACAGCCTTTTCCTAATAAATATTATGAAACTTTCAAAGAACCCATCTTCATTTGCACAAACAGTCATTGCAGTTTGATATTGTCAATTCGACGCAGAATCTCCTCGAGCTCCTTGACATATCAGAAATTGAGATGGTCCAAGATCGTGAAAATTTGCATAGTTCATCGCTTAATGCAATAAATATTTATTGTTACATTGTTTGATTCACAAAACATGTTAGCAAACCGTTATATTCATCATGAGCTGGGGATCGGAGTGTCGAGAGGGGAAGATTAGAAGAAGAAATAAAAAATGAAGTGGACAGGGCGACTCAGCAATAGCGGCTTCTCTTCTCATCACCAATCGACGAGTCGTCGTTCACATTGCGCCGTTTCGTGTCCAGGCCGAGTCCATTTTACGACTGAATCGTTTTTTTCTCGTCGTCGTGCTTCAACGTGCCGTGCTCCTCGAGCTCCGCTCTCAAATCGTCCGAGATCGGGAGCGACGCCGCGTACATCATTCTGCATTTCGTAGCCAGATCCAGAGAACCATTATTTTCAATTTTATCTCGGAGATAGTCGGCCAGTCTGGAAAATCATTACATTTAATCACGCTTCAAGTCTTCACACAATCGTACCGTCTTTTAATCGAGTCTGGCTCACGATTGAAACCTTCCGACTTTAGGTTTCTGCAGAAGGACATGATGTTTATCTTTTTGCCTTTTTCCGACACTTCTTGTAATCGGCGGAGCAGGAAAGCGTCTTCTTTGTCCGAGTAAATGCGGAATGCTGGCTTCGCCGCCTTTCTTGTCGACCCCTCCTTCACTTCGCTCTCTTCGGAAAGTGATGAGGATTATGAGAAATGGTGGAGTTCACGAGAAATGGTGGGCAGCTAGGAAATGATAAAATGATGGATTTCACAAAATCACGATCGGCGCCTCCTCCGCATCGACGAAACCGCTCATTTTGAATAGCAGACAAGTAGAAAATCAGGACAGGGCAACAATATTTCAGGTTATCAGACCTTCGAAGGCGGAAAAATAGAGGCACGATGAGTCATAGATGTTTATAATTAGTTGCATTATTTAATAGTTGTATTACAAGGGTACAAGAGCGAGTACTAGCAAAAACTGGCTACATCTCGGAGACGTTGAGCGAGCTGAGCTCCGTGGCGATACTGGCGAGTGATTCGTGAGCTCCGCGCGTTTCGCCAATGAGAAGCACGTCTTTCAGCTGTGGACTTCTGCAAAATGGATTGTTTATTCGTTCCAACTGGACTAAAAGCCCAGTCTGGTTAGGCTTTGCGAGCCTCGAGGGGGTACAAGGCAAATTCAAGAATAAATTAGATTATTAAAAATAGCAAAAACTGGTTACACTTTTGTTGGTGGAAGGTTCGAGCGTCTCGCACATAATCACTCTGCCAATCCTCTCTGTCGTACACTTTTCCACATAAGCGCCGATTTCCTGGAAAAGGGTAACCAGAAGTGCATCGGCTGAGACAGTTAACCAACCTGAACTTCTCAGTCATTCCGAGCAACGTAAGAATGTTCGATTTGATCGGTTCATCAAAATTCCACTGTATGAATGCGAGGGAACGCGCACGGACGACATACGGGTTCGGTTCGACATACGGCGAAGGCCGATTTGAATTCTAAAAATAGTCAGAGGCATGCTGAGACGTCACTGGAAGCGTATAAAAACGGTAGGGCCATAATCTGGACCGTGTCATGATTTCTTGTCCCATCAGTTTTCGGTGCCAACATGAAAAATACTTAGAAAGATGCGAGAAATCGAATGGCGTTCAGTCTGAGACGCTAGCATTTTCTTGAAATTAGTTACAGTTTTGACCTATTTTGGGACCGTGATCGGACTAGGGACCACGAAGCCGGACCAAAACTTGTCTGATGTATCACTGTTATGTAAGTACCCATTGGGTATAATATGGGGCAAATTGAAGCATTCTGAATTTTTAGTGACCTGGTGTAATTAGCGAATTTCGAGGTTCTCAGATATTGCCTTTTAAATACTCAGCCTGTGGACTTGTGTACAACGGAAAAATATGCGGCAAATTGAAAAAAACAATTTGTTGAAAGTACAGAAAAAAGCCGAAGAAAGACTGAAAAATGTGCTAATATCATTTTAGAATTCAACAAAGAAAAAAACTTATACTTGGCAGCAAT